GACGAGTGGGTGCCGCCAACTGGTGGCTGCCAACTAGGCACGGACAATTCAGAGTAGCCGACTAGGCGCGGGATCAAATGGACGCCAGAACAACTGGACGAATGAATATTTAATGATCCACATTATTACTGTTATTATCATTGGTTTCGTCAAAAAGGTTTTAGTCTTGTTACAGTAAATTTATTATTGCCTATTCTGTCACTGGCTGACCGGTTTGCACAAAACAACAGCACGATAAATAACGGTACAATTAAATTTCTTTCGAATCTTTTAACGTGGTAGATCGAACAATACGGCTTATAGTATAATAGTAATTTACAATATTTTATTGTTTTTTTTTTTTTTTTCTGCAAATAGTAAAAATATGATCTGGTCTCTTTTTCATTTAATAATTTTTGCGCTCACTTGATCCCGCGGCCAGTTGGCTGCGCCGAGTTGGCCGTACTCAGTTGACAGCGCCCATTTGTCCTAGACCGATAGGTATGTAACGCCGATGACCGCATAATGCACACGCCCATACATAGGATGATTCACACACGCATTTATCGACAGATAAACCGCTGCATACTCGTATTATATATCTTACATACAAACAATATTATTTTACACCATGATATATATTAAATTTGACGGTTTTTATCTTCATCCCTTTATTTTACGTTTACTTTATAACACGATCAAAATAATACGGTATACAGTAATATCAATGGCGTTAACGAAAACAGCCATAACATCAATAACAATGATAAAAAAAGAAAGATAAGATAATAGGGATAGGTGCAGCCACTGGTTTAGGTGAGTAGTCAGAAAGGTACGATACAGACGGGAATTTAATGTATATCTGTAAGAAACGATAAACTATTGGTTACGAAAAGACAATTCTGAGTGGAGTTCAGTTGATAGTGAAGCTTTTTCAGCAATAAAATGGCATATTTTATTGTAAAATAATTAAATAAGTTTTATATTATATTTTCTTAAATAATATTTGTTTAATGTTGTACCGATTTTCCCAGTTTTCCTACGTTTTTTTTCCGGTTTTTCCATGTTTTATCCCGGTTTTTTTACATTTGCTAGGAAAACTCTTAAGAAAATCGAAAAATGACCTTTTTCAAGTACCTACTTAGTGAAATATTCTTTTAGAAACATTGCTGTCATTGAAATTTTGAGTAAAATTGTTGATAGAAAAGTTGTGCACAGAAAAAAAGAAGGCCGTAATATATTTTAACTAATACCTACATTTCTTATATATTCCCGTTTGTTTTTCGGCTTTTCAAATTTGATGAGAAGAAAATCGAAAATCCGAGCAAGTTTGCTAGTAGAGAAGTTGTTAACAGATAAGAAAAAAAAAAAATAAATACCTTTGTAAAACCATAAGCTTTTTCTCAGAATCCAAAATAATCACAATAATATAAATAGTGGTGACAACAACAATAACAAGCGGGCTGCCTGCGCTGCCTATCGCGGGCACTGTATTATCTTTGATTGCATCATAGTGGTTAAAAATAGCACAGGCTGCCACGGCGGACTGCTGTCGACTGCAGCGGGCAGCGGTCTAGTTGTAATAGTGTACAGTGATATTGGGGAGTCTTGCCATTTAAAAATAAAAATTGTTAAGCACATGTTCCAAGAAATTAAATAGCATGAATATAGTTTGAATAGTTTAATAAGTGTATAAACAATTTTTTTAGGCACTCAGAATATCAAAATTAAAATATATTTAATATGTGCAAAGTTATAGATCATTTTCAACGATTACAGACTGTATAGAAAGAATATTTTTGTCAAATTTTAAAGAATGTTAGCTGGAAATTTGTTTTAATTCACCTAAAAGTAATTCTCCTAAAGTTTGAGCTGGATTATCCATATTTAACAGGTTCCGATTTAAGCTCAAAATTTTATACAAAAGTGTAAACTTGTTCAATTTTTGAAGACCTAGAAAATATCTATAAATAAGTATCTAAGTATTATTATTTTTAAGCAATTACTAGGTTATAACCAATAATGATTCAATATGATTTATGTAACTTAAAAAATTGAGCAAGTCTAAAATAACAATGTCAAAATATCATACTATCAAAAATAACAATTTTACACTTTTTCATACAATTTTGAGCTTTAATCAGTACCTGTTAAATATATTTAATCGAGCTTAAACTTTAAGAGACTTATCTTAAGTGTATTGGAACAAATTCCAGCTGGTACTATTTACATTTAGCAACTTCGAAAATAACTGCCACCCTGATACGCCTACAATAGAAATATATTTATAAAAATAATCGTAGATAAATTGAATACACATGCCGTTGGCTTCAGGGTGTAAATTTCATTCCACTTCCACATTGCTAATTATATAACGTCTGCACACCCAGTACAATACTATCACGGGCAGAAGGCATACAGTAAAATAAATATTACAGGTGAGAATAAAATTAAAATCTATTGATGCACTTTTATAAAAAGGAAACATCGCCATTGCTAAAAAATGTTAACATTTAATTAGCTATTAATACCACAATTATGAAATATCCATACCACCCCCCATTAAATGGTCCTAGTAACTGGCTTTGAGCCGAATGAGCCCGGGTGCAACCACGACCCATGATCTCTCTGAGTAATGTGACCTAAATAAAGTCTATCCACTAGAATTCTAGGTTTTTTTTAAAAGTATATCGGTAGATATAAAAAATTGTGTTTTTTTTTAGTAATCGTCTTCGTAAAATAGAAAAATTATCACCTAATTTAAACATTGCCATTTCTCAGTGTTTATCTATAGAAACTTAAAAAAAAGTATATTATAGATATATTTTGATTTTACAAATAGATTAAGCATTAAAATTTAAAATCAAATTTTTAGAAATTTTCTCCTCATAACTGTAAAGTAAAGTTCGTGGACTTTTTATTTTTGTCAATACCTAGGTACTTTCGAAAACACAATTTGAAAAAAATAAATAATACTATATCCTAGCTGTTTATTTGCACCAAAAAAATATATTAGCATAGACATGCACGAATTTCATCTAAAGGTTATGCAATTAGAAAAATAGGACCCCAATCTATATATATTTATACAATTAGACCCTCTCACAAAAATATAATAAAAACTAAATTTAATCACAGTTAATTATTAAAAACATTAGCACAAAAACATATGCAGATATAAAAGCACGAATAAAGCATTTGCAGAATAAACCAAATACCTTATTCGTGACAGGGCCTTTTATTATTATTTTATTTTTTTTTTTGAGGGTGCAGCCATTGTTATAGGTGGGAAGTTGGGAAGGTAGGTTACAGACGGGAATTTAATGTATTCCTGTAACGATAAACCATTGCAAACAAAAAAATGGTTCTAAGCTGAGCTCAATTAATAGTGTTGCATTGTCAACAATATAATGTAAAATGTCATATTATAGTAAAAAGATTACAATAATGTACGTTTCCATAAAAAAAAATAACCTTCTCTATGCACCAACTAGAAAATATTTGATATTTAGTAACCAGTCCTGAAATAGTCGAGAAACAATAGCTTTTTAGATAGAAAAAAATATATGACAAATATTATAGTAAAACTACCTCACTTTGCTCAAAATCTAAAATTGATTAACTAACCATTTACCGTGAATATTACCTACATTGATTTTAATTTTTTGACTAATTGTATTTCTTAGGTGTATTATTACATCTATTAAAGTTAAACTTATTTGGAACCATGGACAGACCATGTTCTATTTTCACCAAATTGTGGTTTCATATTGTTAACTTTAGGAAAATATTTTGTTACTGATGTAGATGTTTTGATAAAAAAACAATCAGCAATTAATAAACAAAAGGCAAGAATTTATGTTTGTTTACATTTTGTGATGTAATTATTAACTTACACTGTCATTAATTGATAGGAGGAGTTAACCAAGGTGGTTAACTAATCAAGTAGACGAGTCCATTATTTTGAAACCTGAAATTAACATTGAAGTTCATATGATAAAATGGTATATTTTATTTTATTATGGATATTATATAGTAATAAATTAATTAGAGAAGATTAATTTAGTATTTAACTTTCTATGAACCTTTATCAATATTTTTTAAAAATATTTCTATCAAATGTAATAATTAAAATCTTGTCCTTTTAATTTAGTATCATTTTTAGATTTGATTTCTTAAGACTATTCAATTTGTTATTAGCACTTTTTATGATATTTTCTCTGAAAATATAGACTATTGCACTGTGTTGTTTCTGTGTCTATTGTATCTTCACAACTCCCAATGCCTCTTCCCCTGAATCTCCAGAATTTTTAAACTTTTTTAATGGCTCTCTTTGGACAAAAAATGCTCAAACTCAATATTAGATTAGAAATTAAATTTTTATTTTTTTTATAAGTTGATTAAGGTAAAATGATTTTGATTAGCTTAGGGGTAGTTCAACAAAATAGTATTTGAAATAATGTTTAACTACTAAACAATTTTTTATCTGTTTCAGTTTTATAAAACAAACTATCTAGGTATCATAATAATTAAAACACCATTATTTGAAAACTAATACATGTATGCATATATTATATAATTGTGTTGAATAAATAAATGTAAAATACAACTGTCATAAATAAAAAAAAAAAAAAAACAAAAAATTTGTCAATAATTTAACTAATGAACCCTCCCGATAATAATAAATATGATTAATTGCACTAGTGTTAATAAATTTGCACAGGGTTATAATAAATATTTAACCTAATATGCGATTTGATCAATGCCATAAAGTGTATAAATCTAACAAAAAAAAAAATATTTGTGTACAGTTAATAATAATAACACAAGTGAATATGTCATAACAAACTTGACTTAAGCTTAGACAAAGCTTAATATCCAATAACATAATATCCTATATACATAATGTTATATTTAATTGCATAAATGTTATTGATTTGATACGATTTAAAATTTAACATTACATTAAACAGTAATAGGCACATAAAACATAATTTTATAATATAAATATGATTTAAATAAATAATTAAACAACAGTAGTTTTGACATAAGTGTTGATATACTACATTCCTAACATAATATAATATTTATATTATAATATACTATAAGCAAAATAATAAAACACTGGTTTTAATAAATGTAGTCAATTAAGTATGTTTGATCATTTTATTGTTCGCTGTTTGTTCATATTAGACAACATTAATGATATATATGATGTTAGCAAGTCATCCATTTTATAACCCAACGATGTTTCACATAGTAACTTTGACCCTCTGACTAAGTTACCAATTGTCATGTGGAAGTATGTGTTACCTGATGACCAGTTTGATATTCTCGTAAATGGGTGAGTCACTAATATTTCCTGAAATAAATACATTTTTTATTTCATTTATTTTTATACTTTGCATACACTGATGTACCTTGCTTAAATATATTCTGTTTTCATTAATTATAATTTATTACATTTATAATTAAGGTAGAATTTGATCCAATGCATCTATAAATATAAATATATCACATAACAATCTATAATGTCAGAAAAGTTTAAGGCCAATTGAACATAATAAACATGTGGGGACTTAAGCTTAAATTTTTAAGAAAAAATATATAATTTCACACTTCATTTCATTAATACTTAAATTTTTATTTTCCAAAAAATTGAATGGTACCATTATTGTTGTGCTAATTATTTCCTAAAAAATATATTACATTATATTTGTTCAGAGAGTTAACCCCAACTAGTGAAATTATTATCTAAAAATACCTGGTAATACCTGGTCTATACTTATTTATGTAATAAGGATGTAAATTTAAATGCTCTATAAAATAAGAAAATAGCTTAGAAAAATACAATTTAATGCACTTAAATAAAAAAAGTTTTTGGTTATAATTGGTTGATATATGAAATAAATTTTATGCTTGGTAAGCATTGCTTTAGGATATTAAGAAAAGAATGTAATTTGTATTATAATCTGCAGTTTCATAATAAGCAATTTCTCACAGGAAACAGAACCTCAATTTGAAATTTTAAAGCAAATCACATAATAAGCAAGTAACAGAATATTTCAACAATTTAAATATTGAGTCTATATTAATTTATTACAATACCAAATTATTTGATAGATTAGTGATCATAGAAACAGGTTTAAATGTGGATCAATTATTAGGTATTCAAGAATTACATTATATCTTGCACAATATATTATTTAATAGATAATTAACAGATAAAGTACAGGCATTCCTGTTTGATACAACTGTGTCAAATACTGGAAGATTGAATACTGTGGTTTGCTTGAACAAAAGATAGGATGAAAAATTTTGTTTTTTGGATGTAAACATCATATTTGTTTAATAGTTTTAGCTACGGTATTTACAAAGTGTAACATTTAATGGATTTTTAGGTCAAATATACTTTTATTTAATGGATTTAAAGCAAAGTGGACTGAAATAAACTATAATAAATATTTAACAGGAAACATCGATAAAGCAATAATTATTAATTTATTAGAAGATGATAACAATACTGTACTAAATTTTGCAAATAATACAATATTGAATGTATTATTGAGAGATAATAATAAAGTGTTCTTAAAGTTTATCATACATTTTTTAGGTGGTAATTCTCCAAATGGAATAAATTGTATTTATTATATTATTATTTTATGTGGTGACCAGCGTTTTTAACAAAGGGCTATAAAAAAATAAAATAATAATTCTTTGCAGACCAAGAATTTAAACTTTTACTTCTAAGTATTTTATTGTAGGTACATGTTAAAATAGGTACAGTGATATATTTAATTACTTATTATATAAATTGTTATAAATGAGAAAAAAATGTAAAATATAAATACATATTTTTTTAATGCCAGTGTTAATTTTTAAAATTTAAAGTTATTTTCTCTTTTCAATTTTGATTTAATAAGTAGGCCATAGTTGATCACCACTATTTTATATGAAAATATTTTGATTATGTATCTACAAAAAATAAGTTATTTGCAAAAAATCTTAAAATCTAGTTTATTTATTAAACATTAGCTTTGTATATATTATATATTTCATGAGTAAGGGTAATTCTACTGACAAAATAAGTAAAGATACATTATTTATAGGAAATAATTGGCACTATAATAATGATTTTATATAATTTTTTGTAAAATAAAAATTTAAGAAGATATACAACACAACTTGACATTTTATAATTAACAAAAAACTTTGAGGGTAAGTTGACAAATATTAATTATGTTTTATCAATCTCAAACTTTCCAGACAATATTTATAGAAGCACTGGAACAAATTTCTGGGCACTCTTCTAATTTGACAAAAATATATTCTTTCTATATAATTAACTGACATTCTAATATACATATTTTCTAGTTTATACACCTAACCACAATATATCATTTATCTCTTGAAATTCCTTATGAATATATTTGACTATATTTAAATAGACTGTATTTTAATCTACATTTCAACTTTTTGATCATAAAATTAATTAACATTCATAATATTACCTACAGATAACTTTAATATTAATTCAATTAATTTGAAAATTGTTTTTTTCTTTGAATTTTGTACTACTTTTTTTTTTTTATTTAACTAACAATATATATTTACAATCTGTATTTACATGTAATACAATAAGTAAATGTGATGTGGAGATGATTGGCATGAGAGAAGTCGCCCAGTGGCAGCACCCTGTGGAAAGCGATTTAAGGAGAGAGTAGGTCCTACACCAGTTCCTTTTCAGGCGCCTGGTTGGGTTACCTGGAATTTGATTGGATGAAAGTTGAGTGATTATAGGATTAGAGTGAGTACTGAATGTTTTGTGCATTTTTTGGAGGTGATTTTGGCAAGGCTGTTTAAGGTTGGGATGCAAATGTCTTTATGAAGTGAGTCATTGGTAATATACCAAGGGGCACCTGATATTAGACGTAGACAAATAGACTGGAATGCCTGGATTGTTCGAGTATTAGAGGGTTTGGCTGATCCCCAAAGTTGTATGCCATAGTACCACATGGGTCTTAGGAGAGCCATGTATATTGTTCTNATGTAAGACGTTTGTCAAGAATTAAACCTAAATAATTAGTTTGTGTGGAAGATGGAATTTGAGCATTGCCGATATAGGTTGCGGGACATTCTAAGGATCGAAGTGTGAATGTAATTTGAGAGGATTTTGATGAATTAACTTGGATTTACCAGTCAAGAAACCAGGTGTTTAGCACAATTAGGTGGTTTTGGATTTTTTAGGCAGCTTGGGCGGCATCTTTGACAGTAGCAAGAATAGCAGTGTCATCTGCGAGTAGTGCGTTTTCATTTAGAGGTAGGTCACTGCCTTAGGGAACACCAGCCGTTGCTATTTGAGAGTTGGATAAGGCGCCATTAATTTTTGTGACAAATGTTCGTTGGTTTAGATAAGATTTGATTAGTAGGTAGTACGGAGCAGGCAAAAAGGATTTTAATTTAAAAAGTAGGACAGGGTACCAAACTCGGTCAAAAGCCTGTGCGATGTCTAGGAAAATACCAATGCAGATTTTTTTTGCTTTTGAATGCTTTTGAGATTTGATCGACGACTCTATGCAGTTGGTGGATTGTGGAGTGTTTAGATTTGAAGCCGAATTGGAAATCGGGTATAATTTTGTTATCTGTGGCAATTTTTGAAATTCTTTTTAGGAGTATTTTTTCGAATAGTTTTCCTACGACAGACAGAAGGCTTATAGGGCGGTAAGAGGATGGGTTTTCGAGAGGTTTTCCTGGTTTGTGAATGAGTATTACTTGAGCATGTTTCCAGATAGATGGCATATAAGAAAGACGGAGTATAGAATTGAATATATATGATAAAAATATTATTGTTTTGGGAGGTAGTTGTTTTAAAAGTGGGGCAGTTATCAAATCATGACCGGGAGCTTTGCCAGTCTTTAAATGTTTTATATAAAAGAAAACTTCATTTGGGGTAGTGGGTTTTGCAGGCATAGAAACTGGTAGTGNCAATAATTTCCTCAATAATTTTAGAGTTATAGGGGCGACGGATTGGAGGAGTGGGTTCGATGTGTCTAAGGATTTTTTTGGTTGTTTTCCAAAGCGAGCCGTTAGTTGGATTTAGGTTTGAGATGTAGTTGTCATAGGATTGATTTTTGTGATTTTGGAGTTGCCTTTTAAGTTTGTTGGTTAGGTTATTGAAGATCCGCTTATCGTTAGGGTAACCTGTGATTTGCCATTTGACACGAGCTTTTCTTTTTTGTCTTATTTGGTACTACTTACATTATGTTTTATTGAAAGTTGTCTAGTTAGCTATTATTTCAATATTATTATCTAGTAATGAAAAATTATTAATTATCTTATAGGGATTAGGTAAGACTTAAAGAGAATTTAGATCTTAATATCCCAGATTTATTTATTTATGTATAGCTTACTTATTTGTTTTACATTTATCAAGAGAGGAATAACTCAGGGCAATCAAGTCATACCTTAGTTTGTGGGTGTATAAGACTAATCCCATGCTTGTTGATAGCTATTAAAAGTAGTTCTGGATAATTTGGTTCTGTAGTCTGTTTCACTTCAAAGAAAGCTGAACCAAATGTAGGCCAACGATAGATAATTTTCAAAAATGTAATTTTTGCATCTTCTGCACTCATACCTATAAAATATGCAAACATTCATCAATAACTCGGTGAAAATGAATTAACACTGATGATTAAACCTGTGTCTTGGTTATATATCGCTACAATCATTCGTTTCCATTCAGCTGAATTTTGAACTTTAAACAAGTCTCCAGGAATTAGTTCACGCAACATTTGACTGAAAACAATAATTGAACATACTACTTAAAGATAAAACATAACTGATAAAATCATGAGTTTATTTATTTTTTAAGTGTGGCCTGTGGTTTAAAAATAAAATGATCTTGCCTAATGCCCACATTTGTATGTAATATATTTTTATAATTACGGTATGGCCTGAAGTTCTTGTTTACTTTCACCAAATCGAACCCTATAAATCAATGCTGCCAATCTAGTAGCTTCTTCTTTTGAACACTTGTGATATCCTGCAATGTTCATAATATAATATTAATCAATTTTAATAAAATAAAATACAAAATATATGAATCAAACAATGCCAAGTAATAATACAATAGTCCTCTGAAAAATACATTATCAATATTTTAAGAATGCATACCACGTAAAAGTTTAGGGAGTTCTTGATGAAAATGAAATATTAAGTCTGCATTCCTATCCTTTCCAGGTACTGTATTTGTCCACAATTTTTTCATGAAAAATACTTGATAAGTAAACTGTGGTGCCGTACCTATAAACAAAATAACAAAATTAGAATGTACAGCAATTATGAATATTTGTTTTTAAATATATTAATTATTATTGTTTATCAACAAATGTTTACCAACCATCTCGAGTAGGTCTGGCTTTTTTTATCCAGTCTGTAAGATGGCGAACAAAATCAAAGAAAAAATCTCCTTCAGGAACAGATATTACTTTATCAGCAATTTTTACAAATAAACTGAAACCCTCACTGGACCGCAATGTCAATCTTTGTGAAATATTAGTACAAAAATCTTTAGCTCTTGTTGATGAATCTACTTCAAATGCTTCATCAGTATCATCAGGAAAGAATACTTTGTGAAATATTTGGGTGGTCTTATGCTGTATAGCTTCAACTTCTACTTGATGGGGTGGGTATTTCCTTTGTCCATTTCGTATAGTCTTTTGCAGCCGTTGTAAAGAATCTTGTGATATTGGATGCCGTCTTGTCCGCAAAAATAAATTCAATTCCTATTCAAATATGATTGTTAGATATTTTATCCACCAATTTTAAAACAAATAAATTTACTTTTAATAAATTTTGACTACAGGCAAACAAACCAGTAGCCAACCACATTAATTCCCATGCTTTTTCTTCACTTAATCTGTTCTTGTTATCTGTCAATTGTCTCATTAGTTGACAATATATTTCATCTCTTAATATTTCCTTAAATAAAATAAAATTTTTAAAATGAAATTTGTTAAGAAAACTTGTAAGTACAAAATGATTATTTTACATGTTTCAAGGGTCCATCAAATATTTGATCAGTATATTCATTGGGCAAACGTCGCTTGGCAGGCAAATCACCTGTATACTTCAACATAGCTGCAAATGCAAAGCATGCTTCTTCTGCCAGTTCTTCTTTGCCTGCAAGTTTCCTTAACAATGGCAGTTTCATTGGTTCTCTTGTGTGTCTCCATAAATCATCACTGTTAGTACGCCTTGCTGAACTTAAAGTTAATGCTTTAGATACAGTACGCTTTGCTGGAGCTCTAAATACAAACAAATTATGTAAAAGTAAAATATCAATAATGTAATTTTGATTTTGACAATACTAACCGAAAATAATCTATAGCATATTCCATTAAATTATGAGGCTTCTCCCTAGGTTCTGTTCCATTTATTGGTTGTGAATACAATTTACGATTATTTTCAGCAGCTTCCAGACTAAATAATGCCTATAAATTATAAATTCAATGAATAAATATTAAAATTATAAACTGGCATAATTAACATGTTTCTTTATCGTAAATTTGGTTTAATATTTTATGGTTACATAAACATTTTTTATAAGATTTATAAAAATGTTACAATTTTAATGCAATTTCAAATAGTGAATGGCTCATTCTACCCTAATGCAATATATAATTTGAAATTTGTTGACACTTTTATTTAATTATTATATAAAAAAAATTTTGTTTAAAAATTATATTGATAAAAAGTGTTAATAAGTTTTATTTGCACAACTAATTAGTTTTGGCTTAAGCCATCATCGAGTTGCTGAATAACAATGTTATTTAGTGGTTCACATAAAACATTTAAAAAAAAAAAAAGAATATAAATTTTAAAATAAAAATAAACATAATCGTTATAATATCATACAAGTGTGTACATATTTTCTATAATAAAATGATGATAGCAAAGAAATTTGATTAGATAATGTTATCACTATTATTATCATCTTTAAGTTTTTGTAGACAAGAAAATAAAATATCATTTTTTTAATATCTGTTAAAAAATTTAATAAATTATTGAAATTATTGTTTTTATTTCATTATGAATATGGTAACTTTCTAGTACTAAATTTTTTTCTTTTTGTGTGCATATTATTGATAAATCTTTTTCAATGTTATTTGTTATGCTGTGGTTACTTTCTTACATGTTTGGCAAATTAAGATTTGGAATTTTCTTTTTTAATCTAATTTCAGGTGTATGTTCTTTGAATCTTGTTTTAAAGTTTATATCTGTTTTACCCATAGATATTACCTATAAATATTTTGTTACATTCACATTGTAATTTATAAATACCTAGTTTTTAATAAATTAATTTATTGATTTATGATTTATATTGATTTTGTTTTTTAGTGAATTAATGATATTATTTAATTGTTGATATTTTTTAATTAATGATATGTTTTGAAGACTGGTTTGTAAATTTGGTTATTATTAAAGATCATAATAATAGTAATAATCTAATCAAATTTCTCTGTTATCATCGGCTTGTAATAAAAAATATGTACACACTTGTATGGTATTATAACAACTATGTTTATTTTAATTTTAAAATTTATATTGTTCCTTTTCTTTAATTGTTTTATGTGAACCACTAAATAACATTTTTTATCAGCAACCTGATGATGGCGTAAGAAACTAAGTACAGTTGAACTTGGTTAACTTGAAGTTATAGGGACAGGAAAAAAAAGTTTGAGTTATCTAAATTAAAAGTTTTTAAAACAGTACAAAATTTATTGATTCCTATTTATTTATTGTAATTAAAGTGATGTAATAAAAAATATTTACTATGTATTTATATATGAATTATGTATATGTAATTTTAAAGATATATATGTATAAATAAAAATGAGGTTAAAAAATTATTTATTATTTTTAAAATAAGTTCACAAAAATTTTAGTGGAATATCAAATTCTTTAGCTATCAAATAGCTGCTTTTTCCTCATATATTAGCATTTTTAACACGCTATTTATGAGTGAAAAATTATGTATAATCACCATCATATTGAACCGAATACAGAGCACTGAATACTGAAGTCATTCATTGTCATGTAGACAACCAGTTAGATAAACCACTTATCAGTAATGATAACACTAATGAGTAATGACCTTATTTTCGATATTAAAATATATACATAGGTACATGAAGGAAATATCACAATTTTATAATATTAATAAAACTCAAAACTTCGAGTTATCCACGAAAATATTCGAATTAAACAAGATTTTTTCACATTGTTTAAATATTAAATTCTAGGAACCTGAAAAAAAGTTCAAGGTATTTTGAGTTAAAGAAGAAGTTTGAGATAACCAAGTCGGACTGTAGTTGAGTAAATAAAACTTATTAATACTTTGTATCAATATATTTTTTAAATTAACATTTTTTTATATATAATATATAAATATTAAAATCAATCAAGTATAAATACCAATATATCTACTGGTGGTTTGGATAATGTTGGAAGCACATAAACTGTTTCAGCAGGAAAATCGCCTCGTTCGCCAGTTCTCTCACAGTACCCAACACACCAGCCAGATGTCATCACTGTTTCTCCAGTACTGTCATCTTCCAAAATTATTAAATCACCCTTTTGGAAATTTAAGAATGATGTTCCTTCTCCTATAATAGGAACCAATTAATAAGCACAATTCATACAAGAATAGTTTCTATACAATTTACCAGGAGCTTTATAATCTTGAACTCCAATAACAAATGTTGATCGCTTTTTCAACCCCTCTAAGAAATATACTACTAAGTCTCTGATATCTTCAGCATTTGGACTTTGAAATGTAAATTCTTCTCCACGCACAGTTGAAAGTGTAAATGTTTGAGTAAAAACTTTAGTGGTTCTAGAATAAAAAATGGTTAAGATAATCTAATTTATTGCTACAATAATCATAAATAGTATTTAATAAATAGCATTTCTATGTATAATTATATTTTATTATAGGACATACTGCCCTTTAATTTCACATAAAATAATTTAAAAAAAATAAATATACTTTTGACTGGATACAGTAGTTATTTCAGGAAATGATAATTCTAACAAAACTTGTTCCTGATCATCAACAACATAAACACCAGTCCAATTAACAGCAATAATTACATCATTCTTTGGCAAATTTGGACCTATTGACAATAGATATGCACTTTAAAATAATATTATAATTGTTACTAAAATTGAATTTATAAATACAAGTTTTATTTTTATTTTATATTTTGAAACTTTTTTGTAAGTTTTACGGGTTCATCATATCTTTGTTTTTCCTATCAATAATTAAATATTTAATTAACCATTTCATTTATCATAATCAGAGATCAGTTAAATAAATTAGATTTGTAAAAAAATACAAATATAGGGTACAAAGATCCCAAACATAAACACAATTATTTAAAAATCTATATTCAAATGATAACTGACAAATAAATAAAATTTAAAAATACATTTTAAACCATATTCACATAATTAATTTAGTATACAATAAGTTCATAATAAGCAATTATAATTCATGAGTCTATATAATTAATTCTCTTTAACATTTTCATTTTAACCATTCATTTAATGTTTGAGCGAATACAGGAATGGAAAATGGTTCAAAAATTTGATAACAGAGAAATTTAATTTAGTTAATTCGATTTTTTTTTTTTCTTAGTGGTTACTGATTATTTTTACCATGGTGATAACCAAGGAGTGCCAAATTTTATTTATACTATCGGTTCAATAATTTGAAATATTAGGCACTCACAAATTTGCTCAAAGATAATATTATGCTTAGAAAAACCACTAGATAAACATAAAAAGTGCATTTAAAACTTCATTTACAGTTAGTTATATAAATAAATTCTTAAGCGTCCATCAATGAGTTGATTAGTTGATAAGTTTCAAATAAAAAATAAAATACTGTTATACTATACCTGAGTTTCTATAAGCTTCATAAAATCTTGAGAACAGCAATGGCCATTTAAACTTTGCATAGCTTACAACATCTTCTTTTACTCTCAAATGAGCAACATTTTCTTTCAAATAATAACTCTAAATTGTTAAAATATAATAAAATAAAAATTACAACCACTGATAAAAAACCATAAAAATAAATGTTAAAGTAAAACAACTAATTTTAATAATAATATATAATAGAAGAATAGAATAGTCTATATTGGTAATTTAGAAATGAAATATATGTAAAAATTGCAAAATAATTTTTAAATAAATTACTTTCTATACATTTACTCTGGATATAAACATTTATAGATCTGTATAATACATTTAAATTTAACCCTTATATTATTAAATTATCTATTACAATCATTCTATAAAAAAGCTCAAAAAAAAAAAAAATATAATAAATTAAACAATTATATATTTTAATCTAAAAAGAATAACAGACTTTTGTAAAATTCTATCAGCACTGACATACTGTATAATAGTACATTAGTAATTAATAGTATACTATTACTATATAAAGACATGCAATTTAGTTATGTTTTTAAATTCTGAGTATAGTAGGAATACATTGGTTTATATTGGTTTTACTATGGTGTATTTTTGTTTTTGTCAGTGAACATTTCTACCAAAAATTTTGCTAGGATTATCAACTTCAGAGATGTTTTTTGATAGCTAATTTAACATAGTTGGTGCATTGGGGATTTAATTTTTTTTTATTTAAGTTTCTTAATAATTGGGAAAAAGGGAAAATTTTAACAATACCAATATTTGTTGTTTTTGATTTTGTTGAAATTCAGAAAAACCATAGACTTGATATTTTTACAGAGTATGAGATAATAACATAATCTGTGTTGTCACTGTTTTATTTTAATTTTTTAATTTTGTTATCTTAATATTTCACACACTCATCTCCCTTAAAATTGTTATGAAAATGATAATTATTATTATTGAAAAAAACAAAGTACAAATAATTTTCATATTATTATTCGATAAAAAGATCAACAGACCCTAATATTAAAACTAACAGCACAAAGTTGTACACAAATATTCTTGTCACATGATTGTATGATGGAGACAGAACATGCAGATAAGGCTTCTTCTTAAAATACAGTTGATTAGGGCCTAGAACATTTTTTTTTACTCTAATACATTGCTCATATTAAAAAAAAATCTGTTTCTTGAAATATAATAGATAGGGGACAATTTATATTGAATTTTAGATTCTGAATGTTGCAAAAAGGGTATTGACTTTACTATGATGTATGCTTTTTTTTTCCTGTCTGTAAATAACTTATTTACTAAAAATCTTATTCTAGTTAAAAAATTACATGTTATGTATTTGAATGCGTTTAGAAACTATTTTGTGCACATTAGTGATTTTTTTAATTTCCCAAGCGATTTTATAATAATTGAGGAAAATGTATAGTAAAAATAGTCAAATATAGTCATAGGACATCTGCCTGCAAAAACTGCATTTATCAAACTTAACTATTTATTAATAGAAATTAGTTTGATGTGTGAAGTACATATTAAATAGACCAAGGGTTCTCAAAGTGTAGTACATGTACCACTAGTAGTATATGACAGACATTATGGTAGAAAGCCAAATAATAGAAGTATGGAAAATAAATTAATAAATATTCATATAAACGTTTTTAATGGATCTAATACCACAATTGTATACATTGTATTTTTATATTAACTATATTGAAGTATTTTATTGTCTTACATTTCTATCATTTTGAAATAAATGTCAAGACAATAGTTCAATCTTTAGTTACAGGTTATAGTTATAGGGTGATAAGTGATGGATCCCCAATACAGCAACTGTAAAATTAAGCATCATAAAAATCATAATACAAAAACAAGCAATATAATTTTTCCTTTAACTTCATGATACTGTTTACTGAGTTTAATTTGTCATGGAAATATTAACAGGTCAATTATTTTATGTTATTTTATTAAAAATAGAATTAACTAAATTATTTACTTAAAATTATAACTTAAAAATGTTTTAAACATTTTACTATTTTTAGAAAAGGCAAATATAAGTTTTCTGTCCAAATTTCAAGTCTACAAATATTTTTAACAGAATTACAATAAATTACAAAACTAAAACTAATAAAAACATTTTCATAAATTTTCCATTTTTCTTACTTTTTATCCCAGTTTTTTCCAGGTATTAAGAAAACCACTTGAAAAATCAAAAAAATGACCTCTCAAAAGTACTATCTGGACAACATTCCGTTTCAGAAATGTTGCAGTATATATCTGAGCAAGATTTCTGGTAGAATTTTTGAACACAGTATAAAAAAAAAAAAGGGAATAATAATAATATATAATTTTGGCTGCATACAAATTGCATTCATAAAAAACGAAAATGTATCTCATGACAACAGGAGTGACATCCACAGTTGTTCAGAAACTGTCTGAGTTGCCCCAAAAATAATTGTTATCATATAATATATTTTTCTACGGCAAAACTTGCACAAAAAAGTTTTTGAAAGAATTATGTTTAGTTGATGAATAAGGTTGTTTTTTAATTATCCATCTTTTGTAGTTTTCTAAATAATTATGCAACAGAAAGTTTACAGAAATAACAGTTTTATTATTTTTAATTTTATTTTTTAAGATAAATATCATAAAGATTACATTTCATAGAATACTTATAATGGCCTTTTATAGACATAGTATAATTTTCAATATTTCCTTGTGATGGTTGTAATAACATTAATTACATTTTCAAATAGTTTTATTATGTTTTATTTGGTAGGTATTGATTCATTAAAAGTTGTACTTAGCAATAAAAATTTAAAAGATTTAAACATGAAGTAATAGGTTTTTTTTAATGTAATGTTTCAATTAAGATTAAATTTTGATGAAAATCATAAAAATCATGTAATTTCAAAACATGTATAATGGAACTTTGCTCAGAATGGAATAGTTTTTCCTTAATATTCTACCATTGTTTACAGATATAAATTAAATATATATATATATTAATTAAATAACTTTATGTATCCTACCTATACCAGTGGCATGTTCCTAATATCGTTATTTTTTTTGATTATTGTCATTCTTTGGGAAACTGCATGACATATATTCATTTGTTCATATAATTTAGTTATTAATTTGTATACTTTCTGACCAAATATATTTACATTTTCACTATATTTAAGAATTAATTTTAAAATCATTCAGGTCATTTTTTAAGTCACAAAAAAATAAAAACATATATGTATAAAAAAACAAAGATATTTATTTTTGTATCTCATAGTTTTGTTAAATTTGGTTACATTTTTATTGTGAAACCAGATATTTTTAATGTCGTTTTTGATTTGTGTTTAGAAATTTGTTTTTTTTTTTTTAAAATATTTTTAGAACATTTAAAATTATAGGCCCTAATTATTAATTAATTTAACAATTAAAATGCTCCTAAAAACAAAACAAATTTAAATTTGTAATTGTACTGTTTGCCATATGAGTATTAATTTCAACATGCACATGCAATTAATCATGCAGATAAATAGATACTATTGAAAAGTTTGTAGATATTCACACATAACCCATCACCTACCTCAGTTGTTCACTGCCCCTGAAGCAAAACTCATCCATTGACCTTAACCTTATAAAAATTATATATTTCTATGTTTTTGAAAAAACTTATCCAGCCCATAACCACTGTGATTGTTAAATCAAACTGAAAAGCCACAACCTTATCTAAAAATTCTTTCAGCCAACCAGTTTAAAAACAAAATTAATTATTACTTAATTACATTTGATAATATTATTTGGCAAAACAAAATGTAAATTTCTTACCTTTTTGTAGGCTTGAATTATCAAAGTATTCCATCTTTCAATTGATTTTTCAGCATTTGTTAAACAGTAATCAGGAATATAATTTGGTAAGAGATTTAATAACCTCTCAGTATTAAGATCGGTATTGTGTTCAATGTAATATTGTTGTGCGGAAATCATAGCTAAATCTTCTTCCTTTGAATCAATGTTCGATATTTAACGTCAATTTTTCAATATTTAATTTGAATAATTTTTAAATAACACAAACCTTATCACATCGATATTCACCAAATTTTACACCTCGTACTACTTGTTGATATATTAAATTAGTAGCAACTTGATCTTCAGTAGGTTCATGCCAAGGAGCAAAAATTTCTTTTCTAAAAAATAATCTCCATGGAGCATTCCTTTCTTGAGCACCTTGTTCTTTAGCATATTGTTCACATTGAGATATAGCATCCATAACATGGTCACCGCCACTTCCTAATGAGGACACCTACACATGTGTTAAAATATTATCCCAAAATGATATCTGATCAGAATATTTTTCAGTACTAAATACTTTGTCAAATAACGCTATATAAAGTGAAAATCCAAATTGATCTTTTAGTCCAATTTTATCAGAGAGCTGATTACAAAGTTCTCGGGCTGTAGTAGCAGAATCAGCTAACAAGGTTTTAGTATTTCCATCCATAAAAGTAATAGGAAGCATTATAGGTTTTTTAGATTTTGTAGCCTAAAATAAATAAATAAATTTATATAACATGTCATTACAATTATTAATAAAAATCAAACCTGTAATTCCAACCAACTTGGAGGCTGGTTTCGTGTACCATTATTAAATGTGCGTTTCAAACGATCTTCACAATAAGGTGCATATCCAGGTGGTCCCTCTCTAATAAATGCCCTCAAATAATTAACAAATCGTTCAGAGGGAGCAAAACATCCAACACACAGAGATAGTAAAATCCATCCTCTTGCATGAGAGGATTTGGATGGGTTTGCAGATAGTTGCTTACAAATTTGACAATATATTTCATCTCTATAAAAAAAAGTTTAATATGTTTAATACTATATTAAAGTACAAATTAAAATATACAATATGTATGTAGTGTCCCATGAAGATATATACCTACTGTTATATCTTGAAAGTATTAACTTTTTTCAAAATTGGTTTTTTATTATAACCAAGCAGCCCTAAAATTTTACAAATTCATTATTGTTCTCACTCTTTTTTTTGTGAGGCATACTCCTGATTTAAAAATTCCATAAACAAAGTATTAGTTTAAATACATTTTGGTATTAAAGTTACTGATTTCAATTAACTTGTTGAGGAGATATTAACTTTCAAGTTTGAAAAGGGGAGAGTAGAGGAACATCATTTGTGTGACAGCATTTGAATAGTGCTTCATCACTACTTGAAAATGTAATATCTCCATTGATAGAAATCAATAATTTCAACATTCAAAATGTATTTAAACTAATACTCCATGTACATTATTTTTAATGTAAATTTGAAAATAAAAACTAGGAAGTTCACCTTCATAAATAGGGATGATAAAAAATTAATGCAATGTAACATACTAAAAATACTACAATTATAAAAAAATCTGTTAATACTTTAGGGGTGTATCTTCATGGAACACCTTGTGTGTATGTAAAAGTAATTAACTACTTTAAGTCTAATAGTATAAAGTTCCAAAAAAATTCACAAAACTACAATAAAAGAGTGAAGATAAAGTAAGAAAATAATGAGAATTATTTTATTTAAAAGAATTAGTTTTCCTTAAGTGGATAAAACTAATTGACTACCTACTACAAGAAAATAAATCCAAAGACCAGTTTAAAGAAGGAAATCAATGGATATCAATATACTAATTTTAATGTAAACACAACATATATAGTAAATATAAGTTTAAATTATATACTTATTTACCTTAGTTCTGCACGTAAAATACCATGACCAATAATAAAATGCAGTTTTTCAAGATTAGATGTGGGTCGTGCATCTAACCAAGATTGATAACTATCAGCTGCAAATTCATCATCTTGTAACCGTTTTCGTACATCTTCTCCCAATTTATTCTTCCGTTTCAAAGTAAGTGATACTAACTTATGGCGAATAGATCGAGGTTTTGTTTTTAAAAAACTTTCCTGTTTAAAAAAAAAAAAAAAAAAAAAAGTTAAAATATTATATCTATTAGTTTTAAATACAAAATTTTAAAAAAAAATCTCCATACAGGATCCATTCCAATCATTTGAGCTTCGTAAAATTCTTTACTACGGATAAAATTACGCCCTAATGTTGCAGTAACTTTAGACATAACTGAAGTATTATCTCTTTCCATTGTATGATAACGTGGTTCAGATAAATCTCCACAAAATCGAAGAATAGTAATCCAAAGTGCTTGTGCAGCCTGTTGAACATTATTACTTTTAAATCATTCAATTATATGATATATAATATATATATTTAATAATTGCAAACCAATTGATCTCCTTGGGTATGTAATGGTAATAGTGGATGCTTCAAAGGTTTCCTTGAACATTGATGAGTAATATTTCCTTGAAAATATGTTGTGGCAAACTTTTGAAATTTAAATTCACTTAAATCTTCTTCATCATTAACAACTGGTTGTATGTCATTAATAATATCTTTGTCATCAGTTTTTGTTGTAGGAAGGTCCTACAAAAAATATACAATTATCATTGATTAAATAATATAATAATATCAAATATATTATTTTCTAGCTATCTACTACATTCATCATAATTTACATTAATTTTACACATAAAAAAGCAACTGAATATAATATAAATAGCATAATTAACATACTGAAACAAATCTCAGTAAGTAAATTATCTTAAATAACTTAAGAGGAATAGTCACTTGAAACATCTCAATATCTTGAGTAAGCACCAACACATATGATGAAAAGATACCTCATAAAAATAGTAATTTAAATGATGACTAAAAAATAGAAGATTACAAATATCTATTTTTTAAATTCCTAATTTAAGTTTAGTAATATAATATCCATTATAAACCAATATCTTTTAGTATTTAATATTTACAATTAACAATATAAACATTAATATCTCCATTATTAGTTATAAGAGTTCTTGATTTAAACTGTGAATATGTATGTGAAGAAGAAGTAGGTGTACACATAAAAAAAAAATGAGAAAATCGAAAAATGACCTCTTCAATGTATCTCACTACACCAATTTCCTTTAAGAAAAATTGCTACACATAGAAATCCGAGCAAGTCTTTTGGTAGAAAAGTTGTTCACAAAAAAAAAAAATAATAATAACATCTTTATAAAACCATAAGCTTCTTTGCTCCACTCAGAACTTAAAATGATATTTTTTAAGAATAAGGGTGATGAAAATCATGTGATATTATAACATCAGTTTGTATATATTTCCTGATACTAAAATCAAATTCATTGTTTATTAGGGAAATTATTATTATTACATATACACACTGAAATAAAAAAAATAATTTTAATAATATTTCATAATATATTTATGTCTAATAATAAACCATTTTAAATAATCTCTCCTATTAAAATAAATTACTTTTATATAAAAAGACCAGTTTGTATCATTTTTTTCCATGTTTCGTTTATTTAATTTTTTATATTCAGTTGTGGTTTACATTTTGCCTGTGATATACAGGATGATGAATTTTTGATTCAAAACTGTATAATTCACTTATCATAGTACAAATTGGTCGTTTTACATAGAAACAATTTATTTTAATAGGAGATTAATTAAAATAGGGTTATTATGCAATGTATTTATTCATCTATTTATTTTTTATTTTTATATTTACATTTTCTATTTATATATTTATTTAGGAGTATTAAACATATTAATAATTTTGTTTTTGGTTTAATATTTTATTAATTATTATATTTTAGAAATTTGATATGTGAATGCATGTGTACATGTGTACACAGATTTATCAAATTCAGAGTTTTATAGAAACTAATGTTAATTTCATATGAACACATGAAAATACATGTACATGTTAAATAATGAGCTCTATTAGTTATTGAACCAAGTTATAATCAAACATATGTATTTTATATTGATATAAATATATATATATCTATACATTTTTATATGAATAGAAAAATTTATATTATTATACATGCATCATTAAATTTCATTGCCAGTAAAATAAAAATAAATAGATAAATATGCATAGATTTTAATTTTTAAATAAATATAGAAGTACCTATTTAATCAAAATTCATACCATAAAAACTGATGTTCCTCTTGTTGCCATAGGTGTCTCACTGCTAGAATCTGGGAGGAAGTCAAACATAGCTTCAACAAGTTTACTATCATCCACAGGTTCATCTTGCTTCCTTGCTGCATTACTTATAAGATTTTTTTTAATCTCCATCTGTCTCTTTTCTTCTTCTTCAATCTCATGTTCTTTTCTTTCTAATTCTTGCATACGCTCCTATATATATATATATAAATATATTAAACATCTTATATGAATTATCATTCAAAAAAACTAACCCTATAATTTTGTTCAGCTATTTCTTTGGCTCTTTTGTTTCCAGCTTCTTTGAGTTCTCTTTCTTCTTTTTTCTTTAATTTTAAAGCCTCAATCTGTATTCTAAATTCAAACTAAAATACATTTGTACATTTTAATAACATAGCATAACATATTATTAATAATAAACAATTAAAATACCTTAATTTTATTAAACCGTCTTTGAGCAATGATTCTTCTAACATGAGCTTGAATTTTAACTATGGCCCACATTTTATGGGCACACATTCTTCTGACTAGATAACCTCGAGATTGGGCCTGCAATCCTACAATATGACCACGTAAATGTTTGAATCTATGAGATAGTACACGTGATCTGATTACAGCTTGTAATCTAAGATAGCCTACAAGCATCTGTCTATATTTTTTCTTTTGAGAATAACCTCTAAATTGTTTTTGAATTAAAACTACAGCTGACCTCATTTGTAAGTATCTGAAATTACAATATTTTTGTTTAAAAGAATGTACTTTAAATATGATAAATTATTTTACCGTCTTCTATATACCCAACCCTTTATTGACTTCTGAATGATAATAATCTTTTTGGTTAAAACTCTATCACGTTCTTGTTCCAAAAATAAATCATGTGCATCTTTAAGAAATATTTTAGAATTTCCCAATTGATAATCAGACCGTCCTAAAACAGCTTGGCAAATGTGTGCAGTCATTTTTTTACAATCAGTCTAAAAAATTAACACATTAAATTATTTTAACATATACATATTTTTTTAAATATTAATAACCTTGTGTGCTGGTGGTATTCCAGGTATCAAAAAGCGGTACCGTTCAATAAATTCATTAAAACCATGTCTTATAGGATATCCAGCTCGCCTAATTCGTATAGTTTCCATCATACCTGAATAACGAAGTTGGCGACAACAAAGACCTCTATCAAACATCTAAATTAAAAAAAAAAAACGCATTAACATTTGATAAAACGTATCCATCAATAATTACCATTGGTTTTTTTAACTCATTTGGCTTAATACATCGAATAAAAAATGGTTGACAAGTGCATAAAGTTTTCATAAGTAAATCTAAAGATTTTTTAAATTGAGTTGACAAAGTTGGAGCTCTTTTTCTAGTCTCAGAACCCATATCAATGTCCTCAGCAAATAAAACTTTTAAATATTTATTTGTAGAAATATGTATTAATTGTAAAAGATCAGTACTAAATGTATCACGATTCTTTTCTAAAAATCCTATTTAATTCAAAATAAATACATTAATAACTAGTTAATTAGGAATATATTTTATCATATTACCTCTGGTATCATAAAAAACTACACCAGCAAAATGATTTAGTCCAAAAGATGCATTCATGTCAGACTTTGGTTTTAAATAATTTCGATGATTGCCATGTGTTTTATGCATTTTTGCCAACATAGTTGTATCAGTACCCTAAAGAAACAATACATCACAAGTCAAATTAAAAAAGTGCTCATACTCTCACTATTGAAAATGGAAAGTTGAGAAGATAGGATAGATTTTCATTAGTAATAATAAATCATTGCTAACCTAACTCGAAGAGAAATTTTGTAGTAGATGTTTTAAAAAGCCCAATATTTATTATTTTTATCAAACTTTAATATTTCTTACATAATTATTTTTTGAAAAAAAAAAGGTAGATATATTTCAAACAATATAACTTTGGTACATTATAAGTCATACTTTGTGGAAAAATAAAATTAAGTATTAAATAGAATTATTTTTTTATACAATTTTTAGTATCAAATTTTGATAAAAATTGTAAATATTATCAATTTATCACCTTGCTCAGAATCGTTTTTAATAAGTAATCATTAATTGTTGGTACAGGTATAAACATTAAATTCCCCACTATATTTCACCTTCCTAATTTTTTACCTACAACTGTGGCCAACCCATTGTGTGAAGTAGGTCTGTTTTCTTAAAAATGAAGTTACTCTACAAGGATTGAAAGAAAATTACAAAGAATTTGGTGTTTTGTCAGTAATGTACTTAATATAAAAAAAATTGTTATAATGTACTTAGATAATAATCTTAAATTAGATACTTATATACTTACCAGGGATTAAAGTGAAAAAAAAAAATTTAAAAATTATGATTTTCCGGTTGAATAGACTAATAACTCTTTTAGTCAGTCTTTTTTTGATTACTGTTATCTATTTATTTCAATTCTATGCAGCTTGAATTTTTAAAAAAACAGACTTACTTCACATCATGTAGGTGGACCACTGTTGTTGGTGAGAAGTTGGGAAAGTATTAGCGGGGAAATTTAATGTATATCTCTACACAACAATTAACCATTGCTAATGAAAAACAATTCTGAGCAGAGTTCAGTTGATAGTAGTACTTTTTCAATAATATATGTCATATTATGGAGAAATAGTTACTATGAATTATATATTTTCTATAATAATATTTGTTTTATATTGTACCTATCTTCCAGGTTTTCCTATGCTTTTTACAAATTTGTCTCATTTAATATGAACAGCTGAGAAAATCAAAAAAATAACCTCCTTTAAGTCACCCCCCCCCCCTTCAGATTTCCTTTCAGAAAAAGTGCTATAATTGAAAATTAGAGTAAAATTACTGTTAAAAATTTGTTCATAGAATCGCGGGGAGGGGAAGCAATAATTTTTTTACTAATACCTACATTGTTTTCCAATTAATTAGAAAAACTACTTGGGAAATCAAAAAATTACCTTTTTGAAATACCAACAAGATAAAATTTTCCTTCAGAAAAGGTGCTACAATTGATAAATGGGAGCAATAAATTTGATACACAGTATAATTAGACAAAAAAAAGTTTGTAAAACCAATACATTCCTTACTATGCTCCGAAACTAAATATTTTGATTAAAATTGCATGGTTTTATAGAAAATGCTCTATATTTTATTACAGATAACAAAATTAAATTATCCTCTCTTTTTCAGTTATTAAGTAAATTATTATTATAATGTTCACTAAAACTCTTAAGCGGGTCATGCACCCATCAGTAAACTTTACAGCAAGTTAGTACAGGTTACCACATCAAGTCTTTCACAGTTTTATTAAACTCTCAGGTTTATCTTAACCAATGTTCTATACAAATATATTACATGGGTGAACAGCTCAGGAACAAGTGAGGTTAGGTTAAAAATTATATTCAAGCAACTTATTTTGGTGATTAATAAAAAAAAATACTAACTTTTGGAAATTTAGATTCTTCATCAATAAGAGCCATAATATTTAGTTGTTTTGTAGCAATAAGGTCCAAAGCATCTTGATTATCAACAAATTCAATATGCAACCAGCTTATATGTTCATGGTTATATTCTTGCTGTTCCAATTTAAAAATATGTTGAACAAAAAATTGTTGCAAATTTTCATTAGCAAAATTAATACAAAATTGCTCAAAACTATTAATTAAAAAAATATAGCATTCAGTAATTTAGGCAATAAAAATAAAACTAAAAAATGTAAATTTACCTATTAGTCTTAAAATTTTCGAATCCAAATATGTCTAAAACACCAATTGCACTTCGGGTAGTACCTTTTGGTTTATAAATTGCATTATTAATTTTGCTAACAATGTGAACAAACAAACGTCCATAAATCCCTTTTACAAATGCATCTCTAACATCTACTGATTGATCTCTTGAGAGAGTTGAAATCTTAAAATTGTAATACATAGTTAATCAATTAGTATTAATACCTACATTTTTCTTTTTAAATCAATACATACCACAGTTTCACCATGAGCAAATATAGTTTTTCTAGTCAAAGCATCAATCAATGATTGTACAGGCACACCAATTAAATTGGCAACCCTTGTAACATTTGTCCGGTCAGGAATTTCAGTGGCATCTAAATTATCTACAGATAAAATTATTATAAAAATATATGAAAAAAAAGATGGACACACGATGGATAACAAACAAAAAAAAATTCTGAGCGGAGTTCAATTATAAATGTTTTAAAAGATCATAATATTTACGGTTTTCATACAAATTTGATATTAAAATTATCATAAACAAAATTTTACATTACAATCATTTTTTTTTTTTTTTTTTTACTAAAATGAACCTCCTCTTACATTTTCAAGCATTTCTGTTCTATTTTAGTCAAACGATTTTATAACATTATACCTACCAAACGAAAATTAAGTAAAAAACTTGCAAAATTTAAATGTCCATAAATAGCTCACAAATAGCTAAAATATATTTAAAATTTTCACCATATCTAGAAAAGGCAAATATAAATGTTATAATCAAACTGCAAGTCTCTATGAATATTTTTATCTGAATTACAACAAAAAAACAAAATTAAAAATAATACATTTTGTTAATTTCCTATTTTTCATACATTTATTCCCATTTGTTATGAAACCCTTAGGAAAATCTAAAGAAGACTTCCCTAAAGTACCACCCAGATAAAATTTCAGTTCAGAAAACGTGCTACACTTGAAAATCGTATCAAGATTTCTTGTAGGAAAATCACTAAGATAAAAAAAATAAACATCATTGTAAAACCAATACATCCCTACGCTCAGAATCTAAAATAGAATAGAATATAAATTAAAATAAATACCAATTATTGCAGCTTTGTATTTTATATTTCCAGTATGCAATAGAGCAGCTAACAATTTTAATATTTCCCAAATTTCTTGATCAGAAAATAGTAATACTTTCATAGCGGACCTAATATCTGAAAATTCAGCAGCATCATCACGTCCTTCACAAGTAATACTTCCCCCCTAAAATTAAAATTAAATATAAAATAATAATTATAAAAATGATAAATGTTTTGGCTTGTTGATATAAACTAAATAACACTAGTGTTACAAAATGATAGTCTTATATGGAAAATGGGATGTCAATTAATTAATATTGCAATACAATTTGTACTTTAAAGGTGACATTTTTTTTACTTTCTTAATAGTTTTAAGAGAAACTAAATAACTATTAAACATTCAATAATAATACAAAAATCTAAAAAATTTGTTTAAAAATATGCTTGTTATATCTACTAAAACAAAAAAATAATAATAATACTAAATATAAAATTTGTATTATTTATTTATTGTTTTTTATATGAAATAAGTATTTGATAAAGCTTAAAAAAAATCCCCAATATTATGAAACATATTGGGTACTATTTGTTTAGCAATAGTTAAAATTTAATTTAATACATAATATCCTAAACAAATATGATTTTGGAAATAAAAAAAATAAGATAAATAATTTTAAACAAATTATTAGATTTAAGTTTTTTATAATCAAAATAAACACAAATAAAAGAATTTTATACATTGATTTATATAATCATATTATAATATTATAATCAATTTATATAATGATTTTATAATAAATATATAAATTTACAAAAATTGACTTACGCCTGTGAGGTATTTGTACTGTGATGCATCAGTAAGTTCTAACTTGTCTTTATCATCACTTGATAGACCAGCTAATAAACAATAAAATATATGATAATTCCGTTCATCAAGTGATTGAGATACAATACGAGACTTTTCTAAAAGATATTGTTCAATTTTTGCTCCTTCAATAACACCATTGTGATTAAAGTGTATGTCAATGTATTTACCAAATCTTGAAGAATTATCATTTCTTATAGTTTTAGCATTACCAAAAGCTAAAAAGATTTTACACATTAATAAAAAAAAAAATGATTAACTAATTAGTAACAAAAAGAAAAAAATCAAAACAAACAAAAAAGAGTTGATACTGGGAATAGATGCGGCCAATGTTATAGGTGGGTAGTAGGGAAAGTAGGATTCATAGTTATTTAATTTATGCCTGTAATGAATGATAAACTATTGGTAAAGAAAAACAATTCGGAACAAAGTTCGGTTATACATGTTTTGAAAGGCAACTTAGGATTTTCATCAAAATTTGATTTAAAAACTCATAAAAAAAGGACTACATTAAACTTATTTATTTTTTTTTACCACTTAGTATGACATATCAACTACCTGTCAAATATTTAAGAATTTCTGTTGAGCCTAACAATTAATCTATCGAGTACCTATGAAATAAAAATTACACAAAAAACTCGAAAAATTAAAATGTCTCTAACAAATAGCTCAATAATTGCTCAAATAATCTAAAAATTTGACAAAGTCTACAGTCTCTAAAATTTAAATCATTATCTGCCAACATTTTAATTCTATAAATATTTTAACTGAATTACAACAAAACAACATAATTTAAAATAATAAAATAATTATTTTCATAAATTTTCCCATTCTTTCTATGTATTTTTCGGTTTTGCTCAATTATTAAAAAAGCTACATTAAATATCAAAAACCCGCTTCTTTGATCAACAACAAAATTAAAAATTCAACAAAAAAGATCTTTTATCAATTTATCTATTGGAGCAATATTTATGGTAAAAAACATAAAAATTTAAAATAATGAAATCATTGTGCCCTAATTTGAAAATAAATTATATATTTCATGTTTTTTAGTTTACCCCAATTATTATGAAAAATACTTTAGATATAAAAAAACAACTTTCTCTGACAGTAATTATATGTTGAAAGAAACATAATCGATCTCTTGTCATTTTTAGATTGGAATAATATTTTGGGTGGAAAACCTCATGTAAACATAATAAAAACAATGTCATTAATATTTGTCAGTTTACCTAAACTACAACTTTCTTTCAGGTTTTTCCCAATCATTTCAAAAAAACAATAATAAATTACGATTTTCGTCAAAATTTAATTTTAACTCTTTAATTTAAATTTTTTTTGTTTAACCACAAAGTACGACATTTAATGAACCTCCTATCAAATTTTAAAGCATTTCTATTAACAGAATGTCTACCCGCATCTTCTGTCTCAGTTCAACTACTTGGTAACATGCAAAATAATCTTTACGGAGAATAAGTAAAACTAGCATAATTTTGATTATAGATTAAAAGTAGAGTCCATGTACCCAGCACTTCCCCCCCTAGAGTTTTTTGGAAAAAACCCGGGAATACGATTTTATATAGTATAAAAAACCATATAGTTCCCTAATTTGCATTTGTATTTTATACATGTGTAATTATTACTGGGTGTATTTATTATTGACAATTGGTATTTATTTTTTGAAATATTTACCTATAACAAGAAAAAAAAATTACAAGTAAATAGACAACTCCTAGGTATTAGAAAAATATAGGTAAATTTTTCATTTTTTACATTACCCATATGTATTTTATGTTATAATAAACATCATTAACATTCCTCGCTAACCCTCTTATATAAATATATAGATGACCTATATATAGGCTATGATCAAAATGGGTAGCTTAGTATATGCATTGACAAATTTTCTCAAGGGAAGGTTTTTTCTGATGATAGAGGAGCTAAGTTTTAAAATGAACTTTCTTTAGGATTTTTATATCTAGTCACTGTAAAAATAAGTAATCTACATATCATGGATCTATGTAAATTTCCTAAGAGCAATTTTAATGTAAAAACTATTCACGCATTAGTTTTATATATAATACTATGTTCAAAGTAAATTCAAACAAGTTAGTAATTAAAAATGACATTACGGTACATTCAATAAAATCAAATAGTACTACCTTTAAGTAATAGTCAATAATTATTGTATAAGTAACTAAATAAATATCAAATTTTACCTAGTTAATAATTTTCTTTACTTTTATTATTGTAATCACTCCACATTTTATTTAGATATTTTAAACATTAGCTAATATATTCTTTTTTTTATTATACTGTACAATCAGTCATGTTTACGATAGATTGTAGGACCTTGATAACCTTTCAGGCAATTTTTAATTTAAAATACTGTATAAATTTAATTACCCTATAGTATATTACCAAAATAATGTAAACTTCACACCATCTACATTGGCCTACTCATGGTACGATGTACCTATTTGTGTATAACTCTTTTATGTAATAATAATATACTATTATATTGTATACCTACTCAAATTGAATAGTATATAATATAATACAGGTACTCTATACATTTTAAGAATGGTACTCGTTGGCCACACGTTTTCATACCAGAAGCCTATTCTTAAATCACCAGTCTTAAAGTGAATAGATTATACTATAGGTATTTAGTACAGTACTGTAATGTCACTATATAAGCAACAGTAGGCTTGAAATAGTGCCTCAAAGAGAGCACTTCACCTTATCCCAAGGTACCTGTCATTACTTCAGAAACATAAAACTCCTATAACTGTTTTGTACTTTTGATACAAATGTTTTTAATAGACTGGTACAAACCTAGCCTATTTGAATGATATTATTTTTTCAATATCCTATAGAGTATTATAGATGTTAGCATGTCCCCAGCACCCACACTTTCAAACGACAGTAACTTTTTTATGCTCTCAGTACAAACGATCACTCTGGGAATATTCTAATAAACTCTAGATAGGTATGCTGGGAACATATATACAATATTTTAGAGGAAATGTTATCAAAGTTTATTGAATTTTGAACTACTCAAAAAGTTATTTAGAAAACAACAAAAAAATGTTTATATATATTTTATATCGAGCTGTAAATTTTGAACAAAACAAAAACCTTAAGACATTCCCTCCAAAATAATGTTCTTTATACATTTCATAATAGGTACTCGAAAATCAAAATTAAGCTAGTTTTACTTATTCTGCATAAGCATTGTTTTAGCATGTTACTCGGTAATTGAACTAAGACTAAGACAGTAGATGGGGGTATAACTTCCTTTTAAGTCTAACAATTTATTTACAGAGTACCTACCAAATAAAAATTAAGTTAAAAACTCGCAAAAATAAAATGTTTATAAATTGCTCAAAAGATTTGAAATAACGTTTAGGAAAAGTAAGTATACATTTTCTGTCAAAATGTTGAGTCTCTACAAATATTTTAAGCTGAATTATAACGAAAAAATCAAATTGAAAATAATAAAATCATTATATTTTTAAAATTTCTGGTATGTCTACATTTTTGTTCTTTATGCTCGATTATTAAAAAAACTACAGAGAAAATCAAAAATGAATAACTTACTCATGACCTAGATTAAAAATGTAACAAAATAAGTCTCTTATCGTTTATATTTTGAAGAAATATGTAATATTATTTATTTATTAACGCCACTAGGGCACAGTATGGTAATAATTAATATGACAGTTGAGACAAAAATAACAAATTATTAAATTAACAAAATCAACAAAAAAAAAAACCATTACAAAAGAAGCAAGGAAAAGAGAACACAGAGAACTTAGTCTTAACTACATAATACTTATGGTAATTTTTGTAAATTTGAAATGTATCATGAAAAATATCAATATTATTAGCATTATTTAAGGTGCGTAGTACACAGTCAATAGGGACTGTGGAATGATAATTCATTGTGTGAAAATTAAATGTAAATGTTGTAGGGGTTCTCATCTTAAATAATGGTACTATTAAAGAGATTTTACTAACTAAATTGAGAGCATCAATTGAACCATTGTGTAACTTATAGATAACCGCTATAGTATAATTCTGTCATCTATTAGATAGTAAAATAATATTTAACCTAAGCCTACAGCGAAAAAGAAGTGTAGATAGGAATTTTTTTTGGATCTTGTTTAATCTTTCAATAAAGTTATTATGATAAGGTAACCAAATAATTAAACCATAGTCAAGAACTGATCTAACAAATGAATTGTATAAGATAATAAAAGTTTTAATATTAGAAAACTCATTTGTATCACCAGTAATAAAACCAAGTATACATGAAGATTTTTTACAGAAAAAGTAAATATAGTCATAAAAGAAAGATTTGAAGAAAACATAACACCGAGGTCTTTAATTATAAGAACAGATGATAGACAAAAGGAGTTAATTATATAAGCAAAATTATTGCGGCACCGACATCAAGTAAATGGTGTCATGTTACATTTTTTAATATTTGTAGATAAATTATTATTTAAATACCACAAATAAGTTATCTAAACATTTCTGTAGTATCTCACAATCCGAGAACGGTTTTTAAATAATTTTAAACTGTCAGAAAATAACAAAAATGTTCAATTAGGGAAGCATTGAGAAACATCATAAATAAAAATATTAAATAACCAAAGAGACAAGTGTTCGCCTTGGGGAACATCAGATGTATTGCAATTGGGGATCAGTAATAATTATAGATCTTCAATGTTTGAGTACAAGAACTAATATATGAATCAAACCAGAATAAGAGGATTCAAAATGCCAAAATGTCTCAATTTGAACAATAATAAATTATGATTAACGCTATCAAATGCCTTTTGAAGATCAGTATAGATTACATCCAATTGTACACCCGCTTCAACAGAATCAAGAAGGAACAAGTGAAAAGTTACTAAATTAGTGAAGGTAGATCTACATTGCTTAAAACCATGATGTTCATTAATAAAATAATTTTTGAACAATGAATTAATTTTGGGTGCTATCAAATATTCGAAGAATTTAAGTATAGCCGAGATGATAGATATTGATTAGTAGTTTTTTATATCGGACATATTCCTCAATTTAGATATCGGTTAAATAAAACTTGATTTCCATAAAGTAGGAAAACAACCTGTAGATAATGACTGTTTAAACAATAAAAAAAAGGGAAAATCTACAATTACATAAAATTAATGGTGGAATATCTTCAGGACCAAAAGTAATTTTGGGATTAAGTGAACTCATTCAGATCAACAATATTAGATGAACTGTCATCAAAAGATATATTTAAATGTTTATGGTAGAAAACATAAGCTGTAAAAATTTAAAATAATAAAATCGTGCTTTAATTTGAAAAAAATGTCATCTTTTATGATTTTTCCTAATTATTTTGAAAAATACTATAAATAGGTATCTAAAAAACTACATTCTTCGACATATGTTAAAAGAAACAAAATCAATCTTTTATCATTTTTCAATTGGAGTAATATTTCTGCTATAAAACAAGTTGAACATATTGTACTAATGAAACCAGAATTAATCAATTTTAATTTTTTGGTTTTTCCTAATTATTAAAAAACAACTTTTGGATATTGAAAAACAGTGGTCAGTGGTAAAATATTATAAGGACCAAAATCGATCTCTTGTCATTTTTGGATTGGAGCAATATTTCTGGTAGAAAAATTGTTCAGACAGGAAAAGAAACACATCCATATTAAAACCAATAGACCCTTAGCTACACTCTGAATCTAAAAACCTAATTTGCCAGTATTGTATAATTTAATAATAAGAATTGATAAAAAAGAAAAATTGTTTTTAAATTGTCCTAAGTATTGATAGAAATACATAATAAGTATATTTGTATAATATTACTGTGTTCTTTGATTGTCAATAAATATAAAATCATTTTTCTATACTTCATAATAAAAAATAAGGTATACACATTTGGAACCTCTTGAATTTTTTTTTTTTTTTAAATGTGTATTTATGTACCAAAAATATGATGGTACTATAATAATTTCAATAATCATAATTTCAAAATTACAATATTTCGACGTTATATATTATTATGTAATATTATATAGATTTTTAATTCTTTTTTTATTAATATATACATAAAATTATTAAATAAAAACAACAATGTAATCACCAAGTCACTTTAATCAAGTTTGACATGAGCTCATAAAACAAGCAAATTGAGATGGCCTATGGTCTAACCTCCTTTAGTGAAATTTAGTTTTACATCTAAAACACAATTCTCCTTGCAGAGTAGAGTATCAGATCAAGTATCAGATTAGAAATATAAGGCAAGTAACTGGTATTACCTTCTCTGCAATTGTTAGTTCTGTATATTAGGAACTTATATTCAAACTGCTGAAAAATTGTTCCCAAAAAATTCCGATTGCACCCAGTGGCACACAATCAAAAACAAATAGGAGTAGCATATTAAATGGATAAATACCACACACCAACCAAATCGTTTTCAACAACAAACCAGAAGGGGCTTTGCCCACACACTCACTTAACTAGAATTGTCTAACTTAGTTAATTATTATAACTAGAAGCCGAAATTATATATTTACACATATTTTTTTTGAGTATGCAGTCAGATAGGGGTTCACATTCTATACAAATCATGAAATAAATCAATGACAAAAGTTTTGTTTTGAATATTAAAGATAAAATAATATCTAACGTAATAAAGATTATTAGAAAATATATTAATTGGTTTTCGATATTTTGTGTGCTCCTATGACTTCAGTTGACAAAATTCTTTCAGTACTGTAAAAAATATTTCAACTAACTATCCTACAAATATGACACTAGAACATATGGAACAAAATATAATTGTCAACTCTTTTAATTAAAAATACATTAATAATCTAATTAAATTAAATAAATAAAATGCTAAGTTTTTTCTAAGCTGTATTACCTTTTATTATATACCTATTTATATTAGATTTTTATTTTGTATTTTATTATTCACATATAAAAACATAATTTTAATTTAAAAAAATATATTTATATAAAAGAATATATTTTGCATATTTTATTAGGATTTTTAAAGAATATTTTATCGAAATATGTCGGTATTTTTTTTATTTAATCTTCAACTTATGAAATTTAATATTAAAGTATGGAATGTTAATTTAAATAAAATATTGGTTTTCGGGTAGCTGTTAAAGAGAATTATATTATAAGGCTTAATAATTACATTTATGCACACTTAAAAGTAAACAAATAGAAATTAATATATTAATTTATTTTCAAATATTATGTTACTGTTATTGGCAAATATATTAATTAGTATCTGTGTCAATTTTAATATCATTTTCATATGAAAGGATCATTAAATTTTCAAGTGTACTTTTACACATGGTACTACAAATTTTAGTTTTAATAATTGTCAATTTAGTAAAAGTTCTTTCTGGTATATTACTAACAACCAGTAATGTTAGAGCAAAAAAATATACAAACAAAACATAATAAATTAATATACAACTCAACAATTTATTGAATTGTTCTGTGCACTATACTTACTGAAAAACAACATAACGTTAAAAATATTTCTATTAAAAATGAGACTTTATAGCACACAGAATATGATATTATTCTGTGTTTGCCATAATTTCTTTCATATTAATTTTCACAAAAATTCAAATATTTTCAGAATTAGTGTTGAAAAAAATTAAAAATCATAGGAGGTGGTTAAACTAAATCTGTTTCAGTGGTAATATTCAAAAAAAAAACACTAGTAGTTACCTTCTAGAATAGGATTTGCTTCTAATATTTGTTGTTCAATCCAAGAATGTTTACCACTAATAGCTGCTAAGTATTGTAAAATTAACTTTGTACTTTCAGTTTTTCCTGCTCCACTCTCACCACTAAAAAATTAACCATTAATTTTTTTTTTTTTTTTTAATTGATCATACCTTACCTGATAACTATACATTGGTCTTGGCCAAATCTTTTCATATGTGTATAACTATTATCACCAATGGCAAAAATATGAGGAGGTAATTCGCCTATTTTTCTATCTTTATATAATTTTACTTGTTCAGCTGTGTATATAGGTAAAATTTGATATGGATTAACTGCCACCAAAATTGATCCAGTATAAGTCTAGAAAAACAAATTTTATTAAATATTGTTAAAAGATAAGTGTTAAAATTGCTCAAATTACAAATTAATTCACCACTACTTTCAAGTTTAACAGTAAATTTAACTTCAAGTAGTAAATAAAAAATAAAATATAAATAAATAAAAAATGCTTGTGGTTTTTAACATCATGCAATTTAATACCATAGTAAAAAAAATTATTCAAAGAATATTATTTTTAACAAGACATTTTATAGTTTTGATACTGGTTTATAAACTAACATGATTTATACCTAGATTACAAACTTACATATATTAAATTTTCATTGTATCTAATAAGTAAATTTCTCAATATCCCTGCTTCGTGCAAATCACCTAATGATATCATATCTTCCACTCCATGAATTGAAGTAGGATGCATTGCTTTAATTCGCCTCTCAGGCGTAAGCCATAGTTCCTGATAATTAAAAATAAAATTTACTATTAAGATTTAAAGTTTAAAATCATATAGCTTTATTATAATTACAACATAAGATTATACAAAACTAGACTTTTAAGAATATTATATAATTAGTCATATTTTAAATATTAACTATCATCTCTAATATTGTGAATTAATTACTTCATTTCAATTTAAAAAAAATATTACCACAATTTAATATATGTAAATATATTATTAGTAACTACTGGTATTGATCACTCTTAATTTTTTTTAATCAAATGACCTACTGTACAATTTTATATTTAATAGTAAAACAAATACCCGTCCATCGTCATCGATAACTTGTATACGTTTTCCTTCAGCTGAAGTAACTCTAGCTCCGATTGCAACATCAAATTCCCTTCCAGAAATTGGTTCTATCCAAATATAATCACCCTTAAATATATTTGAACATTAATAAACTAAATAAAAACAATACAATATTATTCAAACATACTCGAGTTACAATAACCATAGCAGTATTTTTGTGTGAACTTCCAGTGATAGTATCATACCATCAAATTAGTCATCTAATAACAATACATATGTATTTAAAAACTTACATTGCTGTTTGGTAAAAATAATGCATAGAAAAATATAATCATATTCGTCTGAAAAAATAAATAGTGGAGAATTGCTACAAATTAATCTCAAGATTGTATAAAATACAGAAAGAATAAATATATTAATGAAAATAAAATTTAAGATTTTAACCTTCTATAATATAAATAAAAATTATAATTATTTAAAGGTATAATCTGTTACAGCTTATAAAACATATTTGTGAAATATTTGAACTGAATAACTGTAAAATTAGTTTTAAATATGAAAGAAAAAAGTAATTAGTTATTAAAATACCAATATATATTATCTTAAGCAAAAAAATGTAAGAATATCAGTACTTAACCCTTTGAGGCATTGTGGTATTATAGTGAAACCACCTATTTTTCTTTTCTTTTAATATGTAATATAAAATATTAAGTTTAAATATTTTCCAAGAAAAAAAATTTTAAAAAACAATGTGTACCTCAAATGGTTAAATCAAAATATCGAAAAATGTTCAATTTTAAATTTACTATTAACTCAGTAAAAATATTTCTTAAATGATAATTATGCGAAGCACTTTTGTGTAAATACGTATCTACTTTCAAAGTTATCAACACGAAACACTGGAAAAATTAGGTCTCGTCACGGTGCTCTGATCAACAAGTGATCGAGTACATCAAAAAGCGGACGCCGGAAATTCAATAGGTACTCACTTTAATAATAATATCTGTCACCGGATCGATACAGGTGATTGGTATGCTGTTTAAATAACGTTTTATTTTAACCGACTCGCCCAAAATCGAACCCCTAAAACACAAACACAACCTACACAACTTGCACGAGCACCTATCAAGTGATAATATAAATTTCAATTTGTAATTTGTATTTTTTTATTATTACGATCGGATAATACACACATACTCACACACACACACACACACACACACACACTCGCTCACTCAGATCCACACACACCCACATAAACGGTATATATACAAAGTGTGGGTAAAAATGTAAAAAAACTAAAAACAATACGGATAGGCTCACACACACGTATACACGACTGTACGAAAAATATGATACTGTGTGTGTTATCTATATAATTTTTGAGTATGCACACGTATCGTTGTATATTATATCATTTATCGATATAAAATGATTCTAATCGCGTACGTGCATACTGTCTCCGTTTCTGTGTGTGTGAGTACGTGGATTTAGGATGTGTGTATTTGTGTGTGTGTACGTGTTCGTGTGTGAACAAATACGCCAGTGTTGACCGTTAAGGTTCTGAGAAATTACCACAGCTAACGGCGCCACTGACGGTTTTTACCATACTAATACAATAAAACCATCGTACCCATACTATTATTTTATATACAATTATTTATTACTTTTCTACCATCACGTTGGTCGTGTAACTACCGGAACACATAGTTTAAGATAACGGGTTCCGCGACAGATGATAACTAATCGGACCACCGTTTGCAGGTCGAAAACACATGTGATTTATCGAGTATCCACGTTATAGCCGAGGTGGCGTTCCTTAGTTTTCGTCACAGAGTTATAATTATTAGTTCTATTTGCACAGCAGGCTGTTGGCGTACGGTTTAACAACGGTATAATAATATTTTAATCGTTGTACAACTCGTAGTTCAAACCTACGAAAACGTTTCGATATTCGATTATAGTTGTGTTTGTTAGGTACGTCTGTCGTATCCAACACACATAATTTTTTTCTAATCGTTTTTGATAATTATTATCCCCTCTCGTGCTTGGTTTTCAAAGCTCTGAATTCTTTAAATATACATAATTTTTTTGTTTTTTTTTTTTTTTATCGACAGAAGCAACCATGGCTGATTTAGATAATTTTTTTGCCAAAAAAGATCGTAAGAAATCCAAGGGGAAAAAATTCGCTACTTCTACGGATAACATGGCGACATCGCAAGAAGAGTTACAAAAAAAACAAGAAAAACAGAAAAAAGAAAGAACATTAATTCAGCAAAATTATTCTAATGAAAACGACAGCAAATCGAATATGAAGGTATTGAATGTTAATTTGTATTGTTTTAACACTCATAATGATAGGCAATTAACATTCAGCGTTCAGCATAAATCTACTTATTTACATATTGTATAGGTACATTTTGAATTATAATAACTAAATATTTGTATAACTATTATTATCATTATTTATTTCAGATTTTTTTTTTATGAAAGAAATAATTATTAAATCTTAGATTTAAAAAAAATATTGACCAATTTCATAATGTAGATAATGTAATCTATAATGCGGGGTTATGCGCAACAGTGGCCTATTCCAACAAATGGTTAATGGAAGTAATAGAGCTTTTTAATTTCTTTGAAAATTGATAGAAAAATCAATATTAAAAAAAATGTATTTAATTATTTTTATTATTTAATATTGATATATCTAGAACTTAATTTTAAGAGTTATTTTGGAACAAATCATCCAAATTTTTGTTGGATAGGCCACTTTTGCCCTCACTCTTAGGTTGTTGTTTACTAAAAAACATGTTTTTCAGGTTAGATATTGAAATGAAAATACTTATAATTTAAACCTTTATTAATAATAAAATTTGTTATTACAACTCATCTTTCTATTATTTTTATTATATTATTAATATAATATTATGATAATAGTGGCCTATCTCATGCATTACTGTTGAATAGGTCATTGTTGCATAATTTTATAGTGCTGCAATCTAGTGTTAAAATAAAGGAAACAAAATTATGCCGGTGTTAAATTAGAATATTTTTAATTTTAAATAAAATTATATAATTATCTCAGTTTATAAATTTTGGTGGGTTAGGCCACTGTTGCACCCAATTCCTCATTTAATACCTTTAATTTAATTAGATAAATAGTAGAAGTACATCGGGCACTGAAATAGCAAGATTTCTAATTACCTTAGATTCAATTTAAAAACATGGTGGTCTGTAAGGCATAATATTAAAACTATCAATAACATTATTAATGATATTATTATTATTACTTATTTCAGAAAACAAATTATACTACCTACTGGATAGGTATCCATTAGGTACATTTCTAATGTAAAAGTGGAGTATGGTATGAATTAGTAAGAATCAAATTTAAATGTACAGTGGCTATCCTAATAAAAAAATTTGTTAAATAAGTAATAAGAAATTGCACATAATATGGTTCTGTTTTCTGGTGGTGCAGTGAAATATTTAATTTCCAATACTCCAGTTTGGTGAATCTCTGCCTAATAGAAAATTAATTTCTACTTCTTATCATTTTTCTTTGCAAAAATCAAAAATTAATATTCAATTATTTGAACAGTAAAAATTTTATTAGTTATTAGAATATTAAATTTAATATTATGTGAACATAATCTTGAACAAATAATATCAATGGATCTAAATCAATTAATTTAGGTTGACATAATAAATTGTTTTTATATGATACACTATCATACATGGTAGCTGTCCCATCATAAAATTATATTATAGTGAAAATTACAGTTCATTTGCCTACCAAACAAATATTTACCTTTGAAAACAGAAATTATAGGTAGGTAGGTACCTATACAAATTTTCAATATTTTTTGGTGTTACAAAAAGATAAGTGCACCATCACATTTTAAATTTGATAGTTGCAAGTGCTGCATTTGTACAGACAAATTTACACTATTGTCATTATTTAACTATAGCCTTTCACTTTGCTCGCTTAATAGCATTTTATTTGTCAGTATTCATTTGGTGCACCATTTTATATTAATATATTATTAAATTATCTCTCTTGTTCTGATCCCTGTCAAGTTCTCCAAACATTTATATATATTTAATATCTATTCTTGTCTTTCCCTAACATAAAGTTGTCAATTGCTACTGAACTTCAGGTAGTTTAGCACATTACAATCTTTAACCCCTTCCTGAAACTTTTTTTAGGATACAAATTATTTTAAGGAAATTTAAACTCTTATAAGCTTACCTACTTATTTTATTTAACATTGAAACAATCAAACACATGCTCCTAATACTGTGCAGTGTAATTGTATAATCACTGTTGACATTGATGACTGTGATGACTCATATTAAGTTTTTTTATTTATTTGTGCATTTATTAGTTTTATATTTTTGAATATTAGATGTACATTATAATATGTATTTTATATCGGTAACCAAATTGTTTTATTTAGATTCCCAGTTTAGTATTAAAGTTTCAGTTTTACTATTGATTTTATAGTAGACAGATTCATGGTTTTGGCTACCACCTGTAGAATAAAGCATTAGAGTTGTTTACATAAGAAACAATAGCTACAGTTAAATCCTACAGCAGGGGTCTTTAAGGGCCATCCTTGTCTTTATTTGGGGCAAAATTTTAAGCATAACATTTGTTCTACTTTAATCCAATTAGAGTGGCCATTAGACATCTCTATCAAAAACATTGGTCTCCCTATTTGTGTCCAATATGATAAGGTTAATTAGATTAGATAAATGTATGATACAAATATAATCTAATGTAATATAATTTCATACTTAATAGTGTTACATTCAAAGTTTCACATATTTCTACCATAAAATTATACCAGTTATTGAAAAACTAAATAACTTGTGATCTAAATTGAATTATCTATAAAATGATAAAAAGTAATGGTGCATTAAATAAAATGTATTATTAAGAACCTGGGCATATAACAAATCATTTTACTAAGATAGGTTTTTTTTTATCATGGTAACTTAAAATACAACATTTCTGAAAATTTACAACAATTTACCCCCTCTAAGACTTATTATCTGTAAAAAAAAATAGTTAATAACATAATTCCAAATTATTGTCATTTTAACTGTCGTGATTATTACCATGCTAATTTTTCAACTGGAATCCTATTTTGAATATAGCTTTAGATACCATAGATTTTACAGTTTTTCTATACCTACAGTTTAATTTAATAGATACATCAGTTTTATGTTCGTGTTAATAGGGAAAAAAACATAAAATAATACTACTCCGCTCAGAATTATTTTTCCATTAATTTTATTGTTGTTTTTAGTATATTATAAAACTAAATTACTTAATCTGTATACCATATAATACCACTATAATCTGCTTCCTTTTAGGTAACCTCAGCAAAACATTGTAAATTAATTTTACTAAATTTTAGCTAGAAACTACAAACAAAATTTAAAAAAATACCTTCCCAATGCAACAAGAAAGTTCTTATACATTTTTTAATTGGAACAAAATTTCTGCTTAAAAATTGGTTTATAAACAGTAGTAAAAAACAAATTACAAAGTTTTGATGGGTAACCAAAGATATCCTACTTTTCCAACTACCGACCTACACTAGTGGCCTCCAAAAATGTAAACCTGTTAATTTGTGATTTTCACATTTTATTATAACCATAACCAGAGCAGGAACAGTGTAACAAAATATTGTTTTTTAAAAACTAAAGATAATTTAAATGTAAACAATTTTTTTTAAAAAAGTGGTTAACTAGTTTTTTGGATGGAAATTTGAAACAAAAAATTTAAAATGATTATCGATTTTGTGGGTGTTTAATAAAAATACCATTAAATATAAAATTGGTATATTTATGTGAAATAAAGTTAAAAATTATACATTTTTCCATATAAAATAAGTTGATAACCCATCTAAAGTTGTTCTATATATATTAAAGGTAGTATAATAGTATTTTACATTCATATTTACTTGCATCTCTTGTGTACACCTGTACACAAGCTGCTACAATTAAAAATAAATGTGTAAATAGACAATATCTTAATATTTATTATGAAATATCAGAAGTATTATACAAAATTAGCTACCAATATTTTTAAGTTTCCAAAATATTCAATATTGGTTGTTTAATAAAAATATGGTTATTATTAATAATCTAATGTAATCTATTATAAATATTTATATCTTGAATTTATTTAGGGTTTTAAATATTTCTAAGAATATTTTAATAGGTATGAAGTATGAACTGAGTGCCCAGAAATCATAATAAATTGTGAAAACAGCCTACAACTTGTTTTAGTAATTTACTTAAGAATTACTGTTACTTACAATCTTTCAATAATTAATGAAAAAAAATTATGCATTTTAAGATATACTGATTTTACAAACTCAAGGATAAAATTCAGTTTTTTACATTCAAATAGTCCTATTTTTATCTTTCCAAACAACTTAGATCAATAAAAAATCTTATCTTAAAAGCTACCAGAGATACATCCATCTAAAAATATGATTTTTCAAAAATTTTAAAAAATGTTATTTTATGATCATTTTGAAAAATTATTTTTTCCCAACAAAAAAATAGTCAAATTTCTTCAATTTTAAGGACATGCATATTCGGGAATATATAAAAAAACGACTACTCAAAAGATGTCATACTCCTTTTCAAATAATTCTGTTAACTTTTCATATCATTATAAATATTTTGGAAAATATTATAATTATAATACTGTTCCAAAGCTTTGATTACTTAATGGCAGAAAGATTTATTCCAACAGTAACATGTATTTCAGTACATTATTTAAATCATTTAAAATACCGAAAAATTGTTCATAAATTAATAAAATTATTATTTCGCGTTTACTTTCCCACATATATTTACAAAATCTTGGTAATTGTTTTGTTTTATTTTTATTCTTATATAGCTATATGAGTTTTATGACCATACCATGTAAACAATTTTATTGCTAACACTATAACTATATACATACACAATAAATTTATCTATTTTTAATAAAATTAATTTTTTATTTCTCATATTACATCAATGCATAGTTTTATTTTAGTTTTTATGTGCATGTTCCTTTATGTGTTATTTGGTGCATACATTTATAAGCCCCCACAATAATATTTTATATAATGCATAAAATATTATTTTTTTGTTAGTACATCAATTCATTTTTATTATTTATCTTTTTACTGAATCTGTGTAGAAGGACATATTTCACGTGTATTTTTCACTAAAAAAATTATTTGCAAACATAAATACTAGTTTTAGTAAAGGTAAAAAGCATTGGGTGGGTGAAATGGCTTGCTATTCAAATTGTTGAGCCATATATTTCATAGGCCATGAATAAGGTTTTATGTTGTTTATATGCTATGTTGGTTGTTGCAATGTATCATTATGTACCTATTGATTAATCTGACATTATTCTGTAAATACTATTAATAATCGTACTTCATTCACAACAAAAGAAAGTATAAATTACCTATAATCTTTGATACCAATGCTGTTTCTTACTGTTATATGCTTACAAGAATCCTATAGAGTTATCAAAATAAATAAATATATTAAAACATTACCATACATTTTTGACTAACTAGTTGTGGTCTTGGTATATTATAAAAACCAGCCAACTTTATGTTGTACATGCAATAACTGTTCTGTATTATGTTTATGTATTATGTCCAAAATAATTTTATTACTTTATTGAACATATTCAAAATTATTCATTGCATGGTTGGGAAGTTAGAAGGGGGCATTAAGTGACTTTACAAGCTTACTTTACTTACCTATAAAGTATTAATTAATATTTAAATATATCACATAACAATGACACCATACACCAACAGAGCCCCTTAGGGATTTTGTAAATTTTAAATAATAATTTCACCAGTTCTATAAATACTATATTTTTTATTATTATTAATATCTTATTCTTACTCATATACACATATCATGATTAATATGCTTCATCTAACACAGCAAATAAAACTTAATATTACATATTTCTTGGGGATAAAAACACTGCTGAAAAAGTTTAAAAACTGTCCTACATTATGGGATGGGCAATTATCAATTTTTATTTTTTCATCTACGCAATTGTAAATTGGTTTACACAACTCGAGCATTTTTCTACTTTTGTTAATACCAAATGTGTTTCATAGCCTAACAAGTTTATAAAAAATTTTATCTTGCATATTTTGGCATTTTTCGAATTTTATGGTTTATTGTGAGTTTTTATGTGTTTTTAGAGCATGTTTAAAAAAAATTTAATTTTTAAGACATATTTAACTTGTCGAATCAAGGGTTGCCTTATAATACGATTTATAAACATCAATATTCAACAGGTTAGAATTATATTTTTGTTTGGTTTTCAGACTAAGGGAAATTGGATTATTAAAATAATTTATTATTGTTATGGTACTTAATTGTTTTTCTTTTTTAGTACATTTTGATATTTTGTGTGGCATATAGGCACACATATGTGATAGGTTATTAGGACATATTTTATGGCTTTAATGTACTCAGTTAAATAAATATATATATATTTTTTTTTAATTATTTATACCAATGAGTTGGTTAATTGCCAATCTTCTATCTTTAAAAAAATTAAAATCAAAAGTTTTTACTAAAATTTGCATTTCTATAATTTTTCTTTTATATTTTTCATGTGTGATTTAAGCCATGCACATTGACCATTCAAAAACCAATGATTTTTGGTACAACAACCAGAGTATTTTTTTTTTTTTTAATTATAATAATCAAGGTTTTGAAATTGATGAATTTGCATCTTTTTTTCTAATTTTTACATTCGAGGCGCCCTTTATAAAAATTTGACTTAAGTCAAAAAATGAATTTTGCATTTTTTGGTTAAAATTTCTTCTCTATTAATTTTAGGACATTTAGCATTTTCCTACTTTTGTAGGTATATTTACATTTTTTTTTTATTTAAAGTCTGAGCTTCAATCAAATTATTAAAACTTTAAATAATGCTGGCAGTTCTCACAATATATTCTCGGCTTAACTCATCACACATATTCTCATATAGGCATGAAATGTACAAAAATAATTTCATATTTATTTTCCTAAGTACCTTATTTTAATTTAATTTCCTCTAACTTGTACAGTTTAATTAGTAAAAAAAAAGAAAGAATTAGAAAAAGAAAGAATATTTATTTTAAGCATGATTAAAGGTTCTTAGTGTTATAGTTATGTAATATTTTTAATTTAAAAAATTAAAAATATTTCAACATTTTTATGCATTTTGATTCTTTGTAATAACTGAGTATATGCTTGTTACATAAAAATATACAAGATTATAAGAATTTCATTTTGGCTATGGAACCCTAATGATCTGTGCTAAAACAACAAGCTATGCTTGTGAAGTGTGCTGTTGAAAATATGTTGCTTATTCAACATATTTTTAAATAACTTTACTTCTTTTTGGAATAAAAAAAACCAAATAAATTGTTTTTAATTGGGATATTTTTAAGTCAAAAATAGCTTTAGCACTAGAATATTCTTGTTGAAATCTTTTTTTTCAACAGCTGGAAGAAGAATGGATGGATTACACTGAAGAAATTAAAGATTATACTACACTTAAAATGCAAAACTTGACTACTGATAGCATTTCTAATTGTTCTGATTATAATGATAAAGATAGTGACATCGAATTTGAAAAGAATGAGGTTGGAGAAATGGTACCAAAGCGAAAGAACACAGGGCCTTGGAAAGTTCCAGAAATAGAATCTACTCCAACTCCAAAAGGTATTTTTAAACTGATTATTATAGTATACATTTTAAATAGAACAGCTAGTTAAATACAAAACCTTTTAAAAATATAAGTTTATTTCATGAATGTTAGGTATCTTAATTGTGAATAAATGTTAGTATAAAAATTATAGTATCTGACATTTTATGTACTTTTATAATATCATAATTAGATTAGAATATGCAAAATTGTCATTTTTCTTTATTTAAATAGTATTTCAATTAAAACAATAGTGTGATAAAAATGTCCTTTTATAACTGGTTTTTCTCCCTAAAAAATTTCTTAAGGTATTACTAAATTGTTTATTTTTATGCAATATTCCTTTTTATGCCATCATTTGTAAAAGTTCTAAATGTATGACCTATATAAAGAACTGATCAATCCTATTGTTTAACCTACATTTGGACATCTCTATTTATATGTTAAAAAAAAGTAATTTTTTTTTATGGTATTCTTTTTCTCCTAACAACAATTATCTACTCAGCTTGAAGCACAATTATCATATGCCAACAATATGATGAAAGTGTAAACTAATATCACTAGTAGTAGCTGCCCAATCTTTAATCTGTAGAATATAAGTTTAATCAAATTTCAAATTTAATATAAAATTGTGAATGACTGATTAATATATATAATACAATATAATAGCAATATAACTTACCGTGAACAAAAATATATCCTATTCATGTATTGTCCTTATTAATATTAAATAGTTCCTTTTATAAACAAATTACACAGGCTTTAAGGCACAACATTTTATTGCATTGTAGTAAAATTTTGTAGTGTCTGTATACTCAGTTTTTTCAATATTATTATTACTATTTAGCCACCTATCTTTTTTTTATTATTATTATTATTATTATTTTTAAGTTCTTTATGAATGAGATTTAAAAGAAAAAAAAACCTTCAAAGACTTTAGTGAACAGCAAAGTTGTATCAAAATAAATCGATGACTCAAATTTGTTTTCGATATTGATAAATTATCGATTTCAGTTAAGTATCAAGTTTTATTTTTACTATTAATTTATTCACTATGCGTGCAATGGTAATAGATTAAACCATAGAAAAATTGTCAAAACTAAGCACCTTATGTGAACAAATTGTTTTGATCTTAATCAAGAGACCAGCAACCAACAGACCATGGCAGATCATGTGCACTGTATGGCCCAAACACAAAGCATGTATTGACTTGTCCAGTCTTGTTTAAGTTTTAAGTGCATAAAATTTAAAATAAAACACAAATTTATTTGAATGTGGACACACCTTAACCTTTATCTGTAATACTACAGGGTTTAGCGATGCTTGAATTTAAAACTGAAAGTTAATTAATTTTATTTAATACAATAGTGTGTTATAAACTCAATAAAATAAAATTAATTTGTATCAAAGTGATACTTTGAGGAGGTAATTTTTTGATTTTCACATAATTATTGTCTACAAATGGAAAAAGTACAAAATATAGGTATTAATTAAAAAATATTTTGGCCTTTTTTTTTTCCTGTGAAATACTTTTCTACAAGCAATTTGGTTCTGATTTTTAATGATAGGACATTTTCTTAAAGTAAATCTGACTAGGTTGCACTATAAAAAGGTCATTTTTCGTTTTTCCTAGCAAATGTGAAAAAGGGCCAAAAACATTACAACATTAAAGAAGTATTAATAAAAAATATATATAATGCCTATTTAATTATTTTACTATACAGTGAAACCTTTAAATACCAGACATTCTATATTGCTGAAATTTTGTTCACTATTCGGAAGTGTCTGATATTTAAAGGGAGAAATTATATGCTTTACAATGTTGTTTATTTTATTTTTTCCAGTCTGGACACTTTTTTCCTAGTAAATTTGCTCCGATATATATATGTAGTACCTTTTCTGAAAGCTCAAGTTGTTTATATTATACTTTAAAGAGGTCATTTTTTTAATATTCTAAGCTATTTTTTAAATAAAACCCTTTAAGTGGAAAAACATACAATTTTCCGATTTAATTATTTTATAATTACATGTATGTTTTCTACCAGGAAAAATGATTTCACACAAGACATTTTTTTGTTTCCTTTTTGATTAACTTTCTTATGGCATAATCGCCAAAACTATTGAGTTTTTAAGGAATTTTAACTTTGGGAAGTATTTTTTTTGCTGTAATTCGGTTATAAATTCACGTTTATTTGGAACTTAGTAATAATACCTATATTGGACATCCAAAATCATCGGACTTTTTTCTTTTTTTTTTTCAATAGTATTTTATTTTTCATTTGTATACTGTAGACCACTTTTAACCTAAAAAAAACTTTCTCCAATATATAAATGTAGCATGTTTTCTAAATGGTATTTAAAATAAAAACGATTAACTGGGAAAAAAATAATACAATTTTTTCACGATTTTGTTATTTAATATAAGTACCTACATTGTTTTCTATCACAAATATGACTTTAATTGAAAACTGACAAGAGACCATATTTTTGTTGAATTTTTTTAATAATCATTGCATTTGCTCAAAATTGTTTTTCATTAGCAATGGTTTATTATTGCTTACAGGTATACATTAAACTACCTATAATAGTAGCTGCACCCATCCCATTATCCTAGGACATCATTTTTACTATAAGAAAACATGAATTATGTTTTAAATTATCAATACAAGATTTAGCATATACAATTTTTGGTGCTTCGAGAAATTATTCAGATGTAAGCCCACCATAGCAAATAACAATGATAGCAACCTACCCATTTCTAAAGAACCTATTATCCCTGTTTTATATTTAATTATCTTTTATGATGATGTGACACATTATATAACATATTTAATAACTTATATAATAATATAATATATTTAATAACTTATATATTAACATTACATATTTAATAACTGATATAATATCTCGTGCTTATCACAATCTTATCATAGTCTTATCATTACAACATCTCCTTTAGGAATACAATATATAGAAACTTAATAAATATAAATACACAATATATTATATGACTTAATTATTGTCCCACCAAACACTTTGATTACCACCTTACTGTTTTTTATTTCTGTCTTTAATTTTTTATAAAACTTNTCTAATGTCAAATACTCTATACTCATATTATCGCTTTCATATTCAACCATGTCAATTGTTTTTACATTTGTAGGCAAAATGATTTAACTTTTTACATATCCTACACTCTTTTCCATATGCTGGACATTCCCTAAATTTATGTTGCTTACCACATTTATTACAATTAAATACCTTATCTTGATCATTCTTAAATAGCTTAAAATTCTCTGTTATATTACCAGATAATTTTAAGCTTTCCGGTTTGTTGAATTCCATTTTTATCTGCTTCAATCCAGTTTTTTATAGATTCCAAACGCAACTTCCGACTGCGCCATGTTTTATATTTAATTATCTTTTACGATGATGTGACATATTATATAACATATCTAATAACTTATATAATAACAAAATATATTTAATAACTTATATATTAACATTACATATTTAATAACTGATGTAATGTCTCATGCTTATCACAATCTTATCATAGTCTTATCATTAAAACAATCCCTATTCAAAATGTAGTTAATTTAGACTCTGCCCTACTAAGACATCAATTATATGATATTATGTTTATATACAATTTATTAAATTACAATATTGTTTGTCCTGAGCTTTTAGCTCTTATCAATTTGTGTATTCCCTCCTACTATTTCAAAAATCATGATCTTTTTGTTAGAACTCTGAAACTTGCTAATTCAGTTTCCACTGCCTTAGATTTCTTTAATACAACTCGTTATATTTTTAGATTCAAATCTATTTTATTTTTAAAAAAGCAATATAAATTTAATTAGTCCTAGCATATCAATTTTTTCTTTAATATTTTCTTATATATATTTCTTTGTATTTTTGTTGGTTTTGCTTGTTTCTTGTTGGAGATTAATTTCTATCTATCAAATATAAATTTATAAACTTATATACTTTCTTAAACTATTTTTATAAATAATATTGTTCTCTTTTTTGTATGTTTTTTTTTTTTTTTTTTACACAATTGGTCATCATACCACACTATATTTTTAAAAAGCTAGCTCTTGAATTCTAAATCAATAAAATAAAAAATAATATTTTCAAATTGTTTAATATTGTCTAGAAATGTATAGAGATAGCATAAATTATGTTTATCATTATTTTTGATTTCTTGTCTGAATATCCAAAAAAAAATTTTATTTATTTGATTAATTTGTATACATTTTATTACCACTGTAAATGATCCTTTTGAACAAAAATGAATAATCCATGGAAGAGGATACTCTAGTTGAGTCAATGAATCATATGTTTAATGATAAAACTAATATATAGATTTAGGAAAGTTTGAAATTATTGAAATCCAAAATAAAACATCATAAATATAGAAATATTATATATATATATATATATCATATTTTTTTTTCTATTATATTTATATTTTAAAAAAGTTGTCCTAGAATAATGGAGATGTGTGCAGTCACTGTTATAGGTATATTAATCTATACCTGTTAACAATAATAAATCATTGCTAATGAAGAAATGATTCTGAGCGGAGATCAGTTGATAGTGATGTTTTGTTAACAACATATATTTATTATTATAGTAAAATAATTAAATAGGTATTACATATTTTCTTTAAGAATATTTGTTTAATATTGTACTGGTATTTCCGATTTTTCACATATGTTGGGAAGTTTTGGAATGACCTGTCTAAAGTACTTTCCCAGTTAGATTTCCTTTCAGAAAAAGTGCCATCATTGTAATTAGGATCAAAATTTCTGGGGAAAAAATACCGTACACTAATATCTACATTTTGTACATTTTTCCGGTTTCTTGATTTTTCAAATTTTATGAGAAAACTTAAGAAAATTGAAAAATTACCTTTCCACAACGATTTCCTTTCAGGAAATGTGCTAAACTTAAAAATTGGAGCAAGATTTCTGGTAGAAAAGTTGTGCACAGCTTTTTAAAACCATAAGCTTCTTCCCTCCTCTTAGAATCTAAAATAAACTTAAAATAATATGCGCCTGTTATTCAAATACCTATTTGAATACTTTTGAACATAAATATTACCTTCTGATGATGGCATACAAAATAATACATTTTATGAACATTATGCAATCATCTTTAATGTTTCTGGATGGTTTCTAAGGTTTTAATTCTCTCTTTTAATTTAAGTTATTTACATTAAATTAACATTTAAAATAACACCTAATTATTATTCAATTATTATTATTAAAACTAGTTAACTGTCATAAATACATTGCATACAATTATAGGTGTATGATATGTATTCTATATTATTACAAACAAATTATGAACAAGGTGGATAAATATGTAGTTACCTACATATATTATTTAAATAGGAATAGGTATGTTATAATGAAAAATATCACTTTGAATAGTTCTAATTTATACATGAATAACATTATTCATTAAACTAATATTTACTATCATGGTTTTTTCTGTTCCCAAAAGTGTATATCATTGCCATGAAAATGTTTTGCACACATTTAAATTTTTTCTGTAATAATAAAATCCTGTTTGGGTATGACTACCCTATTTTGCTCTCAATTCTGCATCTTTTGGAACACAAAACTTTTAAACTTTTATGGGATTGCTTTTGAAACCAAAAGTGCAATACACCACACAACATTGTGAATAACTTAATATAATAATTATAAATGTATAAGACTAAACCACATATAGAAATGTTAATGTTAAAAAAAAAACAACATTGTTACATCAAACACTCACTTTGTAATTATTATTTATTTTATCATCAATATAATTATAAACAGTGTGATAACTGAACTATAATTTCATAATTGAATATTATTTTTTTTTTTTAATTTTCTTGTCATGTCTTCATAATAAATAGACTTATAAAGACTAAAAAATTGTAATATACAATTTAATATTTATGTATTTTGTTTATAAGTGTAACCATTTAATAATTATTATTATGAATGTGGCATATTGTTATATTTTTATTCATTGCATGATACTTTCTATTTTTAATATATTAAGTAAAAAATACAAAAATACGCTTAAATAATTTATAAATTATATATAACTGATATTTTCTTGTACATTTAGTTTTTTAATCACAATTTTATATTAAATTCAATTAAGCGTATAATGTGCTTGTTAAAATTGGGCCAACTACTATTAGCACTATTCACACTGCAATAATATCAGTACATTGATATCATTATCGTAACATTGAGTTCCAATCTAAGTAAATAATTATGATGAACCACCCTCATTCTAAACTTCTCATATACACTGAGTATCCTCATATTCTTAATCACATCCAACCATCTCTGTATATTTTTTCTGATTTAATTTATTACTTATAGGTATAATATAATATCCATTATAAATTAATATTTTAATATTTAACATTTACAACTGACAATACACATCTTAATATTTTTATGATTAAATTATCATCAAATTTTTATCAAACCTAAACATTTCTAATTACTTTAGTTCCAGATCCAGTTGTTCAGGAAAAGGATGTTAAAGTTGAGAATAGCGTTTATGTTGCACCAGCTCACCGTAACAATTTTCGAGGTAAACTACTAATTTATTAATTTTTTAGAAAATATAAAGTTGAATAGAAAAACTATTATAAACAGGGTTCAGAACTTAAAAGCATTTAAAGAAAAAAATTTAAAAAACAAAAAAAATTTAATAAAAATAATTGTTCAAACTATTGAAATAAGTTAAAAAAAAAAACAAATACTAAGTCCTGAATCCTGGTGATAGTTAATAAATGGTATATCCAATATTAGTCCTGTGCTTATCAAGTGTTAAAAAGTATTCTCTATTTAGACCTGTATTTAAAATCTAAAGTGTATACTAATTTATAATATAAGGATTAAAGATAAACATTTGAAATAATTATCAGAATAAAAATTACATAATTCCAAAATGATTGAAAAAAAAAAGAACAAATTCACTTAAAATTGTCAGAAAATATTGCTAGATCATGATAAAATAATCGCCCTAATCTAGTATATATAAGAAAATAGTAACCTCTAATTATTAATACACCAATAACAAAATGAAATTCATAATAATTTGTAAAATAATAAAAAAAAATTATTTTTTCATAAAACACAACATAAATGTAATATTATGTTTTATTTTTAATACCACACCCATTCCTTCAAAATGTAATTTCATACTTTTGATCACATAGGAGGTATTCTATAAACAATTTATAGTAAGTAATAAATGAAGTTTTATTTTTGATTAATTCTATTATGTATTCTACTATGTATATTCTACATAGGAACCTACCATAATATACCTAAGTTATTTCTGTATCCTAAAGTATCAAAACCAAAAATTTGTCAATACTCAACAACATTATATATATTTATATAATATTGTAAACAGTTGCATTCTTAAATATTTCAATTAATTGTAGTTTTAACTGTATTTTTTTTTTTAAGGTGGTAATAGAAGTGCCCCAAGAAGTAAAACTAGTTTAGATGTAAAAAATGAAGAAATGTTTCCAACATTGCAAGCTAATAGTACTAAAAAAACTGTTATAGCTCCTGGTAAAAAACCTGAAACTGCAGCATGGTCTAATAAATAATTGTAGTCATCGGTATATGATTACAACTTTGAAAAACATGCACAATTAAATAAAAATTTTAAAAAAATTACATGTTTAAATTATAATAATTAGATAATTGTCATTAAGTATTTTTCATTTTTCCATAAAAAAATTCACAATTAATTATGGAGTTATGTTTTCGTTCATTATGATTAAAATAATATTATTAATTGAAATTAAACTGTGATCAAATTTCTATAAATATCATAATATTTTTAAGTGATAATATACTATTTTATTAATTTCATTAAATACAACAATGATTGTAAATTACATATTTATGTACTATATTATTATCAATCAACATTATTACTGGTAACCTATTAACAAAATATTAACATTGAGTTCTTTATCTAATATTTGATAAATTCAGCAAATCTACAAAAAATAATTCAAGTATAAATACTGTAAGGCCCTCTGCCCATGGTGAGACTGTTCTGCAATGAGGATCACAAACCAGTTGCACAAATAACCATTCTGTGACTTGTATATTATGTTACATAATAGGAAACCCCTCATTAATCAACTTAAACTTAACCGATTTATAATCAGTTTCCAATTAATCGCGTGCAACTGTACTCGCAGGTCGAATTTGAGTTTCAGTTTCATGGTTAAATGATTAATTTAATTTATATCTTATCATTATATTATCATATAGGTAATTAGTTATTAGATTATCATTCACTATGAATGGTCAGTTAATAAACATTAAATTGGTAGAGGAGGTAGAAAAACATGAACTTTTGTACAATTATAACCTAAATGAACTACTTGATGTGTCACAAAAATTAAATGTTAAAATTTTTTTAAAAAAAAAGACACATTCTCTTCTAACATGAATTCGCTTAAAACTAGCAACTGTTTGAACTAGCAAAATTTGATCGTATTCGTGTGCAAAAAGACATAAATCAATTCCAAACCAATATTGCTCAACAATGGCTCACGCGACTGATAAAAGATTCTAGTTGCAAAGCAGTTGTACCATGTGCCCTCCGCACATGGTACAACTATTAAAATAAGGCCCTCCACCTTTTTTTTGTAGTGTATTTATTACACCATATAAAAATATATAAAAGAACAAGCTTTTTTTTATATTCCAATTTTTTGACGACACTATTTAACTTATTTCAATTTTTTTTTTACAAAGGTTTATAGCTATTAACATCCATCCCCTATTGAAAACCATCCCCCAAATATCGGTTTTTAGGAATTATAATTATTTATTTATTCGGATATTCGGATTACCTTGGTAATACTGATGAAATGAAAAAAAATTTAAAAGTTGGTCAAAACTTATGCTAAGACTTTAAGTTGATTTCAGGAAAGAGCAATATTATCATTAACTAATGAGCAAGACAATAAAGTAAATGACATGGTACTGTGGACATGGATTTTCCCACCTGTTTTCATAAACTACTTTTTGAAAAGTTAAATCTTGTGAGTCGCGATAAATTTTCGGGGATAATTTGGGTCATGGTCCTAAAAAGATTGAGAACCACTGGCTTAAGGCAAATAGTAAAATTTTTCTAACACTGACAAATGATTAACACAAAGCATTTTATTTTTCATAACATACAAATTCATTTAAAAAAAATTAACTTGAAATAAACATTTGTTTAGAGATAATAAAATGATTTTTAATAATTTAAAAACAATAGAGGGGACAACTTTTAACTCCTATACCTTTATTGCTCTTTTACATTTTTTAAGTGATTTTTTAGAGATTTTAACACGTTTTTAAAGACTTTTTTGTGTATTTTAAGTGCATATAAATCCGTGTCCTAGTTATAATTAATACAATCTAAGACAATCTTCTATAAAAGTCCTTAATATATAAAAAATAATTCTTAAAGAAGTTTGACTATGCATGTTTTGAATGCTATAATTTGTACAGTTATTATTCAAATTTGAATTATTTAAAACTCTTATAAAAAAAACTACTACATTCAACTTAACTTTTTTTTTTTTTGGAACAACTAAGAATGACTATCATGTTAAATTTTCAAGCATTTCTGTTTAACCAAACAATTTTATCCACATGACTTTAAGAGTTTTTATCATAATAATTATATTATACCTTGATTTTAATAGTCAGATGTGTTTTTAGACTTGGAATCCACTCTCTTAATATTTTTTCAGTTAGTAAATAAAATTAAAGATAAAATTATCTCTTTATAAGCAAATTCTTTGCAATAATTATGAATAGGGCATATTATATGAGTGTCAAGATTGAAGTCAACACATATACAAATATATTTATATTTGAATTTTTGGTTGTGAAATATAAATACAATACATTTTGCCGTATACTTTTATAATTTAAGTAGGTATATCATAATAATATATACTAAATACTTATAGGAATCTTAATACTTATTGTATAATGTATTAAATATCTTCTATTTCTCATGCTTCCGGTAATATTGTTTTGTCAAACATGAAAAAAGAAACTTATTCCAAACAAACACTAACGCAAAATGTATTAAATTACTAAATGACTTGCAACAACTGCAACGTGCTGGTACTACATAAAACTATTATACATTTATATCATTCAATATCAGTATATTATCAATTATCTAATATCTATGCATTTTACGTTTTAATATCACTGCCATCACAAGTTGCTGATATACCTATTTAATTCATCATAACATAACGTTATAACATCACTTATCATTACACAATAATAAAATTTCATATTATGTACAAATGGGAAAATCCGAGGGAAAACGGCACCTTGAAATAATTTTCTTTACGAGACAAGTGAAAACTGATGGATTTATCTTCAGAGTAATAAATTTAACAATTTTAAACAGAATAATTAAAAAGACTTTTCATTGTACAATTATGAGTATAATAATAATAATACTATAATACATTAATACCTTATAAGCCATATCACAGTATATTATTCTGTCCTATTTTCATTAACTATATTCACCGCAAAACTAGGTTTTCATATCTGCATATCCCAATAGAATAACATAATAACTTATGGATCATTAACCTTTTTTTTTTATTATAAAGGTGTATCAGATCATATGTACTTAATTTGATTTGCCCAGTTGTCCGTAAATAAAATATCATTCACCAATTGTCGCACCAATGTTCACGGTCATATACGGTAATATACGGGACGGGAATATAATATTTAGCAATATTATTTGGATGGAATGATAAAAAAAACCTATAATTAATTCTTAGTCGGCTTTGCTCACCTACTCGGATGTGAACTCAAGTGTCAGACTTATAATCAAAAATAAACCCCGATTTGTAGTACAGTCTGATGTAAAACCACGCCAGTACGTAGGTAACAGAGAATAAGTGTGATGTGAAAACGTCTGCTTTACAAAGTAGGTAATATAAATATTTTAGAATCCAATATTCGTTATTATAATTATTTGTCCGATTATACTGTGAATTATTTTTCGGTTTTTATGCGTCCCTGACATACTCCGGTCAAGATAATTGGGAAAATATTAGGTAGGTACCTATAGAACATAATTGCGGTCACGGACGGTCGATGTGCAATCACGTTGCCGTTGGAGTATTAAAAAAATTAAATATTTTTTTAGCGTTAAACCATACCAATTACTCATCAATCATATCTGTTTTGATGAATTAAGCTGGTATCTCGTATTGTCATCATAATCATCGTAGCTGGTACCTAGTACCCAGTGCTTAAATTGGGAAAATCTAAATAGAAGAGCTCAATCCAACGATTCAAAAACTGCGTTCCAAGTGCACAATCACTTAACACAGACCTTTGGGGGGGATTTGCCCCAAAACCCCCCCATCCACTTTACCAACATTTGGAATACTTCTTTTCAGCTACAAATATTAAAATTCCAAATATATTTTAATAGCAATACCTACATCCTACATGTTACAGTAGAAAATACAAATTATATATGAATATTGTACCCCGATGATAATATTTTACCATTTTTGTTTGCTATCGCTTTTCTGCTGATAGTGTATGTAATATATTTATGTATGTATGTAGAGTAATTACTCTATGGTAACCACATTGTCAAAAGTTTAGTTAAATAAATTGAATTAAGCAATATCGTGTAAAATATCGATATACCTACCATATGGTAAAAAATATAGGATCATAGAAAAGATGATATTATCAAACTAATATCAAAAATATTATCGAAATTAAAAATAGTAAAATTCGTTATATTATTGACAACAATTTATTGAAATCCACATTTTAATACAAATTATTTCGGACATGAGTTTGTGCCGTCCTCCCGTTCCTGTACTTAATATGTACTATTCAGTGAGCTCGGGTAATTTCCGCAGGCTCACCGATTTGGGGGGCATAGTCGCCCGAAACCAGTGAGATTTCGTAAACTGGTGTAATTACTTAACATGTACAACACTATACGATTGTAAGTACCCGATTATATTGTAATTTATATATATATTTATAACCTTTGAGATAAATCGTAATTATTATCCTACGTAATTAAAACCATTATATAATTACAAGTACATTAATAATCAATTGTTATAGCCTATAGCTAATTATTTATTAGTCGTTACAATAATTGTAATACATACAATATTATAATTATTATAATATAACCATGTTCTTCTGGGATATAACTATGTCGTACTACAAGATAAAAGTTAATAATGGTTAAGAAGTGTTAATGTGTATTGTGGGCCTACCAATTTTATTTATCTATATCTATATGCTTTCGTATTAAGCTAGATTTATTATGTTCTCAGTTCTCGACCTAGTTGGAAATCTATTATCTATAATGACGAGTTCTAAAAACAATAATTTAAAATACATTTATAAATATTTCGCCAATTAAAGAAAACAACAAATTCTATTTAGCGTTTACTAATATTACTATAATATAGGTATATTGCATTTTTGGTTAATTGAAGAAAAATATTGAAAATTTCGTAACTCAAAAACAGAAAATATAATTACACATTTTATTGTTTTGAAATAGAGGAAATCAAAGGAGGACAGAAGCGAGGAAGATTTTGTCCCTTTCAATATTTATAATAATATAATATAAGTACCTATTATAATACCTATTTATTTATAAAATAAATTAATATTAATTTTTCAAAATGATTAAAATTAACGTAAACTTCCCTCCCCCATGTTCCGGACGGGAATCGAACCCGTGTCTCTCGCTTACCGGTCTACCAGTTACCACTGGACTACTCCATACCTAACTTTGTAGATTATTTCCGCCAAACTTGAATAGTCTGACGTGCCAGGTTTGGGCAGGTTGGTGTCCCCGACGCACCTTGTATTTATCGCCGATATCCGGAGGATACAGGATGCACTGTCTTGGACTTCCCTCACTGGGAGCCCTTCCGGTCAGTAGTTAGGGCATTTTTCGGGGACATAAGCGTCACTCCTGATGACGTTCTGGACCTACTCTTCGGTTATCCTAGCGGATATCCTACGTGCCGGAACCAAGATCGCGTCAGGAATGACAAACTCACGGCAGCTTCTACTCATGGCACACAGTTCTTCTATTCGATGGTGGAGAACATTTTGTGCCGCAGGAGTAAGACAAGAGGAACAGGGAGGCTGAGGCGAGAAGTTAATCGGCTACTCGCTGCCTGACACTCATAGTTCGCCTTCCAGACTTTATTAACAAAATCTCAGATGTAGGTAACGATCAAATTGTATCATATAAAACATGGTGTACAAACAATATATTGTTTATATGTTGATATAAAACCATGAGAAAATTTTGATTGTAAACTAATCGTCACCCGTAGACCTATTAACAGTCTTTGCTGTCATCGTATAATTTACCGCAGCAGTGTGAACATACCTTTACTCAATATATAATATTTTAAACTTTGGAGAATCAAACGTAAATATAAGAATGCGATTACGGGTAACAGGTAGTTACCCAGACACAGTAATTTTTTATTTTGTATTTTATCATCCTTCCCCCTCTCAGAAAGAAATCGTAATCCACTATTGTTACCGGTATATAAAGTTTAGTATACTAATGCTGTTAACACACTATATTCAGGGTAATAAAAAATAATACACCACGTCATCAGTGCTCTGTTATCGTCACTCGGTCAGCCCAATGACACCGCTCACCACTACCGTCTTCCTGTACAACAGCCGTGGTTTGCCGGCCGGTAATCTGGTATACCGTTAATCGCTAATCACTACTCGAGTACTCGACTAAACTCGACGTCTTGATGCATGTACTTGAACAGTTGTACACTGATTGTACAATTGTACTAATCGTAGTACTGTCGTTTATTGCACGTGGTTCGCACACGACGTCTGCTGCTTCTGCTACAACGTTTACCGGTTTTTACGTTTCCTGTTAAGTTCAGTAAATCTAACTTGGTTCTGCACCGGAGAACAAAACTCAAAAACCAACAATGACAACAGAATACGATACCGAGGACGGTTTGTCTGGTCCGGAGCTTTTTAACAAAGGCGAAGGGCTCACTTACAAGTACGCATACCAATATCTACCTAATAATTTGATTCCCTTGTCATAAGTGCCTAATACCTAAAACTAATAATAATATATCAATATACTGGATTCTTGTTATTAATTAATTTCGTATAATTATTCACGTATAATATTTATATTTGTACCTATAATTGTTATTAACATATGTTAACAATGTACTAGGTATCTAGCTAACACGAATTGCATAAGTACCTACTTACCTAATATTTTATATACTTTTCTTTTATCCATTTTTAAAACTTACCAATCAGCATTTGCATCCACCATTTGCACATCCTTCTTAACTTGGTCCTCCTACCTTAGTCATGGATGCTCCAGAAGTCTCTTACCTTGTGGTGTCCCACACTGAACTATCCGAACTATGTTCCCTCTTTTCTCTATACATGTCTTGCTCATTGGAGTCTTCCTTTTTTGTTTCTCTATTGGGCCTTTACCAGGTATACATGTTAAATTATTTCATGACCCATCCTCTCATGAATCATATACTCCTTTTTTCAGTATTTTTAAACCTACTTTTTTGCCATTTCTAATAAATTTCCCCCTTGTTTCATGAGATTTTCCTTACATTCCACCAGTAAAACTATGTCCCCTGTGTAGGCCAAAACTTTTATTATGCAATCACCTGATTGTACTTTGTTATTTTCAATATAGCTCTTCCTGATGACTTTTTCTATTGCTAATTAAGTAGTTAAGGTGACAAAACATCACCTCGTCTCAAACTTGTGATACAATATTGACAACTTTGATATTGATTTCCGTTTGTAGGTTGTTTGCTTTTATCAATTTAATTAATTTCAGGAGAAGTTTGAATTGTATCAGTATATTAAAGAGAAATTCTTTGTGTATATAATAATACGCCTTCTTGAATGACAAATAATACTTGTTCTTCACTGTTAAACTCCACATTTTCTAGAAAATTTATTTCAAAATAAATATCTTGCCTGTAGTAGTTCTGTTTTGTTTAAAATTTACTTGATAATCCCCTAAAATGTTTTCTGCCCACGGCTTGATTCTACTTAGTATATACTTAGATAGAACTTTATAAGTATGGTTGGGACTTAAATGCTCTCAAAAATCTCAAAAGATGCATTGTATAAATTACTTAAAATTTATCAAAAAGAGCTTAAAAAAAATTATTAGAAATTAAAAAAAAAAAGTTTTACTGATGGCTAGATCTCATTGACTTGTGACTTCTTTTAATCTGAAAACAATTTTTTTCATCAATTATTAAATTTCTTTTAATAGGTTTGGATCAAAAATATATATTATTAATATAATATATTTACCTGTACATTCTGAATTGTTACACTGAACCACAAGAGCTTGTTTCAGATTTTCAAATAAAAATGATCTATTGTCCATCAGTAAGTTCTTAAAGACTGAAAAGTTCTTTTCAACATTTGAATCAAACTGAAGTAGGTAACAATTGAATATTTTAAGTGTGCCAAATCATTCACTGTAAGGTCATCCGTGATTTCATTTGTTATGTGTGTTTGACTGCTCAAAATATCTAGTATATCTACTAAATTATATCATCAGACATCGATTTTACCGATTTAATATTTAGTAATTCTAAATATACCATGTTAGTTTTATCATAGACTCTGCCACTCGTTATCTATGTTTTGACATTCCAACCATTGTCCACCAATAATATAACAGGAATTACGAGTATCTACTTTATAAATTGTTAACTTCAGATAATAATCAAAAATAAAATTTCAAATTCATTTTTTTTATATCCAAAAACTTCAAAAATGATCCTAAAATTCAAAAAATGCAAAACAAATTTTCTTATTCTCATTCAAATCACATGGTACAAATTTGTGACAACATGTGCATTAAACAGTAACTTTTAGAAAAAAATGCAAAATGCATTGAAATCCCAACCTTATTTATAAGTAATGCTTAATAAAGTGATGCCTCTTTAATTATCACATAACTGCTTTTCGGGTTTTGTTGTGTGTAGGATATATCAGCACTGTTTCCCATTCTGCTGGGATTTTGCTTGATTTTCCCAAATTTCTTTTATTAGTCTAACTACATAGTTAAACAGACTAGTTCCCACACTATTGAGTAATTCTCCAAGAAAACCGTTTTCTCCAGCAAATAAAAATTCAGTGACCGAAATTCAAATTTACTTCTCCAATGTGCAAATAAAATATTAGTAATAAATATAACTATGATCTATGAAAATTAATTTGTCAATGAACAAACAAAAATGTTTTTATTCATGAAATAAAAGAGCCTAGTTATAGTTCAAGTTTGTTTCTTGAAAATTGAAAATTTGCATGTCCAGCTCATCTAAAATGAATGCATTCTTTCACATCATAAAAAATGTTCTATGAAAACCAAAATTTTGAATAATGGTAACGTAAATCAAATGTTGCTAGGTAATTAAATCAAAAATACTTATAGTTGGTTATAATTTTTTATATTTAACTGGTTAAATTAAATGAGTTTGTCTATCTTTAAGATTACCATTTACTGATGAATTAATTAATTAATTACTCTATTTGGGTCAAGAAAACAGTAATCCAATAGGTTAATATACCTACTTATTTGTTTACAACATTTAAATTGTAAATATTGTTTGTCTTAATTTTACTAAACAAAGATAAGTGGACCATGTTGTTGGATTAGCAAGTTAATGGTTAATAAGGAGTAAATGGGGTAAACCTAGTACATTGGTTTTTTTTTTTTTTTTATTAGTAATTTATACATGGATTATTTAATTTATTTAGTGAATTGTTTTACCATAATAGTATGTGTTATTTATTTATTGTTGTTGATACACCTACCTAGTGATTTGTTTAAGTGGATACACTCATTATCTCAGAAAGTATTAACATTTTTCGGAATTTATTTTCTAGAACATTTAAAAAACAACCAACGCTACAATTCTATATTTATGTTATTTCTTGTTACCTTTTTTTTTTTTGAGGAGGGGTGGTGGTAAAATTACTACCTACATTTGATTTTCAAATAACAATTTATATTAAAAATAGATTGAGAATTAGTTAAAATAAATTTTAGTATTAGAACTTTTGATTTTTGTTAACTCATTAAAGAGATATTTCACTTTAATTTTAAGTTAGAGTAGAGTAGAAATGCATTATTAATACGCTGTACCATCACACAAATGATACTCCACTACTCTCCTCCAACCCAAACTTAAAAGTAGAATATTTCGTTAATGGATTAATGGAAATTAGTGGTTTTATCCCAAAACATATTGTTGACAAAAAATAGCATAAATATAAAATTGTATAACAGCTTGTTTCTTAAATGTTTTAGAAAACAAATTCCGGAAAAAATTAATATTTTCCCATTTTGTGTACCCATTAAATAAATCACCTGGTATATATACCTGATAAATAATAATAATAATACTTATTATTTATTGTATTATACCCTTTATTATACAGTACTGCTATAAATCTACTTTAGTATATTACATTTTTCTGTTTCAGTGACTTTATATTATTACCGGGTTTTATTGATTTTGCAGCTGAATGTGTTGTAAGTTTTCATTTGTTTCTATCATATAATAGTTTCTTATTACTAATACCATTATCTTTAATAGGAGGGTATTGTGAATTATGATACACAGAAGAAGCCAAATAAAAGTTTTATTTTTTGGTATCTATTTTATTAGAAAAATAATTTCTTTTATTTAATTAGTTACAAATACTACATTTTAAATTTTAATCTCATTATTATCGTGATTATAATCACTAATTTTTAGTTTGTATGGAATTTATTGGTATTTGTCCCAGTTTAATATACTTAACTTTGTTACCATATATATAAGTCAATATGTCATATGCATAATAATAATAATAAAAGACAAATATTAAGTGGTATAAAATAAAAAGTAAGAAGAGAAAGAGAAAAACTAATACATAAGACATATTTTAAATACGTACATATTAAATAAAGATCAGAAGAAAATGTACAAACTAATTTGATCTAAATTTAGCACATTTAAATATTGTTTAAAGTGATACTGGCTAAAGAACAATGACAAATTAATATTAAGTTTTGCGTATAGGTAAATACAAACGTTTTAACAACTGTTTTTCTAACAAATTCTTTATGGATTACTAGCATATTCAGATCAACTCTTTGTTTATGGTGTGTATAGTAAGTATGAGGTGGCGAATAATTTTTAAGTCTAAATCATAAATTTAGCTTAGTACATTCAATAAATATAAACTATTTAAAATTTTTACATTGAGAGTTTTTGTAAAGATCAACATGAAAATCATAAAATTTACAAAGAATAAATCTCAAAAGGGAATTTAGCGTGTTAATAAGTGGATTTAGAGCTTGATTAGATGTATTTTCCCAAATTACTATACCATCACTAACAATGGACTGGGCTAAAGTCAGATAAACTAAATGTAACATTTTAAATTAAGGATATTTTTAAGCAGTTTAAATTTAAAAACAATTTCCACACAATACCTACTACATAATTTATATGTAAAGATCATCTCAAATTTTTATCAAAAATCATTCAGATATTTAATAGATTCAACATACTCAAGGTACTTATCACATGTACAGGATGCTAAAGACTGATTACAATATGAGTAGTGAAATTTTAAAGGATTATAAGTCAAATTGTTATTATTTTTAATATAAAAATACATGTATTTAGATATACAAATATTTAGTTCTAATAAATTATTTTCAAACCAGTTTACAGTCAAACCTATAATTTCATTTAAGACACACCAAGTAAATTTAGAATTTGCTTTTAAAATTTCATCTTGAAAATATAATATTGGTGATTTCTTGATAACTGTTTCTAGTAGGTTTTCATGTAAATTAGAAAATTATCAGCAAAAAGTGGTTTTTTGGTGTATATTTTTTCTTTGGTATTTATAAACACTAAAATACCCATTGTTATCCATTTTTTTTTTTTTAATCAAACAAATTTACGATAGTTTTTTGTTTTCATATCTTTGTTGTATTAATAATAAAATTATTTATTTTATCATTGAACATAGATACAGTTTCATTAGTAAATAGATTTTTAAAAAGATCACCCCAATTTTCTTTATATAATAATAAATTTAATTTGTTATAGTCTATCTTTCTTATTGTATTAGTACCTAATGTAAAATTTTTAATAAACTTATTATTCCTAAAACAAATATCTATAAAGTACCAAAATGATCAATAATGTTAGTATTATATATTATGTATCTAAAAAAGAAATTTATATCTATATTTTTTAGAAATGTGTGATCAATATTACTATTTTGGCTTCTTGTAATACCATTAATACCAGAGAAAAATATGTCTTTATTCATTAAGTTTAGATAGTTCATTATAGTAGTTATAAATTATTAATTAGTTATTTGACAGAATATTAATGTTAATATCCCCACATATAAAATATAATTTATCAAAATTATCAAGGGAATCTAAAAATCATTCAACATTATAATTTGTATATAAACATGCTTGATTTACATAACTATATGAAACTATCTTTAGCGTTTGGGGAAAGAATTTGTTGGTTTTGATTTAACTATACTGATTATGGAAATACTTAATTAAATATAATTATATTATTTTTTTAATTTAAATATTTGTTAATTAATAAAAAATACTTTATTATTTATTAGTAATATTTCATAAATTTTATTACTAATTGTTTATTAATTATTATACTTTTCATTTGAATGAATTAATTTTCTTTGATATCATTCTTAACTTTTATGTAAAATTTGTTACAAGTTAAATTAAAATTTGTACAGACCATCAAACCTTGTACTGTATTTTCATTCATCCTACCCCTTTCATCAGATCATAAGTTATTCACATGTTTACTCTCAGCCTCTATTAACTGGGATAAACTGAATAACTGGGAGACATTAGGACATATCTTTAAAACCAGTATGAATGGAAAGCCTAGTTATAATTATGCCAGTTCATAATAAATGAATCACCCTGTATACAAACACATTTTAAATTATAATATATACATAATGAATAATGATGTTAGGCTAAAATAAGTTTTTGAGTTAGTAATAAAATGTTATGTTAAAAAATGATTACTGTTTGTTTTGATTTTAGGATTTGTCTTCACCATTGACAAAAAATATAGTTCTTCAAGCACCATTAGTTTCATCACCCATGGACACTGTTACTGAATCAGAAATGGCAATTGCGATGGCGGTAAATATATAAATGTTTTACATATTATTTAGGTTATAACATACAGATCAAATGTACAAAAGCCTTAACTGTTGATAGTCCAAATAATTTTAAATTTAACAATTTTAATGACTAATACCAAATATGTTTACAATGAAGGAGCAATATTTAAAATGCACAATTATCATTATCAATATATTTTTTACAAACTGTCATTTTCTATTGTGTATTATTTTGCAATAAATTGATAAAATTTAATTAATACTAAACATTTACAAAATTGTATTGAATTACACTAAAATATATAAAAATAATTAAATTTTGTTACTTGTATCTAACATTTTTTTGTTTATAACATTGATTTTATCTTAATTTAGTACTATATATGTGCTTAGTATTGCCCTGGTATGTTTTTTTGGTAGAATTCAATCTAAGTGTATAAATTTCATCAATTTGTTTTTAATAAATGTTTACAAAATAGTAAAATACATTATGTACATATAATCATTTTTTTTTTGAATTTATAAATGATATTTTTTTATTAATGGTAACAGGGTAGAAAATAGTAAAATTGAATAATTTATTTTAAATTTTAAGATCAAATTAAATTAATATATGTACAGAAATGTAATCAAAGTTAAATCAAAAGGAAAAAAAAACATGAAACGCAAAATTAAAAATAACATAAATTAAACCAAAAAATGCTACACATCTTACCTGGCATGCCACTGACACTCTCAGACACTTTATTTCTTATTATTGCTTCTCAATGCTTACTGAATACAATAACTGGTTGCACAATATTTTGTTTAAATTTTGCATCATACAATATGATGTATGAACATTTATAATACTATTACTTATATTTAGTTATGAAAGTTTAATTTTGATTAGGAAAGTTTCCATTATAAACTTTAAATTCAGATTATGTTGTAGCTTTGTGGTGGAATTGGAATCATTCATCATAATTGTTTACCTTCCTACCAAGCCAGTGAAGTGCTTAAAGTTAAAAAGTATAAACATGGATTTATTCGTGATCCTGTGGTTATATCTCCAGAATTATTGGTAAACATTTAAAAATAAAATATGGTAATAATTTGACTAAATTAATTATTTATTTGTATAGGTATCTGATGTTTTTCGATTAAAAGAAGAACATGGATTTTGTGGTTTTCCTGTAACACAAAATGGAAATCTAGGAGAAAAATTAATTGGCATTGTAACATCTAGAGATATTGATTTCCTTGAGGGATCTGCTCAATTGAACCAATCTGTTAACTTGGTAAGTATTTATGCTAACCTATTATGCACCTGTCTGTTCACCACTCTTTACAATTTTCTTTACAATTTATTCATACTCATATACTTTTGCTCTATATTAACAATAGCCCAATTAAATAGTATCCTTTTAGGTTCAAAGGGAAGGATCTATTAGTTTCACTATGATATATGCTTTTTTTTTTCGTCTGAACAATTTTTCTACCTAAAATGTTTCTCCGAAATATCATGTGTTTATGAAAAAGTAATTTTATCTAGTTGGTGTATTAGGGAGGTTATTTTTGTTTATATTTTTCAAGGGATTTTTAAAATAATTGGGAAAATATTTAAACAAAATTGTTTACAGTTCCCCAAAAATTATATTTTCTACCAGAAATATTGCTTGAATTTAAAAATGACAAGAAATTGATTTTGTTCCACTTAAATCTATCTAGCTACTGACAAAGAAAGTTATTTTTTTTTTTTTTTTGATAATATGTAGTTTCAGAACAATTGGGGTAAACCAATGAAATATGAAAAATATGATATTTTTTTTTCTTCAAATTACTGCACAATTTTATTATTTTAAATTGTTAAGATTATTATTTTCTAAAAGAAAATTTTGTCTGGTTTGTGAAGTAAGAAATTACCGTACAGTTTTAATAATAATTACAAAAAAATATAGGAAATATAGTAAAGTCTAAAATATTAGGATTCTTGTTGTTACTTAGTAAAAAATTATTGTAGAGACTTGTAGTTTTTATAAAATACTAATATTGGTCTTTTGTAAACAGGTAATAGGTAACATTTTCAAAACATTTTAGCTATTTATAGATATTTGATATTTTTGTGTTTTTATATTGGTCATTTAAAAATATATATGCAATTTATTACCCTTCCCTACTCCTGGGGTCTTAACAGTTATAATTCATAAATAGTTAATCTGATATTAATGTTATGCATATAAAAATATCTAGAAATATATTCTTCATTCATATCTTTTTTAAAAAAAAAATAAATGTATGTTTTTATTTTAGTTGTGTAGTAGGGATAAAGAATTTAAAATAAAATAAAACTTAAACAATTCCACAATGAAGAAACTAATTCACTTAAAACCTTCCAAGAAGATTCCTAATTCATGATAAAAAAAAAAAAGAGCTGATACTATGGATGGGAGCAGCCACTGTTTGTAGGTGAGAAGTAGGATATATAAGGTTAAAATAATGAAATCGTTGAATTTTACGGTTTCCTACATTTTTCCCACTTATGCTTTTACATCTCCCACTTGCTTTTATATAAAAAAACTAAAAATCAAAAATGGCCTCTCTATAAACAACTTCTCTGTACAATTTAAGCGTTCAGAAAAAGTGCTACACTTATATATCAGGGCAAGTTTACTAGAAAAAAGTGTTTAGACTAGAAAAATAAATAAATAAACAGCTTTGTAAAACCAATAGCTTCTTCTATGTTTGGAATTTAAAAGATCATATTGTATTATAATATAACTTAACTATTCATATTTCTAGGTAATGACTAGAATAGAAAATATAATATCAGCGAAATCTGGTGTAACTTTAGAACAAGCCAATAGCCTTTTAGAAAATTCAAAAAAAGGAAAATTACCCATTTTGAATGAAAATGGTGAATTAGTTGCTCTTATTGCTAGAACAGATTTGAAAAAGTCACGTAATTTTCCAAAAGCATCAAAAGATGAAAACAAACAACTATTAGTTGGTGCTGCTATTGGGACACGGGAGGATGATAAAGAACGATTACATTTACTTCACCAAGCTGGAGCTGATGTTATAGTTTTGGTAAAAAATACTCTATTCAAATTTTAGATATAAATATTTAAAATAATGTTAATTTTTTTTTTTTTTAGGATTCTTCCCAAGGAAATTCAGTTTATCAAATTGGTATGATTAAATATATTAAACAAAATTTTCCTTCATTACAAGTTATTGCAGGAAATGGTAAGATGTTTTTATCTTCTATTTTGCAGTTAATTGATTTCCATTTGCCTTTATTTTATAGTTGTGACTAAGGCTCAAGCTAAATCACTCATAAGTGCAGGTGCTGATGGCTTACGTGTAGGTATGGGGTGTGGTTCAATTTGTACCACTCAGGAAGTAATGGCTGTCGGTAGAGCTCAAGCTACTGCAGTTTATATGGTTTCCCAATATGCATCAAAATATAATGTGCCTGTTATAGCTGATGGTGGAATACAATCAATTGGCCACATCATTAAATCACTTTCACTGGGAGCATCTACTGGTAAACAACTGATTATGAAACTTAACACCTATTTAAAAGTTTGTGTATAAGGTATGTTACTATCCTAGACATAAATTAGGTAACAACATAATTGTCAATTTCATGAAAGCCTAACATTAGTTGACAATCTAGTACTCAATGCCTTTAGGCATTAACAGACAATGTTGTAAAATTAAAATACAGTAGAATATTGGTTTTCATGAACACTCAATTATCTGATGTATCCAAATGTTATCACTGGTATTATCAATGTTTTTATGATTTTGGTTGTAAATTAATAAAAAAAAAAAGGATGGACATACTTTGTATGTGGGTGTAGCCTAGAGTGGCCAGATTTAATTTTTAGAAATCCGGGACACCAAAATTCATAAAAAATAGGTAATTATATAGTAAGTATATAATTACATAGGTATTTGTATATAACTTTTAGGTATAAATAATATTCAAATTAATTAATTAGATAGGTCATCTTTATTTAATTAACACTCAAAATTCAAATAAAAATAATAATACAATTTCCAGTCGTTGAGATAAATATACTAATCTAGGTAGAATTTACTGATTTATTATTTTTCTTTATTTTTGTCGTCCAAGGAGACCTTATATTTTTCAGTGCTGTGTATTTTCTNGATTTTTTATTATTTCATTGTAAAATTCAATGCAACTCAAGCCATATGTTTTTGTTATCAGACAACATTCTATTGTTTTAGTATCCATTTGATTTCGAACATCAGTCCAAGTAGTTGTCATTAAAGAAAATACTCCCTCTATTGATGCGTTTTACCCAGGTAAACAAAATGCAAACTCTACAACCATTGCAAGATTTGATACATTTACATATTTTTCTTTAAATATATTAAATATTTGTACCCATTTTTGTTCTACTGAAATAACATTTTTTGTCCAGTCATCAAATTTGTCTTGAAAAATGTTTATAAAAGCCATAAACTCATCAAAGTATTCATCTTCATTAACTTTAACATATTTTGATATCATCTTTATTGTATTTTTGTTTGTTAAGTGCAACCAATTTAATTCAACCATCAGTGCCTGGTTAGGTAACTTTTGTCCACTTTTGAATATATGATATACATAAATCGTAAAACTTTTGACAATTTATATCAAATTCTTTTTTAACTAAATAACTCTCTTCTTCAATAGAATCAATTATTATCTCCATTTCATTATTAATAAAATGTTCATTCTTTCTGTTTTTTAAATTATTTAATAAACTGTTTAATATATCAATTAATTCAAATGCCGACATTTTTTCCCCTTCAATTTTTTGAATATAGTTATTGAACAGTTTAAGCATACTTTGTATAAATTTCATATATAATAGAGCAGTGACGTTTTGAAAAAAGTCAACCAATATCTTAGGACTCGAATCTTGTGAAAGAAAATATGACTTTAAGCCATCAAACATTAAAATAATTCTGTTAATTGCAGGAGACAGTGATAGCCATCTAGTTTTGGCATGTGATAAAATATCACGGTATTGGAAATTAGCAAAATCGCAAAATTCTTTTCATTTTTTTACCCGCACCATATAAATGTGGAAATATCCAAAAAGTTTAACTGTAATAGCTTCTGCGTCAATAGGTAAATTATCTGACGCGATCTGTACAGCGTTATGTAAGATATGAGCGTTGCAACCTAATCCAAGTATATCTTTTTTTAATTCTGTCTGAAGTTTTGGGTGCATGTTATCTTTTCCTTTTCTATTTAATCCACCAAAATTAGTGTTTTTATTATCAGCTGACAGTGCAACAATTTTTCGTTTTAATCCGAATTTAGTAAGAACGTCAATNTTTTTTACACCAACATGAAGTAAAAAATAACGGACTACAACAGGTACTAGTTTAATTGCTTTGTGGTTGGAACCGTCAACTAAAACAGATACATAATTCGCAAAAGATAGTTCTTTTAAAGTATTATCAACTATGTAAGGGCAAATAACATTGACAACTATTTCCCTGGTTTTTATATTTGCACACATGAATTTTTTGTTGTTTAAACATTGACGAATCAATTCCGATGTACAAGACATGTACAAACTGTGATTGTGAATTACTGTATGATACACAAAAGTAGCTTCATGGGCGGCTAACAAAAAATCATTTTCAGTAGGAACCAAAGCAGAAAAATAGTTGGAAACTTTACCAGATTGGACCGATGATATTGTAGCTAACTTATGTTTTTGCGTTTTGAGGTGATCGTTTATGTCCATAATCCACCATGACTTACTGAAAAAGTTCCATGGCAAGTTGTACACTGTACATTGAAATCGTCAGTAGATTAAGTTTTTTAATAAATGGGAAATCATTTTGCAACTTTTCGTTAAAATGACAAAGTCTTTTAGGCGGCATAGTCACTACGTAAAAAAATGAACTGTATAAAATTATGACACTGTAAATTATAAATACGTACCAAGCTGTTGATAAATTTTGCACTAGCGTACAACTTGTATCGTCAACAAATAACTGTTAACTAATGTATAATGTATAGACTATAGGTCTATAGGCAGTAAGTTAGCTAAATTCAGAAAGCGATTATAACTGTGATTGTCGTACATTCCGACATTATCCGTATATTATCGAAATAATTTACGATTAGGATTTGTTCAAATTAAATCTATAACCGAGTAAGCAAAAGAAATACCAATTTAAAAATGATTTTAATTTCCGGGACATTACTATGCAAAAGTCCAAACCCGGTACAAATCGGTGTCCCGAGAATGTACATGTATGTACCTATAATTATACACATTATCTAATGTCCATGTTATATTTTATAAAAAGAATAGGTATGTATTTTGTAAAAATTCCCAGTATTTGAACTAGGAGTGGTGCCAATTAGTTAGGATAATCAACATTCTATTGTATTTTGTTAATGCTTACAATTATGATTAGGACATTTTGTTTTAGATTAGAAATTTAAAATAACGATACACAGTGTAGATTCTACACTGTAGAACATACTCAACCTATTATATATAATATTAAGTTAACAAATTAAATTGAATTATTTTGTTTTACAATATCATTTGCTATGACTATAGCTGATTTATATTCTATTCTTAAAAATTTAATATTCTTTAAAAATATTAGTAAAATAGGTAGGTGCAAAAAAAATTAACAAAATAACATTATTAAAAAATTATAAACTGATTCTTTTAGATCATTGTTTAAATATTATTAAAATAAAACTGTTAGTACTAATTAGATAAACAGATTTTTACTGCAATTCTCTTTCTAATACAACAAACAAATTGAATAAATATTTTTATCAACTATGACTGAAAATAATGAACATAAACATTATTTCCTATACTGTATAGTCAGAATTTAACAACATTAATTGAATGTGAATTTCATTGAGTTAGACAGTTTACCAGTCAAGTATGGTATAATATTATGATAGTAAAATTATTAAAATTAATTTGTGGTTAATTGATCAATTTCTTGCTTTGTCAATCCTACATTTCATCAATATTAATTCAATTTTTTTTTTTTTAGTTATGATGGGTTCAATGTTAGCTGGCACATCTGAGTCGCCTGGAGAATATTTTTTCTCTGATGGTGTCAGACTAAAGAAATACCGTGGCATGGGTAGCTTGGAGGCAATGAACAGAAAAGATGCTAAAGGATCTGCATTAAACAGATATTTCCATAGGTACAAATTGTATTTTAATAATAATAATAATAATAGTAATAATAGTAATAATAATTTTTTTTTAACAGTGAAAAAGATTCCTTAAAAGTAGCACAAGGTGTTAGCGGAACAATTGTGGACAAAGGATCAGCTCTCCGATTTTTACCATACATACAGTGTGGTCTAAGGCATAGTTGCCAAGATATTGGAACTAAGTCACTAAAAAATCTCAGAGCTATGATGCTGTCTGGTGAATTAAGATTTGAAAGACGTACACATTCAGCTCAACTGGAAGGAAATGTTCATGGTTTATTTTCATATGAAAAAAGATTGTTTTAATGTAATTTTAAAAACATGTTACTTTTCAACTTTCTATCACATTTTTACATATTATAATATTTTTCTCTAATGAAATTAAAAAAAATTACACAAATGTTACAAAAGTATGTTGTTACTCAATAGAAAATTTATTAATTAATTTATTTACTGTACTGTTGTAAACAAGTAATTTTTGTTGTAAAGAGTTCAATTTGTTGCATTCATCTCTGCTGTAATGATATTTACTTTTCCAGCTTTGCACCATTTTTGTCAAATGTTCAATTACATGACTAAAAATAAAAAATTAAATAATAACAATAATTTGTCCCATAAATAATAAAAATAGAATTAGATCATATTAGATTTTCCAGAAAATAAAATAAAAACATTTACTTATCAATATAAATCTGAGAGTAATGTTTATATCTGTCAAACTTAAGTATTTCATTACTGAAGGATATGCTGTTGTTTTTTTTAGTGTTAAATGACTGCAATATATCCGGTTCATAATGATTCAAAGTCCATTTCTAAACAAATTTGTTAAGTTAAATCAGAATTGTGGACCATTTACATCTACTAAAATTAAGATTTAACTTAAGTATACACACTTGAAAACATTCTATGTCATCAAATGTTTTTTTAAGAAAGCTATTACAGAGTAATATTAGTTCACATTTCAAATTCAACATAGAGCAACTGGTTCTCATCAAACACCATAAGACGTCACATATTAAAATATAATGTTCAGTAGAATCTTGAATAAATGTGATACGATCATTGATCTGTTCAATCTCTAATAGTTTTTTTCTAGCATCTGCTATTACCATGTCAGATAATAATGTTTGGAAATTATTTAACTCAGTGATAGCCTGTTGACTCTTTGCAGATATTTCTCGATGTTTTAGGCACTTTTCAAAGTAACTAATTAATTATGAAAAGAAAAATTATATCAAATTGATGACAATATTTCTTTAGAGAGTATATAAATTAAATAACTACTTTATTATATCTGGTTGATCTGAACGTAGATTTTTCTCATTCTCATAATACGTTATGACATGAAATAAATTATTTATTGTGTTATTTAATTTTTCAATTTTATATCTTTCATTAATTTCAGAAATTTTTAAAGCTGTAACACTGTTTATAATAAAAAAGAAATCTGTAAGTAAATTGAATTTAGACAAAATAAATAAAAATATACCTTTGTGAGAATAAACTTAGCATATGCATCTTTCTTGTCAACTGATCCTTTGTTCTAGAGGATGTATTTTCCTGGAAGTTATTAAAGTTATTTAATAGGCAATAATATGATATTGGTTAAAAATTTAAAAATAGTATTCTACCTCATCAAACCATTTTTCAATCATATTAAAAATTTGATTGCGCCACAAGTCAGTTAAATTAACCAACTTGTTTGATGCTAATTTTGTTAAACATTGATTATCCTAAAAATACATAATTTTAATTTTAATAATTATCACTGAGTAATTCATTATGTATTAATTTAAATAATAAAAAGCCTAGTTCATTTACAGTGTTTTTAAGTGGGCTTCCGTTGTAAATGAAAATTTAAAAGAATAAATAAAATATTTTAGCGTAGTTATTATTTAAATAATACTTACATTTGTCATAATATTTGAAACATTATTATGAAGTTCTTTGACATTAAAGCCAAGTGTTTTGGCTTTTTCTGTAAATGTTTTCATGGTTGTATTCAAATTGCATTGTGCATTGTAGCAAGATATACTAATACAGTGTTCAGTTTCTTTAAGTACAGAAACTTCCTCATCCACCACACATTTGTTTTTTCTAAAATTTAAAACTTGTTAATATATAGCCAAATTTAAGGCTTAATCTGGAGGTATTGGAGTCAGAAAAAGGAATAATGTTTAAAAATGGTAACCATGATAGTCAATATATATATATATATTTATATTGTATATATATATACAATATAAATTAATTTATAATCATTTTAGCAATTGTTGTAACACAGTATCAGGTTTCTAACATACTAACATTTACAGATGTAAAAGACTGGAGTGGTCAAGATAAATACTTTTTTGTGTATCCCAACACAAACATATACAAATTTTGTATAAGTTAGATCATCAATATTAACAAGTAGGCCAGTGGAGCAAAAAGGCTAAGACTGTAAATCATATTTAAGGCATAAATGAAAAGAGGAATGTGAGTTTTTGGTTAGAGTATGTATGAGTATACTGACTAAGGTGGCTTGCATAATATTTGGGTTTTTTTTTTTAAAAATAAAAGTACTTTATAACGTATATTCTTGGTTTGTTTATGGGTAGTCATAATAATTTTCATTTATTCAGAGTCTGATCTGAAACTAGTTAATTCATGGTTTGAAAATAAAGTCAAAATAATTAAGTAGTCCTATCAACTCTGGAGAGAAACCCATAAGTTCATGATATATACTAAAGATTGTTGATAGCAAAAATAAACAAGAAAAGACCACTTTGCAGGCCAATAATCAGATGAAGGGAAAGTTTAGAAAGTATACAAGAATGATAGATTGTTCAATAAATAAAAAAAAAAGTAAAAAAGCGTATAAGTGATAATGCAGGTCCTCAATGGACTGTTAAGCTGTTGATGATAATGATACATAGTTGAACTTGAACTTCATAAACTCAAAATCGTTAATACCGCAAACTTTTCCCCCGTCCCTAAAGTTTCATATTTAAACAATGTAAAAATACCACATTTAACTTGAATATTTCGTGGTTAACTCTAAGTTTCAAATTTTATTAGGATAATTGTTATTTCCATATGTATATAAATTCACTATCGAATAAAATATTCTTAATGTTATGGGTACTAGTACAGTTTTATGCAATTGGTTTAATACTAGATAGTACACTTCATCCACTTACATGTATACTATACACTTTAATATACTTGTTTAGATGTCAGCAATAAAACTAATAATAAAATAAAAATAAAACTATGATCTCTGAAAGTAAACTTGTCAATAAACAAACCAAATAGTTTAAATTCATAAAAAATAAATATGAACTTGGTTAATGTTTAATTTTTAAAAATTCAACATATTAATTCCCATGACTGCTTATATTATTGCATTACAAAAAAAATGTAAAATAAGTTCGTTATGACTCATTCTACACATTATTATTATCTAAAATCAACTTACTTGTATAAAGTTCCATGTGCTTTTAAATCATTTAACTTTTGCTGAGATTTAACAATTTGTTTTTCTAAATTGTCTAGATCTGAAGTACATAATACAAAGTCTTTAGTTTGTTCATCATAAAATTTATTAAAACCTTTAGATACATTTTCGAGAGAAGAAAACTGATTATTTTTTGAACACAAAGATGCAAATCTAAAAAAAAAAAACATAAATTTAAATATAGGTAGGTAATTTAATAATTAACACATTTTTATGAAATTAATAAATTGTAAATATATTATATACGAAACAGTAAAAACTAAAAAAATTGGTAGGTAAGTATTAAATAGAGGCAATTTTTATTTTAACTATCAGAAATGTTTCCTGACATTTTAAAAAAATAATATTTAAATCACGATTTCTAAAAAACTAGCATTTCAAGATACATACTAAATATTTAAATAGCTGAATACATATGTATAAAATATTTATAGTAATTACAATTAATGTTAGATGATGACTAATTTTAATTTTGAATTAAAGCCAAGCGTTATATTCAAAAGAAACATATCAAGTCCATTTGAACTTGGCCATATTCGAAAATTAGTCTCATTAAACATAAACCAATAACAATAATATAAACAATAATAATATTGTTACTCAACTATATTATATCTATGAAAATAATTAACATACTTACAGAATTAATTCCTTAGGCGTTACACAATTATATTTTGGCGTTACATTATTGATAAACCACGTAAAAATGGGTAATAACTCAGAAAGTTGTTCTTCGTTGGCAAACAAGTCTCTAGGTAAATGACCAACATGGTAATCAATAGCCTTCAGTATATCGAGAAAATGTTTAGATATTTCCATAGCAATTTTAATGGACGACAATAAAATTAGTATAAGAAAAAGTTAATGAAGACAGAACGAATGGTTATAAAATTATTTGATTTGAAGTCGAACGGTTTTTCAAAGATTAATTCCAGAGAGAATTCAAATAATAAACATTATAACCAAAAGTGTGATATCAAAAAATCTGCGGTATGAAACCACTAAGATATACGTAACACACAAACATGAAAATTGATAAGAGTGTTTTATGATTGGACAGTCAAGTATTTCGATATTGTTTACAATTTTCCAAATCAAGAACGACAATAACAAAAGATGAGCATAGAACAAGCCAGTGGATTCACTTTGGTTCTTGGCATAAAACACAGATATCCATTGATACTATTATATTCTGTGACATAGAACAGAAAAATCAGAATCAAATACATTTTTGTTAAAATATTGATAATTACCGATAACCATATTTAGCGGGCGGACTCTGAAAAACATTGATAAGACCTTTCTGTATTCTGTATAATATCATCTCAATTCGTAGTCACAACCGTGATTCGTAATTCATCTGATGGTTAAGTTGGTAACTATGTCTTGCTGACATTTTTATTTTTTCCACTATCATTTCGCAAGAATCGGGACAGTCACTGTAATTTTTTACAATTCTCTTACTAATTTCCCATTATACTCGAGTGAATTCTTTTTATTATTTTTTACTCAAAACTGATTTTTGAATTTTTCAATTATATCAATCATATATTTTCAAAATGGTTCGAGAATTTAAACCCGCCGTCAACGTTTCACCTCTCATTAGAGTAAGTAAATTATGTGAACTTATAATATCTTATTGTTATGGTAAATTGCTTTCGAACCTTTCCCCATATACCTACCAATGTCAAATTTTATTTTTCAAAATTATGATATGTAAACTGATTTAGAAATCATAAGTTGTGTAATCGTAATTTTATTGTTAAGATGTTTTAAATTGATATTTCATATTTTAAAACTTACCTTAGATAGCTAGGAAATAATAATTTTGTGCGTTTTAATCAGTCATAATACAGGGAAATAATAAATAGTCATGGAATGTAACTTGTATTTATGTACATTTTATGGATTGCTCAGAGTAATTCTTATTGTAAAGTTAAATTAATTATATTATATTTACTTACTCAAGAACAAACTTAAATGTGTATGGATTTTTGTAAATGGAAAATATATTTCTTCATATTGTCTTGGATAGTTTATAAATATTATATATTTCGCATCCATCTACTAATTTATTGTATGTGTAGTGTAAAAACTGTAATGTAAAAATTTTTGACTTTGACTTTGACTTTTATTATTATATACTAAGTTTTGAGAACTATGTGATGACCAAACTTTATTACCTGTTGTTTTAATAATGCACATACAATTGTGCAATATTGACTACATAAATTATGATTATCAAAGTACTAGAATACTATAATAATATTATATATAATATATTATATTACATTTTATGACTATATTTGAAGGTCAGTTGAAGGTTATTTATTTAAGCCAAATATAAGTACTAGATTTACTTACAAATAAACAGTATTAAATAAAATAGTGATACATGATTTATTTAAATATTCAATCAACCCAGCAATATAATTTTTCTAGTCCTTTAGTTGCCCTTCCTAATTGTATAAATAAAAGCGTGGTAATTTTTTGAACACTTCATACCGTTAAAAACTTATAATTTTTTCTAAGAAAACGGTTACCTATATAAAGCATTTCAAATTTTAGATAAGTATTATTCATCTAAATGTTTTATTAATTAATTAAAAATACCTAACCTATTTGTTTCAATATTATTTATACTTATATTAACATTTCAAAAAATTATTTTACGTCTAAATGTGTATTCAAAACTATAGGTTGTCATTTCAAAATCTAACAAAAATATGAGTTTCACATCTAAGCATACAGATCTAATAATATGTTTATTGCAATACAATTATACATTTTTAAATATTTCTAATATACATGCAGGTACAATTATAGTAGATCTAATACTTATTCACCATAATTAAAAAAAAATATTAGTTTAATGATTGAAGAAATATTTGAATTAGATTGAGTCTAATTTATTGTGATTTCTTATAATTTTCCAACTGTTTCAGTTATGCTTAGGTGTTTAAAAAAAAAAATATGTAATTGAGGCTGTATGTATATTATGAATTTTGAAACCAACAATTTTCTTTAACCTTATCAAATTAATTTAATGGGTGAACTATTTTTCTAACATCAAATTTTGAATAATAAACTATTGTAACCAAAAAATTCATACTTATGTACTTCTTATGTTATAGTTTGGTCGTTGGAGCTTCTTAGTGTTAGGTATTACATATGGAGCTACGTTTCAGAGTATTTTCCAAAGAAAAGAAGATAAAGGTAGAGAAGTTAGAGAGAAAGCTAGAGCTGAAAGAAATGCTAAAATTGCTGAAGAAAAAGCGAGATATCTTCAAGGTAATTAATATTAATTTTTATTATTTTATTTATTTATTCTTAAGTTAAATAATGTGCTATAGTTATTATATACAAGTTATTGCCTGCCCCAAAAATTATTTGAAAAAAATATATATTAATTTTATTTAAGAATACTTTAAAAATTTATACTAATAAAAGGAAGTGTGTCTGTTTGTCTGTAAGCTATGTATTGTTAAATCTATTCCTCTAACTCTTAAAGAATTTTTGGAATAAATATATAATAAGATTATTTTTTTTACGTGGTGTGTAAATAATAATGAGGGATAATTTAACTCTACTGATAAAACTATGCTGCTAACGAGTGATTTTTTTTTTAATAGTATTTTATAGAACACATTTACCTGTTGTACTATAATTTTTATAGATCATGAAGTATATTTTTTCAATAAAAATATATATTCATTGCCAAAATAATAAGGTAACAATTCAAAATATAAGATTTTTGTTTTTTGTTTTAAATTTGTCTAATTATTTCCATAGTGAAATAATTTGTCTCCTTATATAAAAGAGATATTGATTATTTCTTTCTTTGTTTAACACATTATACTCATTATAACAATTAAGAATGACTTTTCTACAATAAGCCAGATAAATGCAGTTTTACCATGGCATTAATAATTGATGTATTCAGGTATTGCAGCCCCAATATTTATTTGTTGGATGTTAGTATTTAGTGCCACAATTTTTATTTTAAATTAATATAACTACCAGTAGTACTAAAATGTGTACATGTTGATTCATTGAGGTGCTAGAGCCTGAGAAAGATAACTGTGTGGATCAAGATCATCTGCGACAGCTTGTTAATCTTTTATATAGGAATCGCCAGTGTGGTCTAGGTCAGTAGTGTGTAACCTTTTTTGATCCACGGCTCCCAAATTAATTCATTTAGATGAAGTGACCTCCCCTTTCCTACTAACATTACATAAGCGTATAATACATATATTTGTTTAATGTATACAATAATTATAGTCTTATAAATTAAATAGTTAATTTTTGGTAATTTTAATATTTGTTTAATTCAATTTATCCAAATTTTTTATTCCAAAATATTAAAAAAAAAAAACCGACATTGTTAATAAATAATTAAATAAATAAATAATATTAATCTAAAAAATACAATGAATAAACAGTATTATTATAGATACATAATAAGTATAAAAATGATTGTAGAAAATAATATCTATAAGTAAAATCAAAAATGTATTTTTAATGAATCATATGAACCTTTAAACAACAAAATATGTATGAAAACCCACAGACCTATGATAAATTCTCTTAATTTTTCGTTTTTTTTTTTGGAGAATGTAACAAAACATATAAATAGGCTTCCCCCAATGATCTTGATCTAGGGGACTTTCTTTTTCAGGCTCTAGTGCTTCAGTGAATGGATAGATACATTTTAGTAGGTATATAAATTGAGCCAGTCATTTTTTATTGTCCTTAAATAATGTTGGTTAAAAGTTTAAAACCCTTTATATGTAATAGATTATTGGTGAAATTGGTATATAAATCAAAATATAAGTAATTTTCATCTTTAGTTTGTAATTGCACATCTGTTGATATTTATAAGTTTACAAATTTTAAATATGTATCACCCTCAACATTATTTTTTGACAGTAATACAAGTCTAGTTTTATTCTAAATTTCAAATAGATTTACTGAAATAGCTAATTTAAAAAAATAATGTTAAGTATATTAAGTCTGATTAAATTTAAATACAATTAGAACAAATTAACTCATATTAAATGTATTTATTCTGTCTTAATTTTACAGTGGATATGGACAATTTGAATGCTATATTCAATCCACCAAAGACTGCATAAGAAATATTGAAAATTTGTTCCATAGATGCACGCAAAATGATTAAAAAAAAAAATTGAATATTCAACTTAGTACTGGAGTCTAACTTTTAAAACATTTAAATTATCTTAAAATAGTTACAACTACTAGTTATTAAAATGTTATAATTTATACTATCAAATATACCATTAAATATGAAATTGTTTTTTTTTTTAATAGATTGAATTACTGAATATATGTATATATACATATTGTAGTTTAATCTTAACACATACATGTGAAAATGAAAACCTTTGAGTCCTATATTCCAAAGATATTTTATTTGAATTGAAGGAATTATCACAAAGAAGATTAATGGCATTTGATCAATTCTCTAACTTCATAAAATTCATTGCCTGTTATGAGCCAGGCAGTGCTTTTGTATCCATGACACTTATTGTGACAATTAGCTATGAGCTCCGAGGTTATTGACCAGGGTCTGACTTGTTCTGTGCTTGGGCTTTTGATTGTCACTAACACCGCTCATTATGTCCATTATATTCACACATCTGTGGTATTTAAACTCAATGCAGAGATTAAACTATAACAGCTAAACTTGAAATTTGGTATTTATTAATTTAAAATATATTTGTAAATAAAATTAGTTATCGTAGATGGTATAATTTTGCAATAAAATAATAATTGAAGACAGGTGCAACCACTGTTATAATTAATTTAATGTATCCTTATAAGAAACAATATAAACCATTACTTACAAAAAAACGATTCTGAGCGGAGTTCAGTTGATAGTGATGCTGTTTTATCAATATATATGCCATATTATTTTAAAATAATTAAATAGACTTTATATATTTTCTTTAATAATATTGTTTAATGTTGTACCAGTTTTCCCAGTTATTTATATTTGATAAGAAAATCGAAAAATGACCTCTCTAAAGTATCTCCTCACACCAATTTTTTTTCAGAAAAGTTGTTACCCGTAAAATCCAGAGAAAGTCCTCTTGTAGAAAAGTTGTCCTCAGAAAGAAAAATAGAAATTAACATCTTTGTAAAACCATAAGTTTTTTCACTCCACTCATAATCTAAAATAATAATAAAAAGAAATTCTTTATATTAGTGTCAGTTAATATAAAATATGTATTTATTGTTTATTAGTAAAACAACTGTTTACTGTATATTTTGCTTTGTCCTTTAGTGAATAATTTTATTATTTAATTATAATAGTTATATAAATAAATGTCAAATAATAAGTTTAATGATGGTAATTGGGTCAAGTTATGATTTAATTTTTATGGAACAAGTGCTCTTTACTTTCATGTACTTCATGAATTTCAGACATTTCTTTTTTTTGAGAAGATGTTTGTGGATGCAGATTTTTCAAATTTGAATTCTTAAAAGGCTGTCACTTAAAAATAATGTTTTTGTGCATTAGGGTTGTTAGTTTTTAATGGTGAAGTTACATTCAGACTTCTGATTTTTTTTTTAAACTATTATTTTAGTAGTTGTTATTTGAAGACAGTAAATATGTCATTAAATATAATTTGCAGAATAATCTTTTTTTTTCTTATACATATTATAAATAATAATAATAAAAAAAAAAAAACATTAAATGAAATTAGATTTATAATCTCTAAGGGCTCAAAATAGTTTCCACAAAAAATTTGAAATTTAAAAAGTTGTACCTTAATCTATTTTTACTTTATTATGCATATTTTTTAAACCAAAAAAAAAAAGTATTATTCTATTCTAAATGTATTATATAATGTAAAAAATATTAATTTATTATTATTATTGAAATAGTTAATATACTGAGAAGGATGGTGAAAGGAACAAAGATTATTCCAAAAAATAATAGAAACATAAAAGTAGGAAAGCATTCATAAAATGTATTCATATATAAATTGAAAATAAAGGTGTTCATTTTCCAATATAGCACATCAAAACATCAAAGATAAATTATTTATACATTAATAAAGTCACATAAAACTAAAATGATTATAAGAAGTTAGTAAAAAACAAGATAATACAAATTATGATTTAAAAGATAAATTTAATCATAAATTGTCAATTATAATCTACAAAAATATTGTAATACAATGTTCATGTTCATTTGAAGTCATACCATTGTAGCACAAATTACAACAATACGATTTTTTCTAATTAAATAAAAAGTGTCTTTATATATTGTAAATAAAAAACTAATAATAAATAAATAACTATTTAAGTTGTGATTACTGCATTATCCAATAATGAATAGTTTTATTGTGTGCTATATTCTGGCAATGGTTTCACAATACCCTGTGTAAATGCATAGTGAATGCAACTGCAAACAAACTTATACTGATTCTGAAAAAAAAATTCAATTAACTAAAAAAAAACTTGTACATAGTGTTGAGTATTAAATGATAAATAAATTATTGATGTATTACAAATTACATTAATGTTTCATATTATATGTTTTATTGAAACATACAAAATCCAAGAATATAATATAATAATATAATAAAATAGAGGGCACCAGGATTATTATAATTGGACTTCTTGTGGGCGAAATATCAGTAGAATATGAGTATTTGATTATACAGATTTATGATTTAACTTCAATGAATACAAAGTTTCAAAGTGACTTTAATAAATTGTTTGAATGGTCTTATCATTTGAATTGACACTTAAATTTGAAAAATGTCATTGATAAAGAGGTTCTACTATAAAATGACACTATGAACTATTTTACTCAATTATATTGCACATTGATACCATTTGATTTGGGTTTTAAATTACTTAGAATTCATATTTTTACAAAGTATTAATTGTATCATTAAAATTATTTAATACATTATATTTCAATAATAATTTACTTACAGATGTTTGAACCATCATGGCTCTTTGATCACGCATTTGCCGTACAATTTCTAAAGGATACACAGGTTGACCAGCTTCAATTAGGCATAATGTAGTTTCCAATAAAATTATCACTCCAGTACGTCCAATCCCAGCTGAACAATGTATTACAATAGGTTCCACAACACCAGCACGTTCTTTACGAATAGCTTCTACTAAATTTAATAATCGGTTTGAATCATCTGGCACTCCATGATCAGGCCATAAACTATATTGAAGTTGTGTTACAAATCTAGTTTCATTAATCTGTAAAAAAAAAAACATCAAGACAACATAAATAAAATCTTAAGATATAATAGACTTTTCATTTTAATTTTGATATAAGGATACCCTGTTTTTAATTTTTTTTTTAACGCATTTTTGAACATAGATTTCAGAACAGTTTGAAATTTTTGTAGAATCATTATTAAAGAAGTTTTGGAAGTTTTAGCTTAAATACCTATTTATTTTACCATCATTTATTTAGAATTGACCATGGTGCATTGGGTCAGCCTTAGGAATTATGGTATTGAGTTCGATAATGTCAATGCTTAGTGAATTTTTGCAATTTTTTTTTTAAAAAAAAACATGTCTAATTTTTGTATTTGATTTAAACATATTTATTTTACCCCAGGCTCACCCCAATTGATTTTTTATTTGTACAAACCCGATATGGTTTTGCACAACAAATCAAGGGTTATTTTCAATTGAAACAATCAACAGTGAAAAGTGCGAAAATTTAACTGCACATCGGAGCATATCAAACTCGATACTGCAGTTCCGTAATGCATTACCCAATGCACCATGGTCATTCCTAAATAAATGATTGTAAAATAAATAGGTATTTAAGGTATTCATACTTCAAACTTCCATAACTTTTTTAATAATGATTTAACGATTTCCGCAAAAAAAATTCAAACAGTTCCGAAATCAGCATCAAAAATCAAGTTTCCAAAAGAAAAAAAAAATATGAAAAAGAAAATGTCCAGTAAAGTAAACTTGTTCTATAATATTTACTAAATTGAATCTAGGTAATTTGATGTATACATTAAGAGGAATACTTGCATTTAGATTGGTTAATTCAAGTTGTCGATATACTATAATGTTTGATGTATCGGTTTCCTCAGACACTAATTTTATAGTTAAATTGTTAGGTATTTCTAATATTTCATTGACTGGAGGCCAGTATTTTGCACATTTTTGTCGACCTTTTTCAACTAGTGCAGTTACCATAATTATTAAAGTACTACGAGATTCCCAAACCATTTGCCAAAAATCACCAATAGTTGTTAGAAGTGGACCTAAAATATATAACCAAATAAAATAAATAAGGTACATATATGTCCAACGAAAATATCTCATTGTGATATTTTGGTAAGTACTAACTTTTTACAGAATTTATTTTTAAAAAAAATTAAGAATAAAGCAGCTCTTAAATGTTACATTACACTTTATGACACCTTTATTTTATTATTTTATTATTTACATATTATGAGGGTCTAGTATTAAAGGGCCATAACAACCAAAATTTACATTTTAACTATTAATTCATAATATTCAACTTTCATAAAGTGTAAGAAAGACTTGACAATGACCAGTTCGGTTTTAGGAAGGGTAAAGGAACACGTGAAGCTATCATAGCTCTGAGACAAGTTCTGGAAAGGAGAATTGAACAAAGCAACGTTTATAGCATTTGTAGACCTGGAAAAAGCGTTCGACAAAATAGACTGGAAACTCTTATTTAACACTTTAAGGGAAGCGAGAATTGATTGGAAAGACAGGCGCTTAATATTGAACTTGTATAAAGGTCAAACCACTGAAATATATGTAAATAGAAGCAAGAGACAAGTGAAAATTTGTCAAGGAGTAAGGCAAGGTTGCCCTCTGTCTCCATACTTGTTTAATTTGTTTATTGAACTTGCAATAGATGAAATGAAAGAACACACTACAGGAATATCGATAAATGGGAAACAGTTTCACTCCATCTGCTTTGCAAATGATATAGCTCTCCTAGCTGACAGCGAGGAAGAAATGAGTCTGATGCTTCATATACTTGAATCATCTCTAGATAAGTTCAAACTAAAAATTAACTCCAAAAAAACAAGTTATGGTTATAAGTAAAGTTATAACAAATACTAACATAACGCTTAACAATGAACAATTACAACAAGTAAAGGAATTTTGCTACTTAGGTAGCTTGATAACTGATGAAAACAAATCTACGAAGGAAATAAGAAGACGAATTACATTAGCAAAACATGCTTTTGAGAAAAAAAGGACACTTCTTACTAATAAACATCTAAGTATAAGATCAGGAAAGAAATTTGTAAAAACATAAATTTGGAGTATATTACTATATGGTTGTGAATCTTGGACAATAGGAAAATATGAAAAAGATAGACTAGAGGCTATGGAAATGTGGATGTGGAGGAAAATGACTAGAACAAGCTGGACAGAACATAAGACGAATGAAGAAGTGCTGAACGAGATCAATGAAGAAAGAACAATAATGAACGAGATCAATGAAGAAAGAACAATAATGAACACCATAAGACGAATGAAGAAGTGCTGAACGAGATCAATGAAGAAAGAACAATAATGAACACAATAGACGAATGAAGAAGTGCTGAACGAGATCAATGAAGAAAGAACAATAATGAACACAATAATGGAACAATAATGAACACAANGACATCTACTTAGAAATAATGAGTTTATTACTATCATTATGGAAGGAAAAATAGAGGGAAAAAGATCCAGAGGAAGACCGCGTAAATCCTTTGAAGAAATCTTCAGACAAATGGGTGTCTGAACCTCTTACCAAAATCTCAAGAGGACAGCATCTGACAGACATGTATGGCTACAACAACAAGGCTTAGCCTTTAGAAGCTGATGATGAATATTCAACTTTTAAAGTAATTTTTAGTAGTAGGACATATCTCCAATGATACTGAATGGATATATTTTTTTTTACATTAAACGTATCAACAACAAAAAAGTATTAATATTACAGTTAAAAAAAAATGGTACCTAATGTAACATTTTAAACTGCCTAGTCTTTTAAATTTAAAAAAAAAAAAAATTCTGAGTATATATTTATGGAGAACTCTGCCTACAAACAATGTGTTATTATATTTTTAATAGATATAATAAAATAACCTTGCGTTGCAATATATCTGTTAATTATTCCTGAACCTGGAATCTCCATATTTATATAATTAGCATTAATATAATCATTTTCTTGACCTTGAATTATAAATCGAGTATTATCATCTGAAAATATATAAAAAAAATGTACACTACCTTATATATTTTATGTTTACTTTTATTATACAATTTACATGTTGAAATGAATAAGTTCTTTTTAGGTTTTTTAGTTGTCATATTGTTAGTATCTAATGGTTATGACCATATACCATAAAAACTACCACATCTTATGGTAAACTATATTACTTACAAGGAGCTATGTCACGGTATCTATTTTTATGTACATTTTTTGGTAGTCTTGCAATATCCATAGATGTTTCTGGCTTATGCCTATATAATTGTTCAAACTGTGTTAATAATGATCCGCTTGCCAAGCCATCTCCGAGGAGTAATATAGATTGAATTAATGGATCTGATGACATACCATTCAGAGGGGATTCTGGTATGTACTGAAATAATGGTTCTTCTTCCTTTTCATTTGAAATATCATCATCATCATTACCTGAACATAATAATGTAGTAATAAATATAATGCATGTCCACCATCTTTATGATAAACAAAATAAATGAAATTGTATAATTTAGTAAAGTAAATTATCTATCATTAAAATGTAAAACAATGGACAAGTATAATAATATATTAATTATTGATACCTAACATACTAGGTATTAATATAAATATATAAATCATTACTAATTTATTCTATTGAATTTTCAATTCTTTACATGTTATATTGTCATGGTCTTATCAATTATATAATCTATGTTCTATATATAAATAACCGAAAACTTGGATTTTGAGCTACAGCTTTTAAATACAATACTTTAAAAATTAATATTTTATTTTAAGTATGAAAAATATGTTTAACTTTAAATCAGGATTTCCTTCATGATTTAAAGTTAAATCAATTATTATTTCAATAATAAAAATAAGTTTTTCTTTTTTACAATTTAAACAGTTGTTTTATACAGCCTACAAATCCATGGTAATTATAGATACATAAAATAAACTAAATTCTTAAGTGTCATATGTGGCCAATAGAAATTAATAAGTTTCCATTTTTACCATTTTTGTAATACTCATTACCTTATCACATGAAAATATATTTAATATCATTATAAATGATAACTGAATATTTAATTTACAGACATATTGTTGTAATGTGACCATTATTCAAAATTCAAATTGCATTTATTAATTATCAACATAACTCGGTTATGAATAAACTGCAGAAGTCTAGTCTAATAATTTTTATAACAATGAGGTGATTGACAATAGAAATACATACCTTTTTGTTGAACTGTTAAAACCAATTTACTATTATTTTGTAAATCTCTTGCAGCTCGAATCAAATTAACAACATCATCATAGACCATATCACTTACTTCTTGGCCATTTATCATTAAAACCTTAGAAGTATAATTGTTTATGTATTAAATATCAATTGCATTCAAATAAATAGTATACAAAAATATGATATCTTAAGGCTTTTCAACCATATTTGTATCATTAAATCAATTTCAAAAATTTAATAAATGTGATTATTATTTACCCTGTCACCCTCACAAAGTTTTGGAGTTGCTCGGTATGCTGAGGTGTTGGGAACAACTCGAGATACAACAATTGGTAAACCTAAGTCTGAACCACCTTTGACATTAAATCCAAATCTTCCTTGTTTATCAGCATTCATATGAATGCACACAACATTGTTTTCACCACCCTATTCAATAATCAATTTTTAGTGTTTGAATTATTGGCTGTTTTGTCTTTTAATGTTTAATAATGTAAATTCAAAATAAAAATGTGAAAAATACCAATGTTGTTATAGAAAAAAGAGATTTCCAAAATTTTCATAGGCCTAATCAGTGTTTAAAAATAAAATACAATTTTAGATGATGCCCACCAATGTACATTGATATTTTTAAAAAATGTTAAGTTAAAAATTTCTAAATATATATGTATTTCTAATAAAACATTTTCAAATTTTCCAATAAAAAGAGAATCAAATTTATGATAAAAAAAAATAATAAATATTTTTATTATTACAATTAACTATAGTTTGTAAATACAAGTAGAAATAACATTTCTCTTTAGGTAATTCAGATTTTTTTTAAGTTTAGTGTATTACACTAGACTTAATAAGTAAAATTTGTAGTTAATAGCTAGAATTTAAATGTTTTATAATCTAAAGACACAATATTACCAAAGAAGATTCTGTATCATATGCTGGTATATCATATATACTACCAGACAATTCATCATTATAGTTTGACATAGAACTACCAGGTAAATCACAATTACTGTTTGGGTTAGCAGTGGATAATACAAATCCACCTTCACTGAAAAAAAAAAATCAATATGTTAATTAAAAGAATATTTATTCAAAAATAATATTTTTCTTAGATTGTCTTACTCGTCTGATGGTCCCCAGGCTGGTCTTGGTTCTTTTTCAAATGATTTTACTTTAGAAGTAGTTGATTTTATGATAGATTTAGGATTTTTGCTATCGGATTGTTTTGAGTTACATCTACTTTTAAATCTAATAATCAAATATGCAATTTAGTTTGTATTTGTCTATTAACTATTCATAACTAACCTTAAAAATGTTCGGTGAGGCCTTGGCTGTGTCTTACTCTCTTCTACAGTTTGTAGTTCAGTTCGTCCAGAATATGTAAACCGAGAACCTAATAGAAATGGTGCTGGGAATAATCTTCTAAAACCTCGATTATTTGATGGGCAAATAGGTTGATTTAGCCGAAAAAAAGAATGATGTTCAACACAACACTTCCACAAATGTTTAGAAGATCGATATGTCATCATATTAAAACCCAAAACTGTGTCATAATTTTCAGACTGAAAATAATTTCATATTAAAAATAAGTACATAATAACAATAAATCTTTAATAAATATCTTAATTTAATTACCATTTCTCTTCTTAATTGTACAAAAAAATGTCTTCGTTTAAAGGATATTTTTACTATTTTGACCCATGATAGAGTATTTATTCTAATATTATTTTGAAATACAACTAAACCATTACAGGTAATACCAATATCTAATTCTTTATCGGTAGAATCCTAAAAATAAATTTAAAATTGCAGTGTATTAATTCATAAATTAATACTAATAAATAATTAATCCATTATTAACAGATATATATCTACTTTTGCTTTGTGTAATTCAACACCATACATATCCAATCTCTTGCTATGATCCAAGAAATTAAATTCAGCATCTGCAGGAGATTGGCCCCTATTCATTTAAACATAAAATATTATAATAATACAAAATATCTCTATTAAGGAAAATAAAGGAATATTTTGTATTTATTATAACATTACTTGTGTAATTTATGTAATTCAGATATTTGATTTTCTAACTGTTCTGTTTGGCCAGGAATAAGAACCATACCAGATAGGTAACCAGGTTTATGTTCATCAGGATGATAATCTCCAAGTTCAGCTAACCATTAAATTTATACTTATTATAACATATGAATTGGCAGTATTAAAAATAATATAAAATTACATTGAACGGTATAACTGGCAAGAAGACATGCTGTACTTGGTGATACAATAAGTTTTCCACATAATATATCCTTCCGTAATTGTAAATACAGATGATAACGTGTATATTCTTCTTGTAGTTTACTTGGATCAGCTACATAGAATTTTACACAAAAATAAAACAAACCACCTGAAAAATAGAAGAATTATAAATGCTGAGAGTAAAAATTAAATTTTAAAATTAAAATTAAAATTAGTTGAAAAGTAACACTTTTTTTGAATAAGTATTATATATATATATTTCTTACAATTACAAATACGAGGGCTAATCAGAAAGTATCAAGACTGGTAGTATCATTCGGAAAAGGAACATCGAAGAGCAGTAGGATTGGTATCACTTCCTTCTATGACTTTTTCTGAGTACATTTGTTTTTATTGCTTCTCTATAAAATTCTTCGGTTTGATTTCACTGATATTTTTGTAAAATAAATTTTTCGAGTTTGGCGGTTTTGTAATAAACCCAAAAGAAGAGTAACTTGACAGATTTGGAGATTTTAGAAAATTTGTCTGCATTTTTTTTCAGTTTCAGAGGGATGCAACATTTCATGGTTTTTGCCATTAAATATCAATTGAAAAACTGAAAATGTGCCCTCGAGTGGCAGCGAGTTCCGCTTCTTTTCGATTCATTACGAAATCGCCAAACGTGAAAAACAAATTTTAGAAAAATATCGTCAAATCAAAACGAAGAAGTTTATAGAAATTTTATACGAATAGATGTGCTCAGTATAAGTCATAAAAGCTAGATTTACAAATCGTTTTGCTCTTCAACGCTCGGTTTCCGAGTAATATTATCAGTCTCGATACTTTTTGATTAGCCCTCGTATATTCAAATTAAAAACATATAAATGTGTATAAAATAAATAATTATGAAGAAAAACTTAGTATATAGTATTATAATGGTAGTGTTTATTACTTGATTATATTATTTTGATAACCAACAATCTAATGGACTCAATTTTACAACATATTTATTTTAAGCCTATTTCATGTATAATAATATATTATTATAATTATTAAATATTAACCACTGAAATAATCTTTGTTTTGATTTTTTTAAAGCTTTTCTTCTATTAAAATAAGTTTATGTAACACATTATTATAATTTGAAAATTACTTTATTTTTTCACATTTTATTTCCAAAAAAATATTTAAACGTTTTTATATTTATAATACTTCACCATTATGGTAGGTATATTTTTAATTGTTTTTTAGTTATATTTTATTCTTAATTCAAAATTAAAAATACCTAATTTCAAATTAAGTTAATTTTCAAATTGTTAAGAAATAATAGAAATAAAAATGTATAAATAAATATTACTACAAATAATAATATTCTTTTTTCTGGAATGCAAAATGGTGCTAAACCTAAAATGCTTAAATTAAGAGTAACTTAAATACTATTTAGTTTTAATACTTAATTATTTTTAAACACTAATAAATTACCTCTCATTTGCTTTTTAATACTTTTTTTTGGATTCAGCCATCTCTAAATAAAATAAAAAGAAAAAGTGTTAAATAAAATTGATAGTTATTTAATAATATTCAAAAACTTACTAAAATGTCAGAATTTGTTGCAGATGGAATTAGTCCATTTTCAGTAAATTGTAAACCAAAATAATCTTTTTCAATCAATTCTAAATGTTGAAATACTGCTTCTAATAATTCTTGGCCTAATGCTCGTTTCTAAGCATTTTATTTTATAAAAAACAATTGTAAATAATGATCAAATTTAAATAACTTCACTCACTTCCAGTTTAAAACAATGCTGAGTATCATCGAGAAATACAACTGTAACATTAATTGATTTTAAACGGCCACGATCTATGGCCAATTCGGTAGCACGGACATTGTATGTACCACTTGAACCCGCTAAGGTTCTTCTTGACACACTTTCTATCATTATATGTCATAACTCATAAAAAATCCATATGAAATATTCTAAAATATCAAATTACAATTTTTAAAAAGAATATTTCAGTAGTTTTAGGTATTTAATATTTGTATAATTTAAAGAAAATAATCACTTTATATTACTAATGAAATATTCAATGATAATAATAGGTAAATAAATCAGATCTAACAAAACATAAGAACAGTTATTCTCTATACAAATATGTATATGAATATATTTTAGTATCTGTTAAGATTTAGAATTTATATGAAGCAAAAAGAACATCTAATTCAAGTGTGTTAAGTATTAGTTATGTTTCATTAAATCTAAACCTAGGATTATGGTAATAAAATTAAGATCTTACATAAAACCAATTATCATAGTTTATCAAAACTATAAAGCTTAGATCTTATCATACTTAGTACAGATATAATCCACAATTAAAATATTGCATAACTAAATATTATAATATTTAACTCATGGTATGATCTGAGCTATAGAATAATTTTCCAAACTTCTATTTTTTAATTTTATGAATAATTGAATCTAATTCTTTTTAACATTTAAAGTCACCAGTCAATATTTATTTATTTGTGTAGTGTATTGATAAATAGCTATTCATACTTTCATAATAACAGTATAAAAAAAAATAATTGCAATTTTATTGGTTGGGTAATTGTATACGAATCAAAGAATTTATTTTATTGTGTCATAGCAATTGCCATTGGCCAACCTACAGGTTTTAAAAAATCTATCACTGAATCTATTAAATTATTTCAAAAATTAAATTATGTTACAGAACATATTAAAATTGTCAAGAATTTGGGTTTTTTTTTAATAATTATATCAGGTCTGTAGGTACCTATAGTAGATTAAAAAAATTGCTCAGTTTAAACCAAGTAATATTATTACCATAAAAGTGTTTAACTAACATAACACAAAAAAAAACTAACTATAGCTAAGTACCTAAATGATATTAAGCATTTAAGATTTATTTTGAGGTACATTGCCTATAATATATTTTATAACATTATATACACGTGGTACCTATAATATGGATAACTGAATAGGCAACTAAGTTATAACAAACATTATGTAGATATTTAATCATAAAATAGGTATAACAAAAATAATAAACACTTCAATTGATTAACAAAGAAGAAAAAAATTATATAGGTGCCCCATTATAATATTGTACATTTTAATGTATTAAATATATCTATTAAATGATATTAAAACATAAATACCTTCTAGTGGTGCAGTAAAAGTATTGTTTGTTTAGCCAAAACGTCAAAATAATAATTTTAAATTAAAATCATTATTCGCGTGAATCATGGCTATTATTTTCTTTTACGATATTAAACACGTTTTGTCGGTTCGAATATATTCAAATATTCATGAATTCGATTAAAACAGTAATAAATTTGTAAATAAACAGGCAGTCATAGACAAGTATACTAGAAGCAGCTATGAACAGCCCAAACATTTTGTAAACGACATGTCATATGTGTAATGCATAATGAAGCGGTATAATAAAGTTGTTGCCCTGAGTTGTAGATAATGACTTTGTAGACGAATGTGTATCAGATTAATTTCTTATCAGTGAATACCAATTAACCCATCATATGAATATGTTCCCAAAAGAAATAACTTAACTGTTTTATACTCTGATGTCTGCTCTGGGGTCGATTCCACTAATATGTAATCAGCGTAATCAGAAATTACGTCAAAAATGATAAGAAAAACCTATCGTTTTAAACCATAGAGTAATTTATTACTCTGTTATGAACATCAACAGCGCGTATAGTAGAGTTGATTACGTTGATTACGCATTTGTAGAAAAAACCATAGATTAGTATATTATAATTTTAGAGGAATCAACCCCCTGAAGTCAAACAATAAACTAATGAATTAAAATATTCAATAGAAAGCGAATTGGATGACATCTGGTGGCAGTGGCGTAAACTCTGTAACAGAGATTAAATTATGAAATACGTTATCTTTTTAAATAGATTCTTGATTAAAATCGTCAATTGATTTTCATTTTAAGTCGGTACCTACTTAGCCAATTTTTACTTCAGTAAGTTTATTACTAGGTATAAATTTAGAACACCAGTATTACAAAAACATTCGAAAAACTAAAAAAAAAAGAGCTGATACTGGGGACGGGTGAGGCCACTGTTGTAAGTAAGATGCAAACAGTTATTTAATTTATACCTTCAACCCACAAAAAAAATTCGTTTATATCTATTTGGTAAGGCCGTAATATTTACGATTTTGATCGAAATTTGATTTTAAAACTTCCAAAAAAAAATACCTACATTACACTCGATTTTAGTTTTTAAAACAAAATCCACTTGTTTTCCCATGTAACCTGCCCGATATGGTTTTGCAAAAAAATAATTTCGACCCTGGTTTAAACTTGCGATCTCTGAGATGACAACAGGTACTTACCATCTAGACTACAACTATAATGTAAAATTGACAATAATGAGTTATCTAACGTACCTAGCGACTAACACATATAATATCTACATAATAACAAAACTTCAAAATGCTACAACTCCGAAAATAAATCAGTCTGCTCAACTCTAACTTCACCATCGTTCTTTACTCGGCAATATATATATACCTACATAATATGTTCAAAACAAAAAAGATAGACAAATTTGCACAGACCAATAACTAGAATTGTTTCACATTAAAATTCTTTTATAAAAAAAAAATACTACCTACGTTAAGCTCAAATTTTGTTTTTTTACCACTAAGTAGTAAGTATGACTTAAGAAACCTCTTGTTAAATTTTTAAACATTTCTATTTAAGACCCATTCTACCACCTATATATAAAGTATGAGATAACTATCTATTGGATAACGTTATCCAAGACATTTATCTTATTGATAAATAATATGTTCTACAATTTGTGTTTATGAATTACTATTTATTAGATAGTTAACCTGAAATTAAATTAAATTTTAATTTGTTATTCCTTCCATGATATTGTATTATCAATATTAAATATAATAGATTCATGATAACACTTGAAAGATACCGTACCAATTACTTTTAACAAGCATCTATATAGGGACAGAGCCGAATGGAACTAAAATGGCGGATTATTATCATTAATTTACATTTAAATAAGAAAATATCACAATTACTTTGATAACGACTTAATCATTCTTTATGATATATATATTATTTTACGTTATAGTTACTTATTGTGGCTTTTTTGTTATTGTTTAAGCAAAATTCTACAGTATTCAGTCTGATAAAAATCCAATTAAATATTCTGAGATAACTGGTTTAAAATTAAAATTGAATTTAAGCATTAAACAGACCAAATTGGATACCTTAAGCATTTAATGTTTATGGAATAAACGTATACGATAGTCATCTGGCACCATTAACTAGGAGAATAATGGATGTTAATAATGATAGTGACCGATAATGATAAATTTGCTTACCTCTCTATACTTTGCTATGAAAGAGTAGAAATTGAAGTGACAATATATATTTCTCAAACATACTTAATAGTCACAGTAAAATGAAAAAGAAATGTTGAAAACTGGGTTAAGAGAATTTCTGTGTCGGAAAGTGCCAGGCTATATTTTAAGTATGTAAGAATATTCATTGTTAAACAAAACAACATAAGTTTTGTAATTAAACTATTAAAATTATATGCCAACTTCAATGAAAAAGAATTAGATTAAAATCGATACAGTTTTTAAGCGCCAGATGTTTATCGACAAATAAATGGCTACGATTGTTTTGTTTATGCGCGTATATTTGGAGAGGCAATAATTTTAGGGGACTATTCTTCTTACACAGTTTCAATCAACGGTAATCTTAAGAATTCCGAATGCACATCAAGGATAAAATAATGGAATATAAGCATAACATTTCTTCACCACCAAAAGAACTATGATAAGTTAAAATTTATGAACTTTTCTTTTAAATGCACCATTAATATTCGAGAAGCAGTTCCAAAAGAAATCTTATTTCATGGAGATGCAGTGTATTTTATTGCTTAAATTGCTAGTATATATTGCCAATTTGTGAAATTTAATATATGTGCGAACAAGTACCATTCACAAAATATTTCAAAAAAATGGGTTACAACAAACCATTTAAGTACTTAGAATTTAGGTTTTACTTTATGTCACAAATTTAATACAGTAATTTGTATGTTTTTAACCTACAAAAAAAAGAAAAGCAAAGCAAAGAATTTTTTTTACACACAACGTAGTTTTTTTTTCAATATCATTAATTTTTGTAAATTATATTTAAATACAAGGTTATTTTTTTTATAAAGACATTTTTAATTTACCAATGTGTCATAGAACATTTTTCAATATTTACACGAAATGTAGGTTATTTTGATCTTGACTTTTTCTTTTAATTGTTTTTTTAACAATTTTGTGAAGCGTGTTAACTCAGTACAGTTTAATAGGGAGGTACTACTTTCTTCAATCACACGGTTGGACTTGATTGACTCCAGATAAGTTTTTATTTTTGGTTAAATCTCTTTTTTCAATTTATAGTAATCATTAAAGTATTAATGTATACAATAGTACCAACACGTAAACAAAATCACCTAACCTAACCAAAAAACTGAATTACAAGTCTCAACTCTCAATGGTAGGTATAGTAGATATACTTGTCTATGATACCTTCTATACTAATACTCAAAACTAACAAGTTATTTAAATATCTACGGTAGAACTCATCACGTATACAAAATTTCACAATTTCTAGTAAAATTGTACGAATTTTAGAGCAAATTTGCTGAACTGCCACCACAAGTCAACTAAATACTAAATTGGGTTACGAGTGTAATTTTCAACTTAGATACATGAAACTAACTGGCAAGGAAATCGATCTGGGCAAGTACTTAAGGAAGGTCATTTTTCGATTTTCTCAGTTTTCTTAACAAATGTAAAAAACTGAAAGAAACAGGAAAATCGGTAGATACATTAAACAAATATAATAAAAGAAAATATTTAATGCCTATTTAATTATTTTACCATAATACTTATGACATATATATATTGTTGACAAAACATCACATGAACTCAGCTCAGAATTGTTTTTTTGTTGGCAATGGTTTATTGTTACTTACAGGTATACATATTGAATTACTTATAAAGTTATAACAATGGCTGCACCTAACCCCATTATCTTAAGACATTTTTTTAAAATAATATCTGTTTAATATTGTACCGATTTTTCTGTGTTTTTCACATTTGTTGGGAAAATCTAAAAATGACTTTCCTCAAGTACCTTTCCAGTCAGAATTCCTTTTAGAAAAAGTGCTTTCATTGTAAATCAAATCAAAATTTCTGGTAGAAAAGATGTACACAGAAAAAAAATTAAAAAAATAAACATTTTTGTTGAGATTCGCTTCACTCAGAATCTAAAATAACTTTTTTAAATTTTTACCAAAATATTAAAATTATTAAACCATTATTATACAAATACTATTTACATGTATGTATATTGTATACACCAAAGTTATCTTAAATATAAACGTAGATCATATGTAGTGTGTTGAATAGGAGAGCTACAAACTAGAACATCACATTTGACAGGTATTTAAGAAAAAATTATTAGGTATTTAAAATAATTTTAGCGTAACAATTATCTATTGATATAACACTTAAATATTTTTAGTACTAATGTTGTGTAATATGATATATCGCAAGATTAAAAAATGAACATGTCTCGAAGAAAATTAAGTTTCACTAATTAAATAAATTTTATAAACTAAAGCTGAAGATCTTAGCATTTTTCTATGCAATTGTATTAGGTAAATAATATTAATTTTAATTTCATAATACATATCTGTGTTTTAGTGAATTCTTAAAAATGTTGAAGAAGTTTTATGTGAAAATTTATCAGCTAGTAACAGATTAGAACAAAATATGGTGCTACTTGAATATGTTGTTTGTATAACAATGAAACAAGATAGTGATATTTAAGTTGATCTACCTGAAATTATAATTATGACTTACTACCATAGTAGATTAAATAGGTTCAGATTCAGATCTTAATTGCTTTACAGGCTTATCTAAATTGGAACATTTGAATTAAATCTCTGAAATGGTAGATATTGTAAAAGCTAAATTAAAGTATAAAATATCATTTTCTTTAGATACAAAATAGCCTATATGTCTGATTTTGTGCAGCATAAAGTTAAATACTTCGTATAAGAGTCTTTCAGTATTATTTGGTATATCTGATAAACTTATAACACTTATTATTTTATAAAAACAATTGACATTTTATACCTGATATGTAAATCAATAATTATATGCAGATAAAATAGAAAGAAGTTTACCAGTGTGCTTTTCAATTTACAAAAATACTAGAATTATACTAACCTTTTCAGAGGCGACTACAGAAAAACCTAATTGCTTAAACTGTAGAATAAGAATATTCCCACTGAAAAGGATTGTACAATTGAAACTGTGATAAGAATGCCAGATGACAAGTAGATAGGCTAATATAGCAAGTGAAATTTATATTTATTAGCAGTTGGTCTCGATAAATCTAGAAATGCACCAATGGTTGATAAGGGGTTTCTTATTGATCAAGAATGTGTTGACAGAGGCTTCATATTATACAGACCTGCATTTTAGGAATAAACAAACAACTTACTACCTCAGATGGTCATAAAAATGCAAACATTGTAAGATCTGTAGTACATACAGAAAAAATTATTTTGAGAATAGGAGTAAAATGACATGTTTGCCCCCTACTTTTTACACGTGGAAGAGAATCTATCTCCAATAATATAAATTTAAAAAATGATTTATGCTTAAGTCATCATGGTTCATACAATTTGGGAAGGCTTGGCTGTTTTGGTCAACTAAATCCCAAGCCCATAGGTCAATAGCTACCTAAATTCTTATAAAGGTTTTTAATACTAAAAAACAGTTAAACTATATAGCTAATATAATTTAATAATGCAAATATAAAATGAATAACATTTATTTTTCTTATATATATAAAATACCATCAAATGTATAAGTTATGAATATATTAATGTTGGTATGACAAATTTTCCATTATAAAAAAAAACAATTATTGTTATTTATTTGTTGTATGGATACAGGAAAGTGTCCAACTCAAACTAAAAAATGAAAGCATTAATTATTCCAGTTTACACCACCTAACCATTGTAAGGCAACATATCATGCTTAAAACATTAACAGGCTAGGTCAAATAAATTAGTTTCTAACCTATAACATAAGATCATTAACAATAATCAATATTGTGGTATAATTACTGGTGATAAAATAAATATATACAGAATAAGACATACTTAGGACATGTGGAAAAAAATAAAATACTGCATTTGTAAAGGTAATGCAAAAAGTTGTATAGTCATTACCTATATTTAGTAGGTATATTAAATGGTGTAAACTAGCCTAATATTTAACAGTAGTTTAAGTATTCTATACTAAAAAGCTATATTAATATAATATAATAAATACATTTAAAGCTATTGAAATTTCTAATATTATTTAATATTTCAAATACACGAGTATGTTTTTTGATGGTTTTACTAAGTTAAAATTTAAGATTCTGGCCTAGTCTTAAACATATATTAAAATTAAATAGTGATAAATTAATAATAGGTAATTATATATATATATATATATATATAAAACCTAATTTAATATTAAATTTAAAATACTCATTAATTTTGTAGAACAATGTGTAACGATAAGTGTCAAATTTAAAAATAACTATAAACTAATTTTTGGTGAAAATGTGTATTTAATATTAATGTAAAGCTTATTTTGAAAATTAACAGTTAAGTTTTGGAATGTAAATGTTATACTTCACATTATTTTTCAAGTACATAATTTATCTGTTAAGAAATAATATGAAGTCATTTGAATGGATTTTAATTAAATTTTTTAGAAATCATATCTTAATATGAATGAATGAAAATATTACATATAAAAGTTGATTAAGTAATTGGACAATCAAAACTATTGGTTTAATACAATATAATTATGATCTCCTTGGTATAATTCAAAAGATTTAATGTAAATGTAAAATAACTAACTAATTAAATATTGAAACTTAATAAATAAATTAATCCAATACAAATTATTATCCATGAGTTGTGTCATCTTCAACAAAATCATAGGCTGTATCTCTTGTTACACATTCAACATGACTAACCTAAAAAAGTAAAAATAATAATTTTTTTAAAATTTACATCATTTATAATATTAACTATTAATTTACCTTATTACGAAATTTAACTCCATAAAATTTATGGGCATGGAACAATAATTCTGGTCTGAATGTAGTTGTAATAAATTGAGCATGATCTGACATCTCATGTATCATGTCAGCTACTGCTTTTCTATGTTGTGGGTCCAAAGCCTAAATATTAAGATATTTAATAAGAAACTGTATAAATAATGATATAATAATTATTATTATTTATGAAGTCTTCTCAAACAACAGTTTCATATAATTTTTCATAATGGCACTTTTTTTTATTACACAAACTTCTGTCTCTTTCCTCACTTCAGCCAACATATTTTTATTTTTATTTATTTTAAAATTTAATGGTTTTTGTATAGGTTACCTGATCAATTTCATCAAATAGATAAAATGGAGCTGGATCGCATTTTTGAATGGCAAAAATTAGTCCAAGAGCTACTAATGATTTTTGTCCACCTGATAGTTGATTCATTTCACGCATTTCAGAACCCTGTCCAGCAAATGACACCTTAATCATAACGCCAGAGTAGTTATCAATGTTATCTTCCTAGAAATATATAAAAAAAATATAATAATGTATATTATATTTATTATACAAATAATCACCTCGCCAACACACGGAGTTGCAGATTCTACACCACCTGCTGATTTCATTACTAACTGAGCAAATCCACCCGGTACCAACTTAGCAAACACTTGAGTAAAATACATTGATACTTGTTTAAATGTAAATAATATAGCATCACATTTTCTTTGCTCTAAAACGGTCATCAGCTCCTCTATTTTTTGGTGTCTAAAAAAAATAAATACTTAATATAAATAATTAAATTGTATTTTACAATTTACCCTCTATCAAGTTCTTGTTTTCTAGACACTAATTTTTCTTTCTGTTCAGAAAAACTAACAAACTGATCCAAAGCTTTTTTATTAACATGTCCAAATCGTTTGATATTACTATTAGCCTTTTCAAGTTCTTTAAACAACTAATGAAATAAAAAGTAAAATATTGTATTGTTCAGTAAGTTTTGTTTGTATAAATTAATAATAGAAAAAACACATCTAAGAATTATACTTACATTTTTGGATGAATAAGACATATATTTAGTAATTAGTTCTGTATTAGATAGAGCTCCCAGATCACTTATTTTAGTCTGACATTCATCTAATTTTTGTTTAAGCATGTTTTGCTTTGTATATACTTTTGTAAAATCCTTTGTCTCAGTATTCAAATTATCTTGAGCTTCTTTTTCAATGAGTTTCCATTTCTCCAGTTCCTCTTGACAAAGTTTTTGCTAAGCATTAACAAGTTAAAAAATTACAAGTGCTTTATATTATGCAAACAAATATAATCTTCATATTAAATAAATATAGGTGCTTTTGGAGGATTTTTATTCTTGCTAAATTTAATAATTTCTATATTAAGTTATGTCATATTTATGTTTTAAATACCTATTACTGTTGCTAAATAAATTAAATAGGTGTTTTATTTTATGAAGATTAATTTTTAATTATATTTTATAGTAATAATTTGTATAGGTATTTTATAATGACCTGTGTCTTGAAGAACTAATAATGTGTATTACATTAATTAATAGTTAGTTATGTGCTTAATATAGCTAATGTATTCAAAATAATATTTTTTTAAGAAATAATTTATTCTAATTAAATTAATTGCTATAATATAGAAACAAATATTATCTCGAAAAGTAGCAAATTTTTTTTAAAAAATGTATGACATAAATTCCTAAAATGTAACATTGTCCTAATTTGAAATTCTGAGTGGAGGAAAAAATTTATTTATTGTTTTACAAAGATGTTTATTATTATTAATATTATATTTTTTTTTTATCTGTTAACAACTTTTCTATCAGAAGACTTGTTTGGATTTCTAAGTGTAGCACCTTTTCTGAAAATAAATTGGTGTAGAAAGGTACTTTAGAGAGGTAATTTTTTCGATTTCCTCAGCAAATGTGAAAAACTGGGAAAATCCATACAACATTAAACAAATATTATTATAGAACAAATATAAAGCCTATTTAATTATTTTACTATACAATGACATATATGTTGTTGAAAAAGCATCACTATCAACTGAACTCTGCTCAGAATAATTTTTTTTGGTAAGCAATGGTTTATAGCTAAATACATTAAATTATCTATAACAGTGGCTGCACCTGTTTTCATAATCCTAGGATATCTTTTTGATGGTTGAAACCAATAACAATTCATTTATTTTATGATATTAAAAATTCCATAAATACGTAACATTTTAGATTGAACAAGTTTTAATGCTGAAAATTTAATTTTCATAAGTGCAATATACAAGTTTAAGTTTGTCAATTGGTACTAATGTCAAATGGGCACTACAAAAATTGTGCCATTACTATTACCCTACCTGAAAAATAATCTATTCTAAAGTGTGTCTCACCAATGGCTTGATCAAAATTAAAAACTTATATCAACATTTATTTTAATTGAAACTTCATCTTTATTATCATCACTATATTGTTACCATTGAGGTAATCTTGTTCACTTTGTATCACCTAACCTTAATGTATTATTAAACCTTTTTTCTGTTTTGTGCTATGTGCATGTAGTTTGCTTTATTAAATAGATATTTTCAGTTTAAATACTGTTTTCTGTTCCTGTTCTTTATGAAATCAAGTTTAAATAATAATAACCTATTTATGGAATTTTTAATGTAGATTGCCATTTGAAAAACAAAAATTGGTAGTGGTTTCGACACTGAAAAACGTGGATAAAGTAAGAGTTATACAACATTTTAAAACTGGGTTTTTCTTAAATTTCCTAAAACTTAATAGGTTAGGTTAATAATATGTCTTACAAATCTCCATTTATAATACCTTTTTCACAGCTTCCTGAACCTTTTTATCGTAAACTTTGATATCAGCATTTAGAGATTCTAATTTTTTTTTTACCAACTGGAGTTCAGACTTATTATTTTCCAATGTTCTTTTTCGTTCTTCAACAGATATTTCTTGTAATGCCTTGAATAAATATATACATATTATTATAAGTTAAAATGTTAATACCTTGACAAAAACTTAAGAAATGAGTATTAAAATAATTAATTGATAATCTAAAAAATTATTTTAAATATTCAAAAAAAACAACTGTGCACATATTTGAAGTGAAACTTCAACACTTTAACAGCTAGATTAAATTTTATTGTTTTAATAAGAATTAAAATAAAATGTTTATAAAATAATACACAACACTGTTTAGATATGAATATTTGAACCTTTTCAGAGTCATTGAACTGATATTATATTTGTGTTGGAATAAAATAAAATACAATTGAAATTAATTTAATTTATTATTGTTATTATTAATTTTCTTATTCTATTTTTATGAAAGATATAATGGGTTTATGATAACTGAATTAGTCATGACACTTGTATTTACATTGTATGTATGTGTGAGAGTGATGGAAAAAATCCAGATTTCAAATAGTTCGAAAATCTGAATTCTTGGATTTTAATCTTGACAGATTTAATTTGCTTAAGACACATTATTATATGCATTCACATATTAAGTAATATATATATATTTGTAATCAGGGGAGTGACCTTGATAACATTTTATTAGTCACAATTTTAAATGACCAGAATAGATCAAAGATTGCATTCATATATATAAAATAATATTTTACTTCTAACACACGTAAAGAAGTTTCACTTAAAAAAATCATAATTTTTGCTTTATACTATTAAGTAATATGGACTGAAGTGACTTTATTATACTATAATAATTATCAATTATCATAAACAAAACAATAATACATATTATTTTTAACCTACCTGTAAGAGTTCATCTCTACGACGAATCAAATTGTTAGTTAACAAATTTTCAACTTTGTTCTTATCTGCTTCTAATTTCATACGAGTAGAAAAAGCAGCTTTATTCTCCTGAGTTAAAGAACGAATATCATCATTCAAGTTATCCATTTCCCTCTGGTCAGATACAGAAAGCTGTGCCATAAGTTCCTGAAAAATTAAAAATCATATTCTATAAATTGAGTTTCAATTGAGGTAAAAATATTAATTTATTTTTATTTTATCTTAATTGGTAGTATATTATTTTAAAATAAGATATATTCTTAAAACAAATTATTAATTTAAAATAAACAAATAACAAATTGTATTAAATATTAGACAAAAGTTTAAGGAAATTTTACAATTATATTATATATAATGAAAATTAATACCTGATGAAGTTCTGATTCTAAACCACTACGAGTAGTCTGCATTGCTTCTAAATTTGAAGAAGCTTGGATTAATAACCGTTCTTTTGTATGTCTATATCTTTCAATTCCAACCAATTCTTCTTTCATAAGTCGAATATTGCCTTTCAGTTTATCAAAATTACCCCTGTAAAATGGCATTTAAAATAATGAGTTGATTTAGTTGTCTAATATTATTATCAATACGGGCATACCCAAAAAAAACCGAACTATTTTTGAACTAAGTTATTTATTTAATTTTTTTACAAAAGACATTTAATCTCCTTCAAAGTACTCTCTATTGGAGTTAATGCACTTGTCCAATCTTTTGTTCCAATTTTCGATGCTCTTTTTAAACTCATCTTTTGTGATGCCTGCCAACGCCTCCGTCTTTTTTTTTTTAACTTCATCAATGTCCGCGAAACGCCAACCTTCCATGCTCCTTTTAAACTCATCTTCTGGGAATGCCTGCCAACGCCTCCGTCTTTTTTTTTTTAACTTCATCAATGTCCGCGAAACGCTTTCCTTTCATGTTCCTTTTCATTCTGGGGAATAAAAAGAAGTC